TCTGGTACCGCCGCTGCCTCTGTGCCATGTGTTTCATCGGGTGCTCTTCTCTCCGGTCAAATCGCTTGCCCAGTTTCCGCTTCTACCCCAGCTCAAACAAGCACCGGAGAACTCAGTGGTGCATCGATCGTCCCAGTTGGATCTTCTCCAAGTGCTTCGGCTTCAGGAAGTGGTTCATCCCCAAGTGCCTCAGCTTCAGGAAATGGTTCATCTCCATCTGCCTCAGGTTCAGGAAGTGGTTCTTCTCCAAGTGCTTCGGCTTCGGCTTCAGGAAATGGTTCTTCCTCAAGTGCCTCAGGTTCAGGAAATGGTTCATCTCCATCTGCCTCAGGTTCAGGAAATGGTTCTTCCCCAAGTGTCTCAGGTTCAGGAAATGGTTCATCTCCATCTGCCTCCTCATCCAAGACTGTATACACTACTGTTATCGTCGATTCATACACCACAGTTTGCCCAGTTACCATGACTCAAACTATTGGAGGTGTAACAAGTGTTTTGACAACCTCTACCATTTCTACCGTCTACAGCTCTTCGACCGTTGTTGCCACCAGCCCCGTCACAGTGGCACCATCTGCTACTTCCGATCTCAGTGGCGTCAGCGTTACAGGATCATCCCAATCTCGATCCGCTCAAGTCACTGGACCAGCTGTCTCATCCCAAGCTCAATCATCCGAAACTGTTTTTACAACCGTCATAGTCGACTCTTATACCACAGTGTGCCCAGTAACCCTTACTCACACTAGCCAAGGAACAACCAGTCTTGAGACAACCACCAGCTTGTCCACCGTTTACAGCACCTCGACTGTTCTTGCTACTAGCACTATTATCTCGGTCCCAGTAGCCTCAGCCCCAGCTGTCTCCCAAGGTGTTTCTACAGAGCAGATCTATAGCACTGTCTCCACTGAGTCATTCGTCAGTATTGTCCCAATCACTTTGACCAAGACCAGCCAAGGTGTTACCAGTTTTGAGACAACCACAAGATATTCTACCTTGTTGGTTTCATCGACAATTTATGCTACTAGCACCATCGCTGTCCCAGCTCAAGGAACTGCCCCAGCTTCTTCTGTATCGTCTCCATTGGCATCATCTTCTGCCCCAGCTGCCTCTGTTGTTTCCACCAATGGAGTCCCTGCCGCTTCCTCCGTTCCAGCTTCCTCAACTCAAACCGGATCTGATTCAGGAAACTCTGGTTCCAAATCTCCATCTGTCGTCGCTAGTTTGGGTGCCACAACTGTTATCAGCTCATCCTCTACCATGTACACTGTTAGCGGAAACAAGACTTATAGCACTGTTACCGTCATTCCAGTTGCATCCACTGTCGGTCAATCAAGCAGCTCTGTTCAAGGTTTAACCACCTCTGCTCCAGTCGCTGGATCTTCTCAACCATTAAGCTCTGCTGTTGGTGCATCTGGAAGTGCAGGTTCTGAGGAATGTGCTCAACCATCCATCATCACCGTTTCCGCTTCTCCTTCTATGATCACTGTTGTAAGTTTTCCACTTCTAATTTTTTGAGACTTTTTGCTAATCAAATATAGACACAATCTGCATCGGTCATTACCATTATTCAAACTGCAAGTTCTAGCTCCCCATCATCACCTGTTGTAGGCTACCCAGGTTCTCCAATGGGCTCTGCCTCTTCCCCTGGCTTCCCAATCAAAGCCGTTTCATCTGTTGAGGGTATCACCGTTCCCTCATCCACTTTCCTCATCCCAGGTGCCGCCGTCTCATCCACCATCGTTGTTCCAGGTGCCATCGTCCCAACAGGATCTCCAGTCTTCCCAGTTGGATCTTCCAACGGTACTACCGGAATCTATGCCAGTGGCACCGGCGTCAACAAGCCAAGTGCACCAACCTCCTCCGTTACCGGCATCACCGCCGCCACAGGATCTGCAACCGCTACCAACACTCCAGAAATGATCGTCACTGGTTCTGCTAGCCGTTCTAGCATCTCCATGGGCTTGATTGCTGTTGTTATTGGTGCTATTGCTCTTTTGTAAATTAAAGTGATGGATTGATAGTTTATGAGGGGTATGATAAATTGGGGGGTTTCGTATGTTTGAATGTGGTATAGATATGGTTGGATCCTGTGTACAGTATATTTAATGTAATTTTTATTCAAATATATTGAATCTCAACCACACTCGCCTTGAACATCTGAATGCGACTCTGTCTCTATAAATATATTATATATCCTGTGCCAAAGAATACTTGAAATTTGCTCGCAAGATACCAACGTAAAACCCCACCTGACTTACAGTAGTGCAGTAGGTAGGTAGTAGTAGATATATAAACAAATTAGAGCCTGATAGAGACAGTGGGAATCTCGTTGATCCATTCATGCGCCTCACTCAATAGCTGACAGGGCATTTGGCTACCTTAAGAGCACGTAATTCCTGGGGATTTTCCCCCTGGTTCAGATTATCATGCCTCGTGTTAATGTGAGTGAGTCTTCACGAAAATCTCAGCTTAAGTGGTTCGCGAGACGGAAGAATAGGTAGCGTGGGGGTACACGGGGGATACATTTGACCTCTGAGCTTCCTAACATAGAAGCAGTCTTCCGTCTGTATTGAAAATACTTGCAATTGAGTATCTCATAAAGATGACTATGGATTCTGTATACTTCCTTGCGGAAGATATATCTATCGGACTGAACGGCATTCCTCATGGCTACACTGCGACTTCCTGTTCGATAGTTTGACGTTTTGCCATGTGCGAGAAGCTTCAAAACTCTATCTATTTCTCGAGTAATATAAGCCTCTGAGGTGTGATGTGAGGTATGATGAGGAGATTCCAATTAATCTCGTTGTGATGTATTTTATTGCTCGGGTCCGTTGCAAAGTTCTGTTTAAATGATCTCATTGGTGTCCCAATATTTTTCATGGAATTTGCCATACTCTAGCATGAGCCTTCGATTGAGGCCATCCCAATGATTCCATGTGATTTAAAGCACCATGTCTGTTGTCAATCAATATTCTCTAGATAGAAAAACTTTATGGAGGTATGTGGTGAGACGGGGAAACTTCGGAGATTACTAATCATCACAGTACTATTACAATGTATCGACAGAGAACGCCATTTTGACAATCTGAAAAAGGAAAAGAAAACCTCCGAAAAACATATTTGGAATACAGTACTGGAAAACATAAAAAACTGCTGAACCCTTCTCAGAATATCCTCTGAAATGTTATACAGAACCCCAGACAACATCGATGACCAAAATATCAGTCACTACCGGGTAAGTCTTCAAAGTACATCAGGAACATCCAAACCTTGGAGATTTGGATTAAATGGCATCTTCATTTTCATTCGCGGCCTTTTACTTCCTCCTTCCTAATCTCTCATTTTTACTTTGAAACCAACCATGATTTGATGGTTCCGTGGTTTTCTGCTTAGGATTCAATCAAAACACTCATCGCTGCTTGGAGGAAATTCCTTTCAGCAGCAATTCTGACATTTTGACTCCACCAATCGGTACAACAACTCATTTGCCAATCTGTCGTACTCTCCATGTCAACCTTTCCTGCGTGTTTTTGGCTTTTGTATCGATTCTGTTTTGGATTCGGTGTCTTTCAGGGTTGAAATTCTTCCCTGGGGTTTACCACTTTTCCCTCTTAATTGAGCTTGCAAAGTGGGCAAGCCGACAGCAAACAGATAACAAATAATACTACTACTGTATGCTCTACAGATTATTTTGTTTTCAAATCTTATTTTTTGATAGTTGAAAGTTTCGCAACAGCATATCCAGGATCAATCACTTGGCTGCAGAAGACCGCAGAAGACCGCATTGTGGAGAATCCAATGTCAAGGCACATTGGTATCATGCCAAGAGATGATGGGATGGAATCTTTACGTGTCCCATCGTTTTCAATTCTAGAGAATCCGGGGAAACTTTAAGTACCGGTCTCAAATTGACCTATCAGCTACCTTCACGCTGCGTGTGGTAAATGAGAGCTGGTCTAGCGCTCATGAGTACCCACGAGATTAGATCCGGAATAAAATATTCCTTCTGGTAAGGCTATTACCATGGGCCCTTCGATCTTTCAAGTCAGCCCCTTCCTCTAGTGGAATTTTGTATGATACTCTCGATAAATTCCCCTTGTTCAAAGATTGCTCTAGTATGCTACGAAAGTGGGAATGCTATTTTGAGCAAAAGTATTGCCCTCAGAAGCTATCACTTTGACAATCTGAATTTTTCGTTCCCATGCATCAACCTGGGATAAAAGTAATTATCACACCACAGATTCTTCCAGCACTAAGAATGATGACTGGGGGGCATTCAGACTCCAGAGATCCAGTGTTAAGCTTTTTCCTAGCGGGATCTCTAAGGAGCCAAGAATTCTTATAAGAATGCCAAGTAGTCGCACTCGAAGCCAAGAGATCACACTGATCATCACACACCTTCATTCATTCCTTGTCTCATCGCAAACATGGTTAAGCTTTCTGCATATCTCCTCTTGGGAGGTCTATCCGCTTTAGTCTGGGCTGCCCCCGCTCCAGTACCAACATCTGCTCCCGATCTTGCCAAGCGAGCAACTACTTGTACCTTTTCTGACTCAGGAGGAGCTTCATCTGCAAGCAAGTCTAAGACTTCTTGTTCCACCATCATCCTATCAGCACTTGCAGTTCCTTCTGGCACTACGTTAGACTTGACAGGTCTCAATGAAGGAACTACAGTGAGCATATATTAGTGTACTTAGACGTTTGTACCACACTGATTTATCAATAGGTTATCTTTGAAGGTATCACCACGTTCGGTTATGAAGAATGGTCTGGGCCTTTGGTATCTGTTTCAGGAACAGATATAACTGTTACGCAAACCACTGGTGCTTACCTCGATGGCAAAGGAGCCTCCTATTGGGATGGAGAAGGTTACAATGGAGGAAAGACGAAACCCAAGTTCTTCTATGTACACGAATTGATCTCCTTGACCCTTGAGAATATCTACATATACAACCCACCAGTGCAAGTATTCAGTGTTAACGGCGCTACCGATTTGACGATTACTGGTGTTACCATCAATGCAGAGGCTGGCGATACTGGTGCTCTTGGTGCCAATATTGATGGGTTCGATATTGGATCGAGCACGTCTATCACAATCACGGGTGCTAATGTATACAATCAAGACTGTAAGCCAACTCTCTGATAAATTGCCGAGCAAGAATTGATTCTCCTATTAAGGGTATTAATTTCTCAGGGGGTGTCTGCTCCGGTGGTCACGGTCTTTCCATCGAATCCGTCGGTGGTAGAAATGATAATATTATCGAGACGGTCTTGTTTGAAAACTCCGAGATCAAGGCATCGCAAATGGTATGTCATCCTCATTTCAAAAAACTATATAATCATCATATCAACATTCCTCAGGTATCCGTATCAAAACCATATCAGGTGACACTGGAACCGTCTCTGGAATCACCTATTCAGGCATCACACTTTCTGGCATTACCGACTACGGCATCGTCGTTAACCAAGCTTATGATGGGACATCCGGTAGCCCAACCAATGGTATTACCATATCGAAATTTATTCTTGAGAATATTTCTGGAACCATCGAATCTACCGCTACCAACATTCTTGTTGAGTGTGGAAGTGGTTCGTGCACTGATGTAAATCAATTCTCTCCTATACTCATGTGATATACTCGTAATGATTGCAAGATCCTAACTTTGGTGGACATGGACCGATGTTTCCGTAACGGGTGGAAAGACATCAACATCTTGCCTGAACGTTCCAACTAGCGGTGGTGTTTCTTGCTCTCTTTAGGTATTATCGCCATTTATAAGGGCGATTCGGTGACTGCCCTCTGCGACTGTCTGAGATGGCATGCGATCCTTTTCCAGCAAAGAGCTGCGGTATCAAATTTGCAGTTTGCGAAGGTTTAGAAGAATGAATAGGCAACACACAGATGCTCTCGCAAAGCTCACTCGTCCTGTATGGCAATAGCACTCGATTTCCTTTCCAACCTCGCATCGCCTTTCAATATCAAAGAGAAAAGGCCATTGTCACGTGTACTGAGGAGGTCAAACCTGTCACTTTCCGATTCTCACTTGTTCCTCCTTTACCTTTATATTTTTACACTTCTCTGGTACATAGTTTCGGAGCTTTCCGATCGCTCGTTTGCAATGTTGAATAGTTATTCTTTCTTGGCATGTGCTTATATTCGTTCGGGTCCTGCTCACGTGAGATAGATAAGTTTGTATTTCTTTATCACATGTGTCTGTATTACATTCTTCATTTGATCGATACAGTAGACCCAACTGAAATTGATGTCTCAGTACCACGAGGCGTGTGAGTATCATCAGCCGAAAGCATCACATCACTGTGCAGTTGGATAGCGAGATCCAATTGTTGGACGTATCGCACCTATAGCGTCAGTCGGTCATTCCTCTACTTGCTTGTTCATTATTCGATGGATTGGATCTTCTGACTGTGAGGTATGTTCGAAGATGACGGGAGAGACTTGGATTTGAAGTCTTGGTTCTCTAGGTAGAGGTAGAGATTGAGATGATTTCATTATCTCTCTAGTTTGTGATGTAATGAGGGTTTGAACAAGGCAACACACAGAAATCTATCCTGCTATTTTGTAGGAGATCGATCTTACCTTGATCCATACATAACCCATGCTCATACTTATGCTTGTTCTAACGATAGTTTTAAACTCATCACGTGTACATTCCCATCTAAACCCCACCACCAATCAAAACAACAAGCTTGATAAGGTGGGAGTGCTGATTTATTGAGCGCTTGGGGTGCAATTAGCAAATTATGCAGGCACATGAATCCGGATCCCTCATGATTATGCAAAGCGATAAGAGTTGGTAGTACATGGAGATAAGAGATTGACTCCGCGCGCATAGCTTGCTTTTCCTTTTGACCAACGCAGCCAACAATGGGAGATCCGGTTTCATCCCCTTTCCGTTCAGATAACAAACCAGTTAAGGAAACAAGCATGCAAGCATGCAGGCAAGCACGACAAGATATGAGATTGATGAGAAGACTTCGTTGTATTTGAATACCGAGTACAGTACGGATACAAGTATCCATTATTACTCCAGGTCCGGTGATGGCCGAGGAGATCTAGGTCATCCATCAGAAAGCTGTTTACCTGAGCTTATTGGATCAATAGGAGGAAGAGATGGGAATATGCCTTGTTTGTGTTGTTTGTTTGTTGTTTGACATGGTCGGAGTGATGTTGGTGGGTGGATGATGTTTAGGTAGGTAGGTGGAGGTTGTTGATAAGCAACGAAACATATCCCATCCCATATCTTTCTCTTCTTCATTCATCAATTCAAGAATCATCAAATCCACAGAAATTCCTACTCATTTACATCTTCAATTATCAGTTATTTATCTTTACATCTACAAGTCCCAACCTAATCTATAATTTAGCCCGCCTACATATTTCATCTTTATCCTCACTTATCCGGCCGGTATCAACTTATCAACTGTGGACATCAGCCTCGCCTGACTCATACACCGAGCACGTTCTCCTTTCGTTGAACAGAACAGCTTCCTTCGTCTTTTGACTGAGACGACTAAGCCAAATTACGCCCGTCCTGCTATTCACTCGTAGTTTCTAGTCTTGGAACGTGTGACTAACTCTATTCCCTGTGCCGCAACTGCTAGTTACAGTCATCCGGACAAAGTCTGAATCATCCAGTTTAGGAACCTTCTACTCAAGCACTTCCATTCTTTAATCAACCATCACTTCTATATCATTAACTTATTCTACGAATATCCTACAAACCTTCTTCACGGTGCTATCTCTTTTAAAACCAAAGAATAAGAACAATACGATACGATAAGTACGTGAACGGAAAACCCATATCTATTTTAAGATATAAGGACCAAGACAAAGAAACGGTTACCGCCACGTTTTCCCTACGTTGACCTCATCCTTTATTATAAGAGTCGTCGCTCAACAGATATTCCTGTCTAACAAACTTGCGTCACACATTCATCAATCGAAATAAGCAAAATATACAACATGTCTGCCATGACAACCAACACTCCAGCCTCTGCTATTCAACACCGAGATATTCGCTCTGGGACCAAGGCCTTCAAGCGTGATAAAGATCAGTTTCAGAAATGGAGTATGGGAGCTCGCCCACTCCCTGGTGTGAAAGAGGCTATCATATATTCGACTGAGGGTCTCAGCGAGGAACTTGAAGCTTCCAAGGGAAAGGAGAAGTATAGACCTAAAAAGTTGCGGAGTCAAGTGTATGTTTGCCATTCTACCTATACTGTATACAAGAAGATCCAAGCTGACCTATAGCCTCTCCAGTGGTGGTGCCGACCGTCATCTACACGGCCACTCCAATATTACTCCTAAACCGTTCGGGTCCCCATCCTACTACCATGGTCCCGCCTCTACTTCTCGCATTGCCCGCAGAGTCGATGCTCATATTGAGGCTGCAGAAGACAACTCCCACCCTCTCTCCAAATCTCTACTCGATCTTCTCCCTACACATTATAATAATACCTCTCCGTCTATCGCCACCGCCATCTTGAATCGTGGCGACGAAGGAGTTCTTTACTCGTTCGATAGACGAGACACACCAGATCATAGAGTAGACTTGAGTGGTTTAGTAGACATTGCGGAGCAGAAGTGGGTCAATGAGCAAACCGAGAGGATTGTTAGGGGCGAGTATGAAGTATTGGATGCAGAAGGAGAAACCGTTCTTCAAAAGCAAAGAGGCAGAAAGAGTCCCAGATCCAAGGCTCTCTCTCGTACTCGTGGGGACGCCAAGGCTAAGACCCAGGATGTAGAGCCACTTGAGGATGATGGGTTTGAACTCATCTAAACTCGATTCTCGGAATGAAATTGCAGGGTCATGATCTCTTCGCTGAGCATTGTCATCATTCCACTTCACGACTCGAACTTCTTCGTTCCTCGTTATTTTCTCGTACAGCACATCACATATCTTGCATGGGCCACAGATATTCAGAGTTAACTTTTTTTTCCTCTCAACTTCACATGTGGCATTTGGCGCGCGCACAAGGCATAGGATACCGGTAGGCAGCTTACTCTGGAGTCCTTAATACGCAGAGAAGGATAGCTAGCCTTTTCTTTTTCTTTCTTTTTTTTGCATGCGCATTGATAGATTGGCTTGCTTTGGGTATTTTTTCTTCCTGATTCAGGTGTATCGTGGTGGTTTGGGTGGTGTGTGTATAGCATTGATAGCTTACCGGTTTGAAGATTGGGAGGATAGCTTATAGCTTGGTGCTTTGGTGGTATTTTTGATGAGAGGTTTGGGATGGTTGGTTTGAATTGCATAGCATGGCATGGCGGGAATTGGCGGGATGGTTGGTACATATGATACTTCATCACGGTTGTATTGATGGTTAGGTAGATGGAGTGGGTGACGTGATGTGATGTGAAGATTGCAATATCATACCTTTTACCCAGACTTTATTTTAATCTCCTTGTGCTATGTGGACGTACTATTCAATGTTTAAAGTGCATTGCCATCCAGTGGTGAGTGATTTAATATTGATTCGAATGAAACTAGAACTAGAAATTAGAAACTAGGTAAACTTGGGATCTTGGTTCAATCCATCTCTGCTTATCAATGTATACCGGTATATTATTCAACTCTGTACAAATACGCGTAGAATTAGCCAGTCAGTTGTCAAAATGTGATACCGGTACTTGCTTGTAGAGAGTAGGAGCTCTGAGTAAAATATTGAAGGAATTAAGTAGGATCGTCGTAGTTTTGTCTGGATTAATGATTGTGGTTTGGATATTGTACTGTATTGTTGTTGGGGAGGACAGGAGGTTTTATTGAGATAAGATGAGATGAGATGATTGGAGATGAGATATGGGAGGGAAATGATTTTTTGTTTTATTTCATTACACAAATTAAATTACATTGTTGGTAGAGAAGAGGGGGTTTTGATTTATCCCCCAGATCTTATCTCTACATTATATATCTAAAGAACAAATATTAGGTCAGCAAAACCAATAATGGCGCCGTGACGGAGTGGTTAACGTGATTGACTAGAAATCAATTCCTTTCGGGGGCGCATGTTCGAATCATGCCGGCGTCGATGTTTTTTTTTTGCATTTACTTTCCTTTCTTCCTTTGTCTTTTTTGGTATACAAATGTTTTGGTGGTTGGTTTTTGAATTGTTTGCGTTTATTTTTGTAAGGAGATACAGATTCTAGACTCTAGAGTCTAGAGGTCTAGAGTTACCGAGTGGGGATGATATGGGTGGGATGTTGATTTGAGTGGAAGGGGTGTGAAGTGGCAGGGTGAATGTGGGGGGGTCCGGTTCTGCGGAAATATATTCGGAATCATCCATGACATGACTCGAGATTTTGAGCTTGGTGATACGAGATGATATTGGAGAGGCGGGAAATGTTGGTCAATAGACGAGTATAGGGGTAATTCTACTGTAAATTTATTGTTTGTTGAATAAACCAATAATAAACTTATCTACCTAGGTATCTACTTCCCTATATCCAACCTAGCTTAGCCTTCAAGAATCTCTTTCTATTAGGTATTCTCGAGTACTCGAGTATATCTTCTAAAGCTTTCTTCATATCAATCAGTATCCCTCCGAAATCCCTCTCATACATATATATCTACATACATACTATCTACTCTACATGTACAATCCCCTCGTTTTTCCCATTCTCAAACTAAAACAAACTAATGAAAATAAATCTATATTCCTCTGTTCCTCTATTCCTCCTCGAATGCCAGTACCGGTATCGATACCTTCTCTTCTACTCTTCTACCCTTCTAAGATTACCCTCCTAAAACTCATACTCAAACTCACGTAACTAGCTGTACATGTCCGCTATACCGTAGATCTACTCTTCATACCCATCCTCCCCTCCTACCCCGGAAAATCCTAATGATACATAATTGCATATAGATAGTACATCGATATCCATCGCAAGTGCATCGCCATTTCCAAACCCAAGTCTATTCAAATTTTACCAGGAGTCTGGAGAGCAGCAGAGTATATTTTCGAAAAGTAAGTGGTTTCTAAAACAGCTACTATAGGACTTGAATGATCCGATCGATGGTGATACGAGTAGATAGTCCGAGTATAGTGATGTAATGTAATTTTCACAATCATAGAACATGAGGAGAGGTTATATCTCCCTCCTCATCCATCAACCAATTTAATTCTCTCCCCCGCAACAACAGTACATACTTTTGACCAACCAACTACTCAAGAAAGTTTCAATCATTGTATAAAAACATTAAGACAAGCAAGCAAAAGTTTCCTCTTTGTACTCGAGTATAACCACCTCGTTCCGGCAAAGGTAAGTAGGTAGGTGTCTTTGTCTCTCTCCTGCTCCCTTTCTCATTCCGTATCCCAAAACGTCCATTTCAATTCATTTGCGCAACATGTATATCAATGAACTCTTTATCAATCACCTAGCATATGGAAGGAACCCTCATCTCACACAAAATTGCACCTAAACTGTTAGCCCATATCCCAAACACTTAATCCAAGATTTTTCCCACTCATCTCCGACGACACCCAAACCCCAATCGTGTAAACCCCAATAATAACATTGAACTCACATCACATCACCACACCACACCAAACCATGGACGACGCAACCCTCGCGCGCGTCCTAGCCCGAAACCCCAACATCAACGTACCCCGACCACGATACCGACGACCCGACTTTACCCAACCCTTCCAATGGACCAAACCCAGCGCGCACGTTCCTCAGCAAGCGACTGCGTTTCGCAGAGGTATACCATACACGCTGAAGAGAAAATGGCTCCGGGATGATCAATTGAAAACACCATGGTACGAACTACACCCCGAACTGCGGGCTTCTCCTGATAAATCTCCTCCTCCTCCTCCTACTGTTACTACTGCGGTTTCTCCTGGTGGCTCCAAGACTGCTACTGCGGGGGAGGAAAAGAAAGCGGAAGGGCACGAGCAAGGGCAGCAGACCAGATCGCCCAAGCGACAGAAAATCGAACCCAAAACACCCAAAGGCAAAGGTAAAGGCCAAGGAATTCCTCCTCCCATCAAACCACGAGTACCAGTACCAGGAGCTCCTCCCACACTCGTACCAAGTATCCTCCCCATATCACCGCAAGCAGTCTTAGCACCTCGGGTCAGAAATGCCGAGACGAGGAAAATGAGCGAGACGTGGGCTGGGCCCGGGACCTATGAGTATAAATGGAAAGACGATCCTAACGTCGATGAGAATCGGTCGGTGCGGGATGGGATCCCGGCGAATTGGAAGGAACTCCCCCAGGTTAGGGAGATGCCCGTGCGGAAGAAGGATGACAATTGGGCGAAGAATAATTTCCAGTATATGGGTGATCAGAAATTCTATTCTATGACAATCCCGGCGAGTGGGGATTGTTTCTTCGGTGCTAGTAAGTTTGTGATTTTTTTGCTGTATCTTGGGTGAGAATAAAATTGGTGCTGATGGTCTCAGTTTCGATGGCGCTATATGGAACAACCCAGTATTGGCATTTTGTGAAATATTGCCACTTGTGGTTTTTCCGATACGTGCTTTTGCATCCTGCTCATCCACGATATGAATTTTATTGGCATTTGAATGCTGTTGCAGGTGCCAATAATAAGAACATGTGGCATCAACCAAGCATTCCACATGTAAGTTCCCCTTTAAGTCGACGGATAGACGATGTATATATGACATGTGTGTAACTAACCATACCATTCTTAGGCCTGGCAATCATCCGAGCTCTTCAATGTAACCGCCGACATCTACAATCTTTTTATAATTCTTTACGAGCAACTCCCCATGCCGACAGATCCAACAAAGTCCACAAAGCAACAAGATGATCAGACTATTGGTCTATTCGGCCAATACAACGCCACACATGTATTCTTCCATCTCATCAATAGGAATCATTATCAAACATTAGTCCCATCCCATAATCATGAAGCACAGTTCCCATTTCCAGACGGTATGACTATAGTGCCCCGCCCCGGAAGAACCAAACAAAGACCTCCAGGTGGACGAGGTAGATCTATACTCCCTCCACCGATTGCGCAGCCGATCATTCCGGAACCCAATGATTTAGATATTACCAGGGTTCTTGGAATCAACACTCAAGATGGGGCTTTGGATCTAGATTTGATAAAAAAATGGATCGAGGAAGAGTGGAGTGAGGCGGCAAGGAAGAACGACCAGACTTCCGTGAAGTGGTGGGTTAGAAAAGAAAAAGAAAGAGAAAAAGGAAAAGAAAACGAAAAAGAAACAGAAACAGAAAAAGGTAAGGATGATAAAAATAAGGCGGGATCATCGAAAGTGGCTGCTATGTCGACGTCTGGAAAGCCGACAAATCAGCAACTGGCAAGTAAGTTAGGAAATATATTGTCCTAGAAGATAGTATCCGCGAAAGAGGGCTTAGAAGAAGTCATCAATATCAAGACCTCTGACGAAGAAAGAAAAAAAGGGTTATTAAAAAGACATGTGGAATTGCCGCTGGAAAAGCCTCCGCAAACCAGTCCCTCCCAAAGCTCCCACTAAAAGGGGGACGAGCAGAGAAGAAATGAGGAATTATTTATCTTGGACAGTGGAGATGAGAAGTTTACGGAAGAGTTGCTACGGATTGATTCGGGATGAGTAAAAGATATGCCTGGATAGTATATGAGTTCTAAGTATTTTGATTCTCTTTTTGACTATAATTGGGGGTTTCTTTTGGATGTACAGTATAACATTCAAATTCGCACCTATTACACCTACTGTATGTAGCGCAAGACACTAGTCCAAGGGATAGTAAGATCACCAATTATTTGAATGCCAAATAAAAAGGGAGAAATCTGTGCAGCAAATTAGGCTACGAGTGACCTATATTCATACCACTGGAGACTACCCCGTTTCCCAGTATGAATTCGTCTAACTGCCAGTTTGGATCTCTTCAACAAGTTCAACTGCCAATTTAAGTTCAACAAACTAAACCTACCAGTTGGAGATATTGGAAAACTAAACCAACTGGTTAAACCGGATTAACTACTGCCTACACTGGTCGCCAGGAACATCCATACTTTAAGGCAGTACAACATCTAGTCTTGATACACTGGACACTCGTCCCTCCTCAATGATACTACAGCAAAAATTTACTACTCAGAACACGACCCCCAAATTCTTTGTCCCTCGACCATAATATCGAGACCGGACTTGGAATTTGCTTTATTACAACATTCAGTCCAAAGAATTTAGTACATGGAACAAAGACTTCTTTATTCCACGCCTGTATCAATAACCTCTATCCTATTCCGTGATCAAAATATGTAATCGTCTATACTCGTAAATATACCGTGAAAATCTAGTACGAAGGTTCTCCATCATACATACCACCATGTCGCAAGTCTACATCTTGCATCCTACGACGGATACCAAGGCAGCGGGGAGCACCGTTGAGGCCGAAGATATTAGCGATTACATACCATATCAACCGAGAAGAGATGCTAAGGATATTCCTCCATTTAATGCCATCCTATGGCTCTCGACGTTTTACGGCCAACAAGTTCCTCCACTTCCTGTGGTTCACCCAAAGCAGGAGCTTGAAGAGCTGCCGGATCAAAGTTCACAGGAAACCATGGAGGAATATCAACTCTTCACCCCAACGGTGAAAAATAAAAAGCTGGATCTATTTACTCAAGTCGGATTGACTGGCTTTCCATTGATTGAGAAAACGAATTTTAACATTGTTCGAAACTATCCGGCAGATGAACAATACAACGGACCGCAGAATTTGATTTGGACTATAGGAAATTCCTATTATACTGCTGGTATTTCCGCCCAGAACTGTCTGTGTTAAGAAAATATGTGCTAATCAGACTGTAGTGGCTTGGTGCGTATATGGGAACTGGGAACTTTGGCCTCGTGTGAAAGCTCAACATAGAACAATTGTCAATCGCGTTCTCGCAGACAAAAATCATCCTCGTCATGAACTATACACAGAGTTGAACCAAACACGAAAGGGCGAAAACAATCTAAACTTAAAGGAAAGATTAGGAACCCCATATTGCGCGATTCGACACGAGGATATTCAACAAATTACTGCCGATTTGTATGGAATTCTGCTTGTGATTTTTACCTATCAACCAGCGGTACATATGAAGGGCAGTGAAGCTGATCAAGCAGAACAGCATTTCGCTCCATCCATCAGGGGCGATTTCAACCGTCCTCACAAATTCATTCGCTTTTCCATTGGTGCCTTGCCAAAGAAGTTTGAGAAATATCCAGACGCAAAGCGTATACCGATATGGCAAATCTATGAGCCCATGTTCCTCAACATACCTGCTCCTGCTCGACATTCAGACTTTAAATATATCAGGCCAACATTCATTAATACCAGGGCTTCTTTACCAGCCGAGGTGAAAGATGAGGACTCGGCTATATGGGATGGACTTAATCATCCATGGAGAAGGGTTTTCGGGGATCGAGTTCCTATTCCAAATCCTTTGACACATCCACCTTGCTGGGCGAAAGGCATTCCGGTGCCTTCATTGGCCGATTTAGCTATCGCTTTAGGATGCCATATTGGGAATCCAGATGATAAATCTACTTGGATTACGAAATTACCACAGTGGATAAGGAAGTAAAAAGTCAAGGACAAAAATCTGCAAAAGTCAGAGAGCATTTGCAATAATGTCAGCCGAATTGAATAGCTTTTTTCTATTCCGAGAACTGTTGATAGCTATCCCGTGATGTAAAGTCGTGTCTTACACATTGATAATGTATGCAAAAGAATTCGCATATCTTGTACATTGATGTAAAATACGCCACGTGATGCATGATACATTTTCGAGATCATGATCCTATACTGAGGGATTGACTTGAATGATGTCCATCCAATCTACCGTACAGGTAAAACATTGTGATAATGAGGGGTCATCACATTGAGGAAAGAGAAGTTCCTGGTATTGCCATTGTCCTTCCTTGATTCTATGGATAATTCCATTTTCATGAAAGTATGACATATGACTAGACTTGATCATCAAATTTCTCCCCATCTCAGCATTTCAGCATTCAAACCAGGAACTACAAAAGAGAACAAAGATAATAGGTTTCAAGCAAAGCAAAGCCATGTCTCATTAACTCATCTCAACTTTAAGATGATTTGACGAGTGAGCGCGAAACTTTCGAGACAACATCTGTTTGAGAGACCACAAGTTTGTGTAACATGGTCCAAAGTAAAGGGCCCTATGTACCACAGTGTTGTTTGATTTGAGAATAGAAGAGATGATATGGAAGGATTGGATGAACGCGCGTTGGAACTTGGAAGCCAAAATGCAAGTTTTCAGAGATGCTCAAAGAGTTTGAGTTTGTTTCGAGAGGGTGGAGAATTGAATCGAGAAGATAACTAACATATGGCGCATCATGGATTTGAAGGAGAGGCCGTTTCCATTCTGTTGTACAGAGTAAAAAGCTTTAACTTTTCGCTGTCCGATTTGACTGATTATTGAGTAACCAGATGGATTTCGTGGTCCAAAATTCAGGAAGAGGGATCATGAGAAATTATATAAAGGTGGAAGGTTGGTTTGAATCGAAACCTCCACTCAGTCCCTTTTCAACCAATTAGGATTGCTTTGACTAAAGTTAAAAGGATCTTCAAGGCTGCAGCAGTGCATTCGAGGTAATTAGTTGGTACCTCTACGAGTAGTGTATGGTAGCATTCAACAATTAAACGCTCAAAATTGATGGGAATCTCATCTCAACTCGTAAATTTAAGATTATATATATTAGATGAAGATAAAGATGAAGATGAAGAATAGCAATAGGTGATAATTGACGATGAATTGGCGCGGAGGAATTGCAAGATGAGATTGTTTGTACATACCTAGGATCTTTTGATGGGAAGGGAAGGAGCGAAATGGATTCAGCCCACAACACGTGGCGCAGAAAGGAGTGAGGTATGGAATAATAAGGTTAGAGCTTATTTACTATACGAGTTACTGGTACTGTAATTCTTTTCTTCTTCCTTCTATTGCTATTCCTCTATTGTATCAATTTGTATTAACTTTTTCCCACTTATCCCACTTTCTCAAATAATTGAGATGAAAGGTATTCCAATGATCGTTCTTTGCGTGTTCAATGCGTGTTCAATGTGTGTTGTTAGCCAAGTACCGATACTGTTCCTCATCATCATCACCAAATGATGAATAATCAATCAATCACATCAATAACCCATGTATATTTCCCTCTCTAGTCAGGCACATCTTTCCATCTTTCACACCCTTCACCTCCAGGGCTGAATTTTGATTGGAATCCAAGACATGGAAATTAAACTATAGATTAACCACTAGTTCAGGTACTGTTCTTGCACTCCACTTAAACCTCGCTTGTCTCCGAAGCGCCTATCAAACGGGATTTGTCTCGAGATTATTTACTAGATCCTTGTCTTCACATTCAAACTTTTAAGATTGCCGGTTGATTGTAGGGATTAACTTTTTTTGGTTGAATAGATGGTAAGACGGTAAGATGGAATGACTACGGGAAAGATGTTTCTACCTGGTCTCTCTGTTTTATAATAAAAGAGTTCTGATCTGATAATGTTTTGAAAAGTGGAAGTGGAAGTGGAAGTGGAAGTGAAAGAAGTGATTGAAGAAGAAGTCTCTGATGATTCATAATGATCAAAGAAAAATGAATGAAACATGTATGCACTACTCGAGTACTAGAGTTTACTGTTCATCCAGACTTCAATTTCAATTTCATTTTGTATAACAGAAAACTTACTCCTTCCTTGTTTGTATTAGATTTCCTTCCCTTTCATTTGTTTATCTGATCTAAACAACTTTTGATTTGATCGCTTAAATTAAAATAATATTATCAAATCACATTTATATCCTCTTTTGCTATAGCAACTTGTTATATTACTAGGTATATCCGGGCCAAGCTACTTTCCTTCCCCTAGTCAACCCAACGAGGAAGAGAAAATGAAGTTAACCTCCAATCACGGACCACCTTCAAAACAAATGGTCCCACTTTCACCTCCACTCCTCCACTCACACTCAACCGCTCGGTCAGATATATTACAAACTTCTTCCTTCTCTTCTTTCTCTCTTCTTGGTACCCAACAAACACACCTTCATTATTCAATACCTGCAGCTTGCTTCAGATAAATCCAATCAGACAGACTTCGTTGGCAAAGTCTACATCTTCATCATCAATAAATAGTACATTTCAGTTTACTTTGCGCAAGTCCGTTTAAGTATTCACTTACCATCATTCGATACAACATATTCACCGCACCGCATCAATATCGTTTCTATTGTTCAAAATTTGAATCTATTGAGCCAAAGCACTCTCCACACTCGAAACAATATAAGACCTATCTACGCTTTGATCGATATCTTTCTGATATATATCTTCCTCCTCGATATAAATTTCTACTCGAGAAGCCACTCAATCCATCTACGCCGTCTTTCGATCTTCAAAATCTAGAAACGAATACTACTGTCACAAAATTACTTTCTTGTCAATAAAATCAATCCTTTACTCAAGAACATCTCACTACATACACCATGCAGTTCCACGGTTTCACAGCATTGTTACTTTCCCTTTTTGTCGCATGTGTATGCGCACAATCTGTTACCTCAACTACGACCTTCACCTCTACTTCTACCCAAACTCGAACCATTACAGTCTCTGAAGTCATCGCATCTGTTACCTCCACCTACGCAACGTACAACACTTCGTCAATTGCTCCTACAGGATCTGTGGGAACCATTGTGGCATCTACAACATCAAAGATTGGCGCATCGGCTTCAGCAAGTTCTACACTCCCTACTTTCGTCGGTGCAGCATCAACTGCTCAAGCTGGAAGTTATGGTGTAATGGGATTGTTTGTTATGGTTGTTGCGGCGTTGCTATAAACAAACAATTGATCTAAGACAAGAATGCGGGGCCTAGTGGCGATGATGATGCTTTGATTAATCGTCATTCCTCCATTATCGTATCTAGATCTTTGCCAGGAATGCATTGTGGAGGCAAACCCAAAAATAACTCCATCTCGAATTCTTCACACTCACAAAATCTTCGATGCGACATCTTTTCATACTTCACACTTCTTCTTACGAAACCCCCCTTTTAACGGCTTGACGATACCTTGACTCATTTTTTCTCACGCCATATTCATTGTTCGCTTATTTCTACACGAATACCCCCGATTCACGACCAAATTATACCCTCACACATACTTTGATTCGTTACCTGGAGTTTTGAATGATCTTTTCATGGTCATCCTACCAATACCTCGATTCCAATTCCGAATACGCCGACGCGCTTACGATTTCACTTTATCACTTGTGATAAGCTAGAAATATGCCCTTCCTGTTGGATACCTTTCATGATGATGGATATTGGTAGGATTGATATGGATTGATTGATTGATTTGCATTTTATTTTATTTTATGGATAAGGATGAGTGGCTGGCAGGCACGGAAAAAATACCTCCTTTTTTGTTGTATACTCGCCGCTGATCGGCTTGAGGATATCGAGGGATAGAATGTTCTTCGATGATGTGGAATTATTTTCTCTGGTTTTGATTTTATACCTTTTTGATTGTGCATAGTTTTTAGTATGTTGGTTGGTGCGTTTTGTGGTGGTGAAAATTATGGTGGTAGCAGTAGTGGTGCTGGATTTATGGAATGGATTAAGGATTAGAGAAAAGGGGAAGAGCCTAGAGGCATAAAAATATGAATGCTCGGTCAAATATTTTTGTTCTTGTCAGTTGCGTCAATTGTGTGACTTGCGTGACTAGCGCTACTTTGCAGCCCTAATATTGATCGAATCGCCTTGCTCAATATCGAATCCTAGTGGATCAATACACTCGCTACCTCCCTCCCCCTTTCTTTAACTCATTTATCCACTTTTCACGGTGAGTAGATGGATTGGGGTGTATTTCATCTCTTGATTTCTTTGATAAGGTAGGGAGGAAAGAAGGAAGGAAGAGAAGGAAGGAAGGAGGGGAAAGAGTTCTTTATTTTATATTTATCCCCTCCATCGTCCCGTGACGACTTTTTTAGGGTTGAATCCCAGGGCTGCGAGAGGCGTTCTATTCTATATTCCAATTGCTTAAGATTATTTTAGATATAAGATAGGCTGAAACAAGGTTTCAATGTGTAGATTTCATGATATTCAGAGGTTGGGCACGGGAATATGATGTGGCTTTTTCCATACTCGAATATTCACCTCGAATTTTCAGTCATGGGGACGATGATGGAGGGGATAGCGTGAATCGTGATTTTCTATACACCCCTATTGTAGAGTATGAGTAGCTTTTTTTACTAGGTGTTATTAGTTATAAAAATTGCATGTGCACACGCATATCATGTAACATACATCAAGCACAGATAGAGAGATAATCTTCAATGTCCTAAACGAAAGAGTAATTAAACAAGATATCCCAGATTCCCACCCAGACAAGAAAGAGTGGAAGAAAGAGGAGTTTGTGCCCAGGAAAAAGATTTCAAAGTTGGATATTTATCTGGTTTTTTTGCTTGTCTCCAATCAATACCCCGGAGTCCATACTGCGAGAGAGAACTTTACTCACCAAGACAAAGTTGCGGAAATAGCGAATCTGTTCGATGATATAAGTAAGATCTGACTTGTATTCTCAAGAAGAGTAGAGTATACGGAACTAGAGTATATAGAACTAATCCACTGATTAATATCCTCCGAACACTTATTTTCCATTGTCACAAAAGATCAAAGTAGAAACCTATTTATTGTCACTAAATCCACAATCACAGTCGATCTTTATATCATCCCTATTCAATAAGTGAAGAACAGGTTCACTGCTACAATACCGTATAAATTGACCACTGACCGACAATACCTAGCCTAGCCATACATAGTATCCCCACAAATTTCCACACAGAGAACATGACAGGACAAGAACAAGACCGAGGACGAGTTGGCGCTCTGCAGCGCGCTCTTCGGCATGCTCTGCAACTTGGGGATTTGGAAAGAGGACGGCTCTTAAATAATAATTGATGATGGGGAATTGGATCTTGGATCCTGAATCTGGGAAATTGGCATTGGGTATTGATAAAGGTGAATGTAAGCGGGCTTAGCGGGGTAATCGAGGGGCTTTGAAATTCATGGGGATACTCATTGATAGTGAATTCTTGGAGGCTGAATTGGATCTGGGAGATTGGACATTGGCATTAGGCATTGAATGATTGACAAAGGTGAATGTGAGCGGGGTAATCGAGGGGCTTGAGAATTTAGAAATGTAAGCGGAGTTACATATACTGGTGAATTTGCGTAGATTGGGTTGGATTTGAGAGGGGTAAGTGGTAAATACCAGTCTACTAGATGTGCCACAGTGCGAGTGGAGCTGATGGCGGAGTCGATACTGTCGGCTTAATTCATGAAATAATATTTAAGTGTTGAAGATGTACTTTGAGTTAGGCACAAAGCATTGTGCAAGTACAAGAATCAAGAAATGGAGTAGAACGTTGGAAAAACAAAAAAGAAGTAGTTTACATGGCTACCAGGGATGCATTGCTCGAGGTCTAGTTGTGATTTTGTGCTCAAATACTAGTGGAGTGGACAGAAAGTTTACATATTTTTATTATATGTAGACGATATGCTTATTATGGGAAAATGCGAAGATGTTGATACGAGTAGTATAGAGAAACAAATCAAAGAAAAGGATTAAAGCAAAGTGGAAGAGCAAGAATTTAGGACCAGTTGATACATTCCTGGGGATTCAAATATAGTGGGAAATGATGTGATTGTTTGGATCTCTTTATGATTTATCGTTCGAAGATTGTTAGTCCAGGAAAGGGACTGCTGTCGATTATTGTTGATTATGTATACATATATCGGTCGAATCCGTTATATATTATATATCAATTACAGACGCCTACCACTAAAGTCGGGTTCACCTAATCGAATTAGGATTAAAGTCGGGTTCGCCTAATCGAATTAGGACTAAGACCGTGTTCAACTATAGACGCCTACCCGAATTAGGACTAAAGTCGTGTTCAGTCGTTTGCCTAGATAACTACCCCACTCGGGATTAAAGCCGTGTTCACCTGCAGACGACTAATCAAATTAGTAATAGTGTATACTGAATGTCCCGTCGTCCTCGATATCGAATTCTTATCTCGAAAATGTTCGCCGTTACTTGTACTTACTGAGTTAGGTCCCTGAAGGGAGTAAAAAAGTAATTCAGTGTAACAACAAAAACAATATATATCAGATATGCGACAAAACCTCCGATCATTCTAATTCACCAATGATTCTTATCCGATGTTGACGTCGATACAGGTACCTCTTTGAAAGTTTTGTTGCACATCTGAGTACCCTGAATTACAGGGTAGCAGACCTGAACCACAGGGTATAATGCCTGGTAATTAGTCCCCCATATCTCTCTACACTCGGCGATTTCTAGATAGTGGCCAGTCTCTTAACTAACTTCTAAGAGTCTCACAATGCATGTAATTTTTATCACTCTGATATCTGAGTGCTGAGAATGAACTAAGTAGTATTTAACTCCACCATTATCCATTGTAGTGATACCCCGTACTTAGGTGGATTATCAATATCTTTATCATTCTCAGAACTTACTGTACGAATAAGTTCATATACCTGCTCTTCCATTTCCATTACTCAGTACAAGCAATGGGTTTTAAAAAATGATGCAAAAAGTTATCTGGTACATATAATATATCTCTGCCAGTGGCAGTAGTTTTATTGTATTGTACAAACGCACCAAAATTGCAATTTGGCTGTATCCACGAGTCATTCCTTCCATATACCTATTCTACCCCTTGAAGTTGTGTCTGTCTGTTACAGAAATGGATTGATGTAATCGCCGAAGGGCCTCTATAATTTCCTGTCGGGAAGGAAGTCGCGATACGCGATATACTTACTCATATATCGTGACTAGGTAGGCAATTTGAAGATGGAGATGGATGTTGTAGTTACCCAATTCAGACTTGCTGCTTCCCCATTTGGATAATTTTCAGAGGAAAACAAAACAAATTTATTAGCTCGCAACCTTCAAGCCCAACCACAAAACAGAGCGATTCACATTAATGATCTTCCCTTCAAAACCCGCCGCTCAATCCTAAAATCATGGCATCCGGTCTCACCACATCGCTCGTGGCCGCTTTCCAAGCAAGCATGGCCGTACTCCTAGTGATATTCTACGGAGCTCTCGCCGTATACCTCAAGCTTCTCGACAGCAAATCCGCCAAGATGATGTCGAAGATTTCCGTCAAGTTTTTTCTGCCCGCGTTGGAGTTTGTTAAGATTGGTCGGGAATTGCATGCTGGGGGAGGTCATCGATATAATGTGATTCTGGTGTGGGCATGCTTGACACATACGATATCTTTTTTGCTCGGTGCTGCTGCTCATTTTATCTTCGGGATGCCGGATTGGATTACGGCTACTATCATGTTTAACAATACGACTAGTTATCCATTGATGCTGATTCAAGCTTTGGATCAAACGGGTCTTTTAAACCCTTTACTTTTAGAGGATGGTGGAACGGGATATAATCCCGTCGAACAAGCGAAATCATATTTTCTGGTGTACTCGGTTCTCTCGAGCTGTTTGACATTCGCCGTCGGTCCTCGTATGATGGATACCGAATTCGCCATTGATCCGCCCGAGGAGGAAGATCTTTTATCTGCACTTGCACAGGTACAACAAGATAGGGAGGGAGAAAGTGAAGAAGAAAGTGACGGCATGCACTTCGCAACCGAACACACGAATCTTCTTTCACCTCGTCATCGGTCAGCCATCTCCAGCAAATCCACTTCGTTCTTCCCATCTAGGCGGGCTTCCACGGCACCTTCCATGCGAGACACCAATCGAGCCATCGTATACGAGAGACGCCCCTCTGTAGTGAGCAGACGACGATGGTTTGAACTTAGTGATCGATTTCGATGGTGGGTACTCTTCTTTTACGACTTTTTAAATGCACCTCTGCTTGGTGCCGTCGCCGGTGCAATCGTTGGATTATCACCTGTTCTTCACCGCGCATTCTTCAACGAAACCGTCGATGGTGGAATCTTCACAGCATGGCTTACGGCATCTTTGGAAAACATTGGAATACTATTCGTTTCCTTGCCCGTTGTGGGCGCAGGAGTTTCACTATATTCTGCCGTCACCAAGACCAGTGAGAAAGGGAAAGGCAAGCAAGCCGCAGCAGGAACTCCTTGGTTCATGACATTGTATGTTCTTGCGGTACGATTTGCAATTTGGCCAGTGATTTCTACGGGCATCATTTACTATCTGGCAAAGAACACAAATTGGGTGGGAGAAGATCCTATGCTCTGGTTCTCGATGATGTTTATGCCATTGGGTCCTTCGGCAGTAAAGCTCATTACCATGGTGGAAGTTAGTGATGCTAGCGAGGAAGATCAGCATAAGATTGCGAAATTGCTTGCAGTAAGTCATTTGCGTGGTTGAATGGTGAAGCATGATAATTGACTCCAAACTAGATTTCATATGCCGTCTCTCCAGTCATGTGCTTCGCTGTCGTGGGAAGTTTAAATGCATGCCAAGCCGCAAAAGGTTAATTGCTTTCTATTATGATTAAATCATACAAACTAGGAGGAAAAGCAAAGATATTTTTGCAATTTCTGGAACATTGTTTGTTTCTGCGAAATATGGAGTTTAGATGATTGTCGCGAGCAACACAGGCATATGAGATAGAAGTTTTGGCACCTCAATTCAAACTGCATGTATATTAACATCCGATTAATTTCTTGCTATTGTTGTAGATTAGACTTTGTTGAGTCGAATGAATCTTTTCTTGTTTTGGCACCTCGCCTGACGTGATTTGATTCCGTGGGTAGTTTTAAATAACCCACAAGAAGATGAAATTGCTTGTGATTTCGTGACTAGGTTTCGACGGTGAGGAAACAATACAGACAAACTACTTTAGTGAAGTATCCTTGGACACAGCAGTGAGCAACAGCTTCAGATGTATGGTATCCACTTGGCATTGAACAAGATTGGAATAGAATATCGCTAAAGCTGTATTGGTCCGTCCTTGAGCTTCACCAATTCAGCTCACCACCCCCTGGAAATTGCAATAAAGTATACTTGCCGTTTTGTTAACATGAATAGTAACAAGTATTTCATTGGAAATTCATATGCATTTTCTATACCTTCAGAGCATCACGTAAATGAGATAAAAATGGGGACGATATCCTAAAGCAGTACTTTTCCAAGGTACGTCTGACTTTGAAAACATACACAATTGACGGGCCTGGTGATCTTTCATCTTCCCCAAAATGCCAATGTCAGTGAATTTAACCAATCGATAAATGAAGAGCATTGAAGGTTTTCAAGAGATCAACAGACTATACTATATATAGTTCGACAATGAGGAATTCTTGCTTCTTGAGTCGATTTTATAGGTATATGACTTGAAGCCCAGCCCAGACAAAGTCAATTGGAAACCCTAAGTTGAAACTAAAATTGACGTACTAGTAAACCCTAATATTCCCTCGCATCCCTGAATCCATGAATCCCTACAGCCAACGAATCAGAATGAAGAACTTTGAAGTTCTAAAGCATGGCTTCAGCTTCAGCCTTTGAGACTAGATATTGACTTTTAGTGCGGGGTAGAAATCGTTATCTGAGATACTAACTCGTATTTAAAGTTTTGGCTGAACAATACGTTTGAGACATTATTTGTAGGCTCTTATCATGGATACAATGCTACAACTGGTTGTTTTCTTGGCCTCGCAAAATGGTGGTATCGTGATAATGTCTTTTGGGCAGAACTAGAAGCGCGAGAAACATACGTAAACTTTACGTGGGCAGCCCTGAGAAATGATGGATATTGAGACGGGATTGAGATTGTCATTTTGAAACCAATTAAATGGTGAAAGGCGCGAGATAAATCGTGATAGTTTTGATGATTCTTCTGCATCTAAAACTTGGTAGGGCCAGCGCCAGCGCCAGCGAACTCGCAAAGCAAACACTGCCTGGCCTAGCCAGTATGGTTTATATCCACCACTTGTTACTAAAATCAAGTCGTCATCAAGAAGTCTCAGATTCAAGCCTCGAGATTCGAGAAGCAGTTTTCGATGGAGCCTCCGGATAGCTCTTTGTAGCTCATAGCGCAAGTGGAGCTCATGCATTGATCTCGGTGGTTTTATTGCTAGATCCTTTATGGTGCACACAATTGAAGTTCTTGGCTGCGCTGGGATGTACGTATCGGTAGTTTGAAGATTGATACAAAGATATCTTGGAAGCCCCAAGAACTTTCTTGTACATGGACTACTTGGCATAAAACTATAACCGATTTTTTTTGGTAGAAGTTTGGAAACAAAAAGATATGTAGACAAAGAATATTCATACAAGCCTTGTGGTCATGTGTATGTGGATATATCACGTGCATGAAGGAAGAACATCTCCTTTCTTTCTGGAATAGGCTCAAGTAGATAAAGGATCACTGATAAATGATAACTGATCATGCCGGTATGATCAATATCATTGATTCGAAACGACCTTTGATGACTTCATCTCGATTCTATCCTCCTCCACAAAAATAATAGCAACCACTTTCGGCATAAAGATCATACTTCAAACTTATGATTGGATGGATGTGCACAGCCTTTGATCCCACAACATCACGAGAAAACGAGGAATCGAAGCTTGTAACCTAGAATAGAAGCTTTGCGTATCGATTTGAGTTCCTGCAATCAGGAGCCGTCGCACAACTTTGGGGGCTAATCGTGCTAGCATTCGAACTGGGCGACCTCCAAGTGGATAAATTGAGCCGTCACCACACCACGACATCGCTTCGCCTCCACTGAAGTTCGTGGTTGTCTCGAAAAATGGCAATCATTTCGATGATCTTGAAGATTGAATGGAAAAAATAAGTTCTCCATATGCACCGTTCTCCATATGTGATCGCCCTTCACATCTTTTGTTCCTTTCAGCGATTATCCATGTTGATCATTCATTAATATCTCCTTCAGCATATTGATTGGTGATGAGTGCTTTGAGAACGACAACCAAAATCGACACAAGAAGGATTTAAATATAAGAAATAGAAATGCACCAAAACGTATGCAAGATTATCTTGTCCTAATTGTTGAAATATTCCCTGAACCACTTAAATATGGGGAACGCTCCACTAAAAACTGTAGTGTCTATTAAATAGATACCGTCCGGCAGATGTGTATGATGGGACCAATCATCATTAGAGGAGAAAATAAAAAGGGATCGATTCATGTAAATCCTCGAATTAAGTCAATATGTTGTGTAAGCTTGTCCAAATCGAGAGGGGTTCTTTATGTGATTGTTGATCTACCAATACCAACTCTTTTGTTGAATGGTGCATCATTAGAAGGAGATCCGATAAGAGTCATATGAGAGTACATAGAGATTAAAATGATTTAGAAGATTATATTTCGGATCCTACCGCTGTGATATACTAGTAATCATGCCCTTCTTGGACCAAAAAGCATGAGAGGTTTGCAGATATGTTCATATGGATATGATATTTCATACGATTAATCGTACTTTGAAAATCGTACTTTGACAATCACGCAATGGTAATAAGTTAATCTACAGTATCTATAGATAGATATATCGGTAGTTGAATAATATGTGGAACGTTCTTTGTAATAAATCAGGTGTAAATATAAATGTTAAATACTCTTTTACTAATCATCTAATTATTTTTATAAGACTCAAACAATGTATTTCAGTAATTTAGTGAATTCCTAGTAAATAATAGTAATAATTGATAAACATTTTCCGAAGTCCGAATTGATTAGCTGTACTTATAGTGTCAAAGAACTTTGTCAAAGAACGACGTCAGTTATCGAATTAGGATTAGTTCCCATGTTTTAGTACAGTTTTGATTGCGGGGAAAGCCTTAGCGACCGTGAGCTAGACAGGGATTATGAATGTAGCTATATGGGCTGACTACCGTATGTGTGCGTGTCTGTCTCTCTCTATTCAGATTGATTTGTACTTGTTATCATCTTCTCTATCCCTCCCTCCTTCTTATCAATTCTGAATAATCATAACACTTTCTTCATTCCTCATATTCCTCATAAACCTTCTTATTACTCATAACATAACCTTCATACCTTCCTTCTTCTCAGTTTACTTTACCTTTAGAATTTCTCTCTTTTTACAACCAACCTTACCATCATTGTAGAATCTCAATCTCAGTCTCTGAATCTCAACACAAAAAAAAGACCCTTACCCCACTCTCACTCTCACTCACGATAAAAAGTTACCAATAAGGTGACTTCACCGAAAGACCGAAAAAGCTACTTACTGTAAGAACTAAGAACAAAGAACTCTTGGGGATAGCTCCGGATATACCAACTTTAAGTAGAGCGAACTTCATTTCAAAACGACAAAGGATCCCTCAACACGATACAAATCGAAAGATTTCAGCTTCTACACACCACCCCGAAGCTGAGAGAGAGCAGCTTACGGCCTTTCTCAGAATCTCTCATTAAAGTCTGCCTAGGCTCAACAATCACAGTATCACAGCCATCACCGCCGTGATACTCGACCAAATAAATTCCACAACCTTACATATTCAATCAACACGCAGACATGTCTTCAAACAACAGCAACAACAACGATAACAATTCACCTCCTAACGAACCCTCTTCTTCTAGACCCCGTCGCGGTTCCATTACAGCACAAACCTTTACCAACATCTTCCGTTCAAACAGCACATCTGCCGGAGGTCCGGTCAGCCCATTCCCTGGTCCCATCAACACAGCCACGTCTCAAGATCAGAAGCGAAGAATGTCAATTTCTACTCTTGGTTTATCTGGTGCATCTCCGACCCAATCATCGGCATTCCCTTTTGGTGGTCGGCGCGGTAGTGTTTCGACTGCGGGTTCCGAGTCAATCGATGAAAGTGCGATTGATGATGACGATGGCCCTCTCAGAAGTAACCCAACTACACCCTTCACACGTCGTATGTCATTCGGTGCTCAAGCGCTTCGGACTGTTCGTACGGGTAATGGTAGCCCTGGCACAAATGGTAGAACACCTGCTTATACTACTTCTACTTTATCTTCCATTCCAGCAGGTTCTCAAGGTGGTGGTAGAAAAACACCTCCAAAATCTCAGTCTCAACAGGCAAGCACGCAATCAAAACCCAGAACTCCTTCTGACTTTGTCTCTTCTGCTCGCCCAGGTGAGGGCGGTTTCAACTGGTCCGAGCAGCTTAGATCTCGTGCTGAGAGCACAGTCTCTCAATCCCAACGTCCTTCCATGTCCACCTCTCCCCCGAACAATCAACGATTTCATGTGCCAATGCATGAGCGAGCTAAGAGCATTGGTGATGCCCCGTCCCCTCCCACTTCCGCTATTCCCCCTGCCGCCCCACCGAAGCCTGCTCGAAAGCAGCCGGATGCCTTTCAAGAACGTATTTTGAAGGGTGATTTCTACATGGATTGATTGGTGTGGGTTCGTGTAGGAATTTCCTTTGTCTTTCTCGGGCAAGAGTATGAGAATGATCAGGAGCGGATCGTTCATATTTTGGCGTCTATTGGTCAGTCGTTAAGGGAATAAAGAAATTTCTTTCCAAGTATCGAGCAAGTAGTTGCTTTCGTTTCAATACAACATGGATACGGATACAATATGGATATGGAATATCAGCTCTGCGCAGCGGGGGATGAACAAACAAAGGGAACGAGCAAAGCATCAATATCAAGAGTATCTACAGCCCTAGGTAGGGCGAGAAGTGTGGCAGGATATAGGATTAGGAGATCGGATATCGGAGTGTACGCTGGACGTTTCATTCTCGAAATTTGTTTTGCTTTATTTCTGGAGTGCAAGAGTTAGCTATACCTGGGTTCAGAATATGGAACTGGAACAAGAGAACACAGAGAAAGAAGACTGAGCAGACTGGCGCTCTCGGACGTTATGTGTGATGGGAACATGGATGGATGAGAAGTCCAGAATGATGATTGATGAAGTCCTTTATATTGCTGGCGCTTGTACTTCGCTGGGATTGGGCAAGCGATGGCATGGCATGGTATGGCTTGCTTGAGATGGAACGAAACGATGGAATGGGATGGGATGGAACGGGATGGGATCTTTACGCGTTGGAGCTTTTTCTTGCGCTGGCCTTCTACTTTCCAAATTGTACTTTACAGAGCTATCCAGCTAGCTGTCCTCGGCTGACCTTCACACGTCGGTTTGAGTGGAATGGAATGAAATAGAATACAAACTTCTTTTACTTTGATGAGTGACCTCGTAGTGTATTGTATTGCATTGATTGGTCTTTCTTTAGAGTATGTGTCCCGCATAATCCATGTAAGCTTGCTTAGGCAAGCTTACTTACTTCTAGATATAGATATGCAACAAAAGCTTGATAGTCCCGATACTAACCAATGATATTCGAGTCTCGAACAAAAAGCAGCTGTTTGTTGCATCTACTGTATTAATGATTGATATACCTTATACCTTATACCTTATACCTCATATCTCATACCTCTCTTTCTTTAATTATTCATTGAATATACAATATACAATATATAACAAAACCAAAATAAAATATAATAATATAACAATACAAAATACAATAATACAATACAATATAATACAATACGAATACGATTCTGGTTTTATTTACTAGCTTGCTTGAAGATGGATGGATGGATGGATGTATAATAAAGATCAAGAGAAGGGGGTGATTAGGGTTAGTTAGTGAATTGAGATCAGCAACATTTTCATATATATATAGTAGTGTGCGTGCGGAATGAACATGAAAATGAAAAGGAAAAGGGAGAGGGATGATCGGAAAATAGAGTATTCATTTGACTATTTTTATATTTTTATATTTTGGGGGTGAACTGAACTCTGGGGTGGTGTTAGCCACTGTATTCTACTCTACCACAACTCTGAAGCTCTAGAAGCATCTGCGAAACTTTATTGTACTGTACATATAGTAAGTACAGGAATCTCTATTTCTGCATCTCTCCCTCTCTTTCCTTTCCTCTGATGCGAAAACTACCTATCCCAACAAATTGGTATATATAACACCTTGCTTCGGTCGTTTTAACCCGTCTCTAATATCGTCTACTCTCTATCTCCTTTTTCTTTATATTACGTCTGTGACTTGATCATGAAAATCTATAGAAAAGTTAGCATTCTTGACTCCTGCCTACATAACAAATGACGAATCCCGAAAATGTCTATGGAAATACAAACCTGGTTCAAACTCGCCACATCCATACTAGCCATTCTCTTCTGCGCGATATGTCGAGCTCTTATAGAGCGTATACCCATCGGCGTTGGTTTCGCTTTTGGTTCTGTGACTACTGGTGTATTTTCTTTGGTGGAGGATTCTGATGTGGAGGACGATTTGTGTTTATCCTTCTTCGATTTCTTCTTGGAGGATTTGGAGGTGGAGGTGGTTTCTTCGATATCTGCGCCCGTCGCTGCTGCTTCTTTTTCTCTTCGTTTCTTCTCTTTCTTTTCCTTCTTGTGTACTTTTATTGCGGCTTCGTCAAGACTTTCGGCTTCTGATTCAGAGGTAGACTTCGATTTCGACTTGCGATCCTTCTTGGATTTTTTCGACTTCTTGGTCTCGGTCTTATCTTTATCGTCCTCACCCTCACCCTTTCGCTGTTTGCTCTTTTTCTCCTTCTTGCTTTTCTTGCTGGATTTCTTTTCTTCGTCTTCCTGTTCCTCTCTCTTTCGTTTCGATGACGACTTCTTCTTTTCGGCCACGGGTTCCGGAGTTTTCTCTTCTTCTTCTTCCTCATCCGAACTGGAATCACTCTCCTCACTACTACTATCCTCCTCCACTGTCTTCCCCTTCCCCTCCAAAACCTTCACTCTTTCCTTCTCTCCATCAATTAAATCTTGGATCTTATCTCCAACCAGCACACCTCCCTTAACAAATCTAATACTCCCCCACTTTCTCTCCGCATAGATAGCCCTCTTCAAATCCTCCCTCCCCTTCTGTTCCTCCTCAATTACGGCCTCTTCCTTTCCATTCAATCTCCCCAATAAATTTTGGAAAACGTCCAAACCCGTGCATTCTCCAGGGCCAACCCCACTCCCTATCTTCGCACCCAATCCTAAATTGTTATCCTTGATCACTACACGGATATGCGACGCATTGGCTGCGGTATGGAATTCGGCGTGCGCGGCATCTTTCACACCAAGATATTCTCCAGGTGTCCAGCCCTGCGACTTCATCATGCGATGCCCAAAACTGTCGGTGTTGCCGGACCATCTTGTATTATTAGGGTCGAGGGAGAGTTTCATTTTGCTAGAGGAATGTTGGTTAGTTTGTGATTTGATGTAATCAAGTAAGCAAGAGAAGGGGAGGAAATATGAACACACTTTTTGGGGGCAGAGAGACCCATCTTTGCGGTGGGATTGGGTGTGGTAGTCAAAAATTACAGAGGGAACTTTTGATATTTGGTGATGTTATCGAGAAATCGAGAAAAAGTGGTCGGGAACTTTTATAAATTCTAGTGGGGAATGGGTGCTAGGGTAACCATAACGCGCTAATGTCTGATTGGCTGGCTCGAGGAGCTTGAACTTCAATCATATTCATCTCATCTTCACGTCCACCTCAGAATTCTCGAGACTCCAAATTTGTTTAAAAGACTTTCGTCTCATATCATTGAGCAAAGATCCAATAATATCAGTTTCTCTACCTCACAATCTAATCCTCACACTATACATCCACAATGTCACCTCAATTTACAAACAATGTACCTATCGACGACGATTTAGCGTCACTCGTTTCCTCCCAAGATTCGGTCACGGCAATGGATTTTGTGAAAAGAGCCAACCAGATGATGGCCGATGTATTGATTTCCCACAAACTTTCCTTGTACTTAAACTGACAAAACGTCTTACAGACCAAAAAACGTCGTGACGCAAAGCGTAACAAGATTGAAGACGACCGTGCTAAGCGCATCAAGGATGCCAAGAAGAAGCTTGAAGAATTATATGACAGCAGGAGAACTCAGAGGTGGGTTCCCTTCTCGTTCTCGTTTCAATGTTCAATTCCCATTATTTTTGGTGTGACATATGCTTCCCCATACACAGCTTTCAAATCCAAGTCTTAGTTTACATGGGGAACTCCTATCATTTTCCCTTTCAAGTTATTAACAATAATACAGAAAGGCACTCCAAAAGGCTCAGTGGAAACGACTTGACTCAATGAACAAGAGACGTCAAGAACTCGAAAGCCACATTCTAGCAAGCATGACGACCATCGAACATAGCACTCTAAACATGGTTCGCGAGTTGAACACTGTTCTCATTGGTCGTTTGAAGAGCATGGAGGATCTCGCTAATACCCAGCCTGCTGCTTGACGATATGTGCGTATTGCATTCCGCTTGTCTATGAGACTTACTAACGTGGTGATAGGAGAAGAGTTCACACTTTACACTAGATTTTGCTATCATTTATTGCTATACACATACTCACTTATGGGACACATACTTATCACAGGGCGTTGTAAATGGACGTGGAAATCTGGTTCGAAGATCGCGTAGGAAGATACCCCTGAGAGCTTGCTTATTTATATCGCGAATTATTAGCACAATATCAAATGCTCTTCTTTGACTCTGACTTGCATAGTGCCTTTCCATCATTTCATTTGTGTATTCCGACCGTAAATCATACAATTCCTCATGCCGCAACCTGGTATCCCTGCTATAATACAATCAAAAGCTCTCTCCACATCAAAATCCCCTATCTTCCTTCCAGAACCCAGCAATCCTCCCCAATTCTCCAATTCCATTCCTAACCGAATCAATAATGACCTTCGCGATTCCCTCTCTCTTTCCCTTTGACTTGCCTGCCGCCCCTGGCATACTCGGCTCCTCGCTCCCCATCGTCGGCAATACATTGTCACTCGCAGACAATGACACAAATAGCGCAAACGGAGTCAACCATACACATAGTCCAAAATATGAGGCAATCTGCGTGAAATCTGGATATCCCGAAGTATCGTAGATGGAAGTTGGGGTGCTGATTGGTCCGGCGGCGAAGTGGCGGAACCAGAGGTAGTGGTTTACTATTACAAGAGCTATTGGAATAAGTATTAGTTTTCCACCTCCTTATGAATTTGGGGAGAGGGAGAATAGCATACCGCATGAAACGAGGAATAAAGGGTCACTCAAATGGACCACTGGGAATTTCCTCATATTACCCAAATACACCACATGAGAAAGAATACTCATGACGCTCAGTTTCCAACTGAATCCATCGATCACGCATAAAAGGGCTTGGAGCCCCATAATCGCATATATCATTCGTGTCAAGAAACGTTTAGCCATAACCGTGTGTTCTTCGACGAGCTCCGAGAGGTAGTATAGTCCTGAGGCTATATTATATGTTAGAACCAGTATTGATATACACATCTAAGATAGCATCATCAAGTAGAATGCAAGAGCGCGCTCCTGGAAACTCATGCTCAAGATGGATGAACTTACCAATAGCAGTAGTAAGGAAGCCAAACCCAACTGCCACACCCAGCCATCCGACAACTGGTAATATCCACATGATTTTGAGAAACTGGCAGTGAGATGTTATGGGTACTGCATTATGTTGTTTTTTCAAAGGCAAGTAAGTTTAATGGTTCTGATGAACGTTAGCTGTTCTTTACCTACCCCAGATATTTGGTCGGCTAATATTCGGCAGAATGTTCAAATAAAAAAAGTCCGCATGGGATATGGACCTAGAATTTTTACCTTCTTATCGCACTGATTTGGATTGAGAAATTTATACCGACCATTCAGTTCTGACTTTGCTACCTACCACGAAATTCCAGGATTGAACCTTGGACAGGAACATTTTGCACAGGTAGAAATAAGAATATAAACAAAGTTAAACCCAATCGCACATCACAAAAATGTCTCGTCCAGAAGATACACTGTAAGATCCCCCCTCCTCAATGCGACAACCGCCAATTCCCTCCTCTCTAACACCTACACTAGCCCCCCCGACCTCCACTACAATGACACCGAAGCTCGCAAATACACCACCTCCTCTCGAATCCAAAACATCCAAGCGAGCATGACGAACCGAGCCCTCGAGCTCCTCGACCTAAACACCCCCTCCCTTCTCCTCGACATTGGCTGCGGCTCCGGCCTCTCGGGCGAAATCCTCACCGCGGTCTCCGAAGACGAAGGCGGTCCGCATGTCTGGGTTGGCATGGACATTAGTGCATCCATGCTCGACGTTGCTTTACAGCGAGATGTCGAGGGTGATTTAATGCTGAGTGACATTGGCCAAGGGGTTCCATTTCGAGCGGGAAGTTTCGATGCCGCGATTAGTATTAGTGCGATTCAATGGTTGTGCAATGCGGATAGTAGCGAAGTATCGAGTTCAGGACGACTTTCTAGATTTTTCAACGGATTATATGCATCGTTAAAAAGAGGAGGCCGAGCAGTATGTCAATTTTACCCAAAGAATGACGAGCAGAGGTCGATGATCACTGGAGCTGCGATTAAAGCGGGATTTGGCGCGGGAATATTGGAGGATGATCCGGGAACGAAAAATGCGAAGTTGTACCTGGTATTGACGGTTGGAGGAGGCGCGGTGGAGGCTGGAAATGGGGATATTACCGGGGTGGTGAAGGGGATGGATGGCGTGGATGTATTGGATGCAAGGAAAAAACATAGAGAAAAGGGCAGAAAGGAAGTGAAGAAGGGTAGTAAGGCATGGATTTTAGGGAAGAAGGAACAGATGGAGAGGAAAGGAAAGGTGGTCAAGAGTTCGAGTAAATATACGGGCAGGAAGAGAAATATTGCTTTTTAAGAATTTTGGGTTGGGAAAAGCCGTGCGTGTATATATGCATGCAATGGCGTTGGGGAGATGGGGATATGGAGCGTTTATAATATCAGGTGTTTTAGCAACAATGAAAAGAAAACATATATATGTGTTAGCAGAGTTCCAAGGAGTGACAATGCTACATTACATGTTATTTATATTTACAACATCATCCATGTAACTCTCCTATAAACCATGTTTGCAATGAGTCTCCTGGCTCGCCTAGTATACCCCTCGTCAAATATTAGATAGTTCAATAGAGGAAAGACTTGCAAGTGATCCCCGGTGAGCTGGAAATCTTGGACCGCTCGCTCCCGGAGAGCTCTTGGGTCTTGGATATGGTTGCAAGTACCGAACATGAACAAATTCGAAAATGAACATTGGAATATTGAGCCCACATGTATCAAGAAAACCCCTGGAGTGCATCAAAATGAGCAGACGTGGAATCAAACTGCTTCCTGCTTTAGTATCAACCCAAATGCCTCAATAGTTTTGTAGCTAGAACTCGAAACTCAAGCTCGGAAAAAAAAATCACATCAAGATCCAGATAGAGCTGTGGATTTAATGAATTTTGTATACACGTCTACTCCTTTAATGTACACTCGCATTCATATCTAGGGTATTCTTTATACAGTCTATCTTCCACTCTATCCGGCCAACTCCATCTTATCCAAAATAGCACGGGTGAACTGGTTAGTTGAGTTGTTTCCACCCATATCACGAGTTCTTACGGCTCTGTACAAAAAATTAGTTACTGTAAACTCATAATTCCAAAAACTTGATATCCCTTACCCTTCAGCAATAACATCATAGACAGCCTTGGAGATTCTGTTAGCATGGTCGTCAAGACCAAGATGTCTCAAAAGCATGGAACCAGAGAGGATCATAGCAGTTGGGTTTGCTTGGTCCTTGCCCTTGATATCCAAACCAACGTGACGGCAACCAGGTTCAAAAACAGCAACGTCACGTCCCATATTACATCCAGGAACAAGACCTGGGCCACCGACCAAAGCAGCACCAACGTTGGACAAGATTCCTCCGTACAAGTTAGGCATAACCATGACATCGAACTGCTGTGGTCGGGATACACATTGCATAGAAGCGTTATCGACAATCATATCGTCGGATTCTAAAGTGGGGTACTCCTTAGCAACATCGTTGAAGGTTTTACGGAAAAGACCATCTGCCAGTTTCATAATGTTTGCCTTGTGAATACAGGTGACCTTCTTGCGGTTGTTGGCAAGAGCAAAACTGAATGCGAATTTGGCAATTCTCTCGGACTTTGCGCGGGTGATAATCTTAAGGGATTCGACAACACCTGGAACCGATTGATGTTCCAATCCAGAGTATTCTCCCTCGGTGTTCTCACGGATGATGCAGAGATCGACATTGTCGTGGCGGGTCTTGTAACCTGGGATGTTCTTGATGAGGACAATGGATGCGTAGATGTCGAGTTCTTGTCTGAGTGCGACGTTGAAAGATTGATGACCAGATCTCTCGACAGGGGTGTGTAAGATACCCTTAAGACCAAGCTTGTTTCTCTTCAAAGATGCTATTGACTCCCGGAAAAGATCCTCAGTGTGTTTGTCTCCAGTTTCCACACCAGACACATCAACCTGTTCCCATTCAACCGGCACATTGTCTGCTTTGAAAATTGTCTTCACGGACTCGGCGACTTCGGCTCCAATACCATCACCCGGTATTAAAGTGACAGTATATTTTCCACCATACTTCGTAGGCTTGAAGATGTCGGATTGGATAGTTGCGAAAGTTCTAGTGGGAGCGACGTGGGCGGTTCGCAAAAGATTCTGATAAGAAGAAGATGAGATTAGCTTGTGACAGACACACACGCACACAATCTAGGAAACGAGAATGTGCAATTGAGTATTCTTTAACAAATTTCACATACTTGCGCCGACCTGACGGAGTTTCTTGACAGCATCTTGAAATGAGAGAGTATTAAAGGATTTTTGGTAGGTTGTGTTAAGAAGGCCGTAAATATTTCAAGTTGGGGTCGGAATACCCGTGAAAAAGGTAAGAAGTTCAAGCCGGGTTGTAGATAATTGAGTCTTACCTAATTGGGAACCGGCATGTGGAATCGGTTTGTCACGGAGCGGAATTTAACGCTTTCTCAAAGAATTTCCACTTACTTTCTTTTCAATCCTCAACTACCCGAGTAACTTATAATATAAGTATGATTGAATTCATGAATAGCATCAAATGTGAGGTTTAATATATTCCACTACACGAGTACTCGTACTTTAAGTTACTTCAATCACATCCTACCTAGACACCTAGACCTAACATTATAGGTAATGATAGTTTTGTGTCTCATCGAGGGGTAGCCTTGCGGGGAAAGCTTGATCTCTGCCGTTTTGAGGCCTTGTAATTTTTATTTTATGCATATGACGAAACTCAAGGGAGATGGAAGTATCCTGTCTATCTCGTCTTCTCTGGTCAAGATTGGATAATATTAATTATCATCTTGAATTTCATTCCCAGTTCGACATTCTTTCTCTGTTCGAGATAGTAAGACGGGATGATAATAAGATGGAATTTCTATCATTTAAATGAATATTGAACATAGTTTGTCTGAAATTTCAAGATTATCAATATAGATGTATATCGGTAGGTTTTGGATATTGAAAAGTCTCGTCGTCCCGAATCCAATTACTCTCTCAAAAAAGTGTGTCTTCTTTTCTCAGATCTAGATTCTAAATTCTAGATTCTAGACCCAAGAATATAGAGTAGAAGAGCCAGGTTCACAAAGCTATTGTTCTCAACATCCATCCAATTCCACCATCACATTCCCAGAATTTCCCAAAACGGAACACAATCAATTCTTTGACAAACGATTAAGTTAAGTTTCCGACGATACATACCTAGGTAGTAACCTCAACCCAGCCCTATATAAACCCAAGAAAACAAATACCCCAAACATGGCAAACAAATCCAAGTCAGCACCTGCCTGCGAGTTAATCAATACCTACTATCAAGTATGCAACCACGTTACCATATCTCTTCACCATGCTACTCGCATTGTCCCGACACGATCTACGAGTAAATCCTCGGAACCTAGCTCTTACACCCCCTCATCCAACCAGACTATAACAACCTGTCCGCAAGCAATTCACAACCTATCACTTCCTCCACCACTGGATCAACAGCAAAAGTCTGAAACGACACTGTGTCCCTCGGTCGTCGAACGTACAGTTATAAATTCAGGCTATGGATGCCCAGAGTGTGAACCAGAGTATCATCGATCAACCGATTATGTCTCAACCCAAAAAGGCCATCGGGATAAGATAGCAGTGAATGATGAGGATAGGAGGAAGAAGAGGTTTAAATGGTGTATGCTTGCCATCACGGAATGGGAGGCCAGAAAGAAGGCGGCGGTTGGGGAAAGACCATCGGATGAGCAAAGTTGGAGCATTTTAAAAGAACAGAAGGTGGTAAATCAAAGTCTATTCTATCTGATAAACCCAAGCTCCACCTGCTAGGGCCATTTGAGCAATTATACAATGTGAGAAATATTGACACTTCTCCATCTAAGCATCTCGGTGCTTCCTGCCACGATGGTCCCAATCTTTCAAAGCTATGCCCATAGCAATTAACAATCACATTTTATACACCTTACAACAGAAGCTGAGTGAGGGAACAAAAGCCGTTTCCAGGTAAGCCTCATGAGTTGTTTCGGTGCTGAGTCAAAGTCTTCCAAGCATGCGAATTCCATAGACGGAGACAGCCTTCTATGATGAGCGAGGGAGAGTGAGATCAAAAGTCCTAGCGATGAAGAGCTTGAAATGACTTCACAAGGCTAAAAATGGATAGGTCGATGATTTTCCAGGTTGTGTATCATTCTTTCGTGATTGATAGGTATATTATGTGTGTTGGTCCCTACAATTTTGATAAGTCGATCTTCCAGTGTTGTTGACGTTCAGCTACCAAAGTTGTCCCCAATCCCGATTTTGTTCATAATCTAAGCCAGCCTGTACATCAAGGTCTATGAGTTGTGGATCAATCATCCTCGAGAGGTCGCAAAGTTATTGGGTAAGCTTTGCTGTTGTTGGAGAACTCAGGTCTCCCGAGTCTTCGCAAGATCAACTTTTCTCACAGCTCTATAGTTGACACGCTTGATATATTTGCCAAATGCCTTAGGCCTAGCCTCTGTTTCCAACAAAGAGAGCATTGCGGTTCGTTAGGTGTTCCGCATTGCGATCATTGCTCGAACTCTCTCATACATGCCAATCCATCATGTGTATGCATCTCCATTGACAAGCTTGGTTCAATCGCATAGGACAAGATGGTCGGTGAGTATGAGTATGACGAAGAAGTCTCTGGAGAATCCATCTATCTGACCGATACTGTGACTAAGGCCTTGGGCTTACTTCGAGTCCTTCCCTTTTACGAAACAATTTTTTTTTCCAATTGTGGAACAAAACTAATGGGAACTCTCAATTCTTTTCGTTCCACGATGTTCTGCTGAATAGCGCGAGGTTTCATACAATTTTCGACTATGACGGGTCTTGCTTCTTTTCATGTTTTCTTGCCTGACATTCCATAAATTGCTGTAATGAATGAGCCGGGTGGGCGGAACCCTGGCATTTCGAGAAGATTTTGATAAACCTCACGTCGATACCACATATAGCTGCCCCATCCCACTTGTTGAATAGAACTATTCTTCTGCTCCTAAGATATTCTCATACTTTCAAAAACTGCCTACAAAATAATGTAGGTATAATCTTGCTTGTTTCCTTGGGGTGTGTGCCATATGATTCCGTCTACAGAATCCAAATTATGATCATGGGAAAGACATTTTCTATGGCAGGCCTGCCAGAGTGACATGAAATCTTTCCATATGATGTTGGGAATCAGCTGGAACTTACTGTGACATGTTTTGAGTGTGTTCGAAAGTTCCGGATGTTAAAGGACACAAAAGTACTAGATGCAAGATTCAAAAGTAAAATGAAAGAGTCCAAAAATGCGGTATGTTTTCAGTTAATGGTGAACAAACGGCGTTTAGTTGCGTACGGCGCTCATTGAATCAATTGACACCCATTCAATCGATCAACTCCCGTTGTTCCTTCTCAGGTTCCCGAAATACGGCCCAAAAACCCAACATTTCGACATCGTTGTTTCCAAGCCAAATGGGCTGGAGATGCTGTTGTAGAGATTCACTATCTGCATTTGAGGTTTTGAGGGTATCGATCAAAACCGTCGTCGTGTGGTTGAGACTAATGTTGGCACTCAATTATACATGCTACCAATGCAGTTATAGACTCAAAGGCTTTTGGTAACATAGCAAATGTTAGAAAAGAATGATTTGTTCCCTCACACATACATACACACACGCATATTGTTCTCCTCGAGCTTTTGACCTCCAATAAGTGTGTGATCATCTAGCCCCAACAGGAGTGTACCCTTGTTGCGTGTCTCCGATGCCAACATTCAGGCCCTTCCTCTTATCAATGAATTTTCTCACCGCTGCCCAACCAAGCAAACCTAAAGTACCAGCAATGAAAGTCAGCACTACAATCTGATCCTTTCTGCTATCTCGTTGAAAGCATGTTGTGAAGACATCTTTCTCCTCGGCCTCTTTACATATTGGCAGTCGCTGGGCGAGGCAAAACGCTCGATTGCACATAGCACATGTCGCAGCAGGGGTACGAGAATTGTGTTTCGAGTCTGGTTTCTCGGACGAAGAGCTTGAGTGCGAAGATAGTGGAATGATGGTGCTATTAGTGAAGCAGGTACATTTGCAAAAAGACGGAGGTGCTGTGTACACGATCAGTCTAAATATCGACAACGTTGATAATACACTTACAGGCTGCTATGGTTGAAACAATCAATGTACATACAATAAGCAAGAAGTAAATGCCCCTCATCTTTGTTACATAGGTATGTGTCAAGCTTTTTTAATCGTGGGTACTTAGATTACTCAAATATTGGTAATGCTGTTATGAATGCGCGAGAGAAAGCTTCATCTCATCGTCTACCATAAAGGTCCTTCGGTCTTCACATGAGGTTGGTCACTCTTGAACTCATCTAATAATGATTCAATTGCGCTAGTCCCTTTAAAGACTAGCTCGTTTCGATCCCAAAAAGTTCAAGCTCAAAGCGATATTCAACAGCCTCATTTCACTTTATACTCTTGATCAATCCACACAAGATGCGTCGAATAACAAGGATAGATAGGTCGATTGACCTTTTACGTACCCGATCGATATCACAAAACCCATATGCGTACCGCTGCTCGGCATGCAGAAACCAAACATCCTTATTTTCCACTTCTTCTGTACGAGGGGCAGACAAAGAATCATTCAGCGAGCGAGTGCGACGAAGTCTGTTCAAGCAAGCCCCCTCCACATCTTCAGATCCTCCCACTGTGGCTAGTCAACTGCCAGCGCAAGAACCGGAACGCATATTGGAAGAAGATGAGATAATAGCAGCCGAGGATGCGGAAGATTATCAACCGGCCGAGAATGGGAGACTCTTGGAAGTGATGGGTGGTGACGAGTTATCGTGGGATAGTAAATTGGATTCCAGGTATCCATACAAAGTTTTCATTCCACAAAAAAAGGTCGAAGACGCTGTTGAAGCGACTGCAGCATTACATCGAGCTGTAGTCGAAGTTTTCGCCTTAAAACATGCTGGAAGGCCCTTGTCGGAGGTATCCCAGACTGAGCCGGGTCCTGATTTAACTGGAAATGTACAAATCGAACGCGCGGCCTCGGGTACCGTTCTAAAGTTCTCCAAAGATTGGTCCCTGATACAGTTAATTCAATCGTTGGCACCCCCCCAAAAACCCAAACAAAACCGTAAAGCTCTCCTCGCTGCAAACTCTTCGATTGACGAGACTGCAGAAAAGAGTACGCCTACCGAGTCTGAAGAAGATGTAGCTGCCGATAGGTCACCAATAGATCCTTTGCATCCAGAGCCTACACCAAAGCTTGATGAGACGTTGGAGAAAGGGAATCCTACCGAATCAGAGGAAGATGTTGCAGCGGATCGGTCAACCGTGGACCCGTTGAAGGCCAATGTTAAAGCACCCGTCGCATCCTGGGGAAATTCGTGGCTCCAGGTTTCTCTTGCCAACCCAGCGATTAAATTTGCTGTAGGTTCCAATATATGATTATTTTATAGGGGGTTTACTGATTACTTTATAGGTCGTGAAACGCACAATCCAATTAACAGGTATAAGAATACCTGACAACGCCATCAACTCCTCAAGTACGGTAGAGAAGCTTTTGCAACATCTCATCACCCCACCCAAACCTCCAACTCTGAAGGAAGCTTTAGAACAGAAAGATGAGTTACTGTCATTACCAAACGTCAGCGTATTCGGACAGCGTATTACACCAATCGACAAGGAACGAAACCTTGGAAGGTTGAAGGTTATTAAGAAAGAATTGGTGGCTCAAGGGTTAACCAGAGGATGGGCGAGGGCGAAGACAAGTTCATAACCTGTGTATATTTTGTACAATACTCTTCGATCACAACACGTGTTCTGCCACAAATATATGAAGGGCAATCAACTACATGCATTTTTTACATATTTTCCAGTGTTTCAAACTATGCTGCCTTCATAACATTCAGGTTCCAGTCAAATTTGATCAAACGTATTCTGAAATCATTTGCCAGTGTTGTGATTCGAAGTCATGAATCAAGAGAATGGGTTAAAGCTTCTGAAGACAGCAACATTGAACAATACATATTCTAAGCTTCTCCACGCTTCTACTACAAGCGTTTTGATCAACGCTATTCTAATTCCAACATTTGACCCGTATGGTTCCCCGTTCCATAATTGGATCTTCTATCCTTCCCATGCGCATACGTGCAGTTGTTCTGCTTTTCCATGTAATCTATGTATTGACTCGGGACTTTTTGAAGATTCTTACCATGAGATATGTCAAGGAACGAATATACAATCTATGGAGACCCAGCCTTGAATGTGAGATTCTCTCTCTTTGTCTCTTGAATCTTCTGACCGTAATGAAATACATGGCAAGATGAAAAGTATCGTCGTAGTGGAAATCTTCCGCAGATTCTCGAATCCTAGGGGCTTGACGAGGATTGCTCCTTCCTTGCCTTACAATTATTCAACTTTCTTTCAGATATTGGTTGTGATATTTGCCAGTATGATACTGTATATCACAGACAGAAAGCTTGATAGCCTCAATGATAATGCATTCGTCAAGCCCTTTCTGTCTCCTCCGACTACTTTGCTTGTACGCCGCGACTCATCAAAGCAATGTATTGATTGAATCCTGCGAGTTGTGAGATATTCAATCGCATTACAAGCTTTTTGGATATCCTCTCCTAATCAATGTTAAATTCCGATTCTGTGTCAAAATACATGAGCTAAATGGTGCATACACTTGCTGGAGAACAAAATGTATGCACGATATCAAAACTTCAAAAGCATTCGTACGACGTTGACATTGTGAGCGTGAGGTGAGTGGTCAAATCGTAACATGTAACTCTCTAAAGAATCTCCACCGTATTTCATGGCTTCTATTTCTGTAAAGTGTTCCAATTCCTCCCACACCGGTTCCAAGCTTTCGTCATTATACTACAGTACATGTAATCGCAAGGCTGAACTGAGGAGGTGCAATCTTCTAGATCTGGATGAAAGCTCAATTGTTATTATGTTCTCCGAAATGTAAAAATGACAGTTAGGTGAGCCATACATAGTCTCAAGTTACCTACCTGTCTCTTAAACAAGTACTGTACCGATTGGTCATTACTCCTAATATCCACAACCAGATCATCGCTTAGTCTACCACAAATTCTCCAACACAAGCTCTTCATAAGTCCTTCTTTCATACATTTTTTCTCTCCAAATATGTACTCGAGTACTGTGAATAGATTCCAAGAAGAAGGAAGATATTTATATTATACTCTCGCACCACAAGGAATAGATCACTCAACAGTGTGTCAGTATCACCGAGAGAGACTACATGACTGCATGTCTACAACAATAGAGTATAGAAATTCGGACTTTCAGATCAATATGGGTACTGTAGGAAAGAGATACTCACTCCTAAGTGAAATATGATAGGACAAGGCAGATTAATGTCTCCCAAGGCAAAGAAAGCAATGCAGATAGCCAGCCGGTAATGAATGATAGATAAAGTACCCGGTGTATGCATCATAATTGATATCCAAATCATCACAGTGATATCTTGAGTCTTGACACGAAGATGCAACTTCCACATCACCCACAAGTTACAACCATCACTGAGTTTTGACATGACCACAATCACAATCAAAATCACCACAAAATCACTACGTCAAATCACGTCACATAAAGCGATTGAATCCACAATCCTCAATATCATCGGGGAAGATAAAAAATGGCATTTTTCGAAGCCACAGCACGAACCTCTAACGCGGTTCACACACGACCTTATCTAAACAATGCCATCCCCATAAAAAATTCCAATCGCACACTGCGAGCACCAGTTCCAGTTCCATGCCCGAATAAATATCCCACGATAAAGTATGTGTATACGCAGCGAAAGATAGATATATCAAGCAATCAAGCCAGTCCACACTGTCGGTGTATGATGTAACAGGTCGAAGTCTAAAAATTGTACAGATGTGTCGCTGGAGTGATGTCGACTAAAATGTAACGAGACGGATATCCGTGAGCAGCGATACATCTAGTTTTGACGCGACATTGTCGGCAATGGCATAGGCAAGCCACTTACAATTGCGCAAGCGCAACATCAGCAGCGTAAGCCAAAGCGTAAGCATCTCTCTTAGCCTTGCGGCAAGGTTGACCTGGGCGTCCGCACCAAGCCTCAGCATTGGCCTCGGCCTCAGCAATAGCCTCTCTCTTGCAAGGTTGTCCAGGGCGTCCACACCAAGCCTCAGCGGTGGCCTCGGCAAGGGCCTCAGCGACAGCCTCGGCCGCACGACGAACAGCACGGCAAGGTTGTCCAGGACGTCCACACCAGGCCTCAGCTTCGGCATCAGCCTCACGCTTCTCCTTACATGGTTGTCCAGGGCGTCCGCACCATGGCTCAGCGTTACGCTTGCAGGGTTGTCCGGGACGTCCGCACCAGGCCTCAGCCTCGGGTTGAGCATCACGCTTGCATGGTTGTCCGGGGCGTCCGCACCATGCCTCAGCTTCGCGTGCAACGACTTCGGAAACTAGAGAGATATGTTAGCATATATTCAAAGCCAAGAATTAGGAAGTAGAGGAGGGGAAGAAATCAGAACTTACTCTCACGGGTCTCGATGTTGAGGCTCTCAAGGAAAGCAGTGGAATCCTCAACGGTCTCGGCAGTAGCCTCGGCGAGATCTCTAGCGAGTCTCTTGGCCTCGAAGCAAGCACCACCGACCATGTTGCATCTCTTGATGACAGCCTCATCAACATCAGCCTCAGCGGCTGGCTCGGCGAATGCCTCAGCAAGTGCCTCAGCTGCGCGCTTGTTCTTGCGGCATGGTTGTCCGGGGCGTCCGCACCAAGCTTCAGCTTCAGCTTCAGCGAGTGGGGTACGCTTGCATGGTTGACCAGGGCGTCCGCACCATGGCTCGGCGACGGGACCAGCGACGGCTTCACGCTTGCATGCTTGACCAGGTCTAGAAAGTATATGTTAGCATTGGATGTTCTTGTATGAAATAGATCGAAGACAGGGAAAAGGAATGAATATCTTACCTTCCGCACCATGGTTGAGCCTCAGGAACAGCGGCCGCGGTGGCAATAGCAGCCAAGATGGCGAGAGCGATTGCGTTTGTGAACTTCATAGTTAATGTAGTTTCGAAAGTAAAAGTTTGATAGTGAGTGTAAGTGTTAAAATCTGAAAGATTGAATATGGGTAAGGAGAGAAGAGAAGAGATCGTGTCAAAAGCATCGAAGTTGACGTGATTTATAGACATTTGAATTTTGCGTTGTTCAGTATTAACAAGAAGAGATTCCGGGAACTCCGTAGCTTGTGGTCCAGTGAATCTTTGATGAAAAATCCTTCTATTGAGATTTTAGCAGGAAAATTTCCTATTGAGGGTCACAATAAACCATGAAGCGAAAAAAAGGTACCGAGACGACAAAGATTTTGGAAACAATTAGTCTCTTAAAGCTAGGCTACTTCTTATCTACATGGTGGGCTCGACAAGGTGGGAAGAATTTTGGCTTAGTACTCATCGGTCTGTACAGTTTAATAGGAAGTTATCCCCAGTTTGATTGCAAATTGTGGATGTGATGGTGCTTAGAAAGCCTACCGAGACTCACATTCCAATTCTACGGCCCATTGAACCATAAACTCCATCACATCTCATCTCATCTGTAAAAAACCCATGCCTCACTGATCAAACCTGAACTAGTTTTCCCTAGGTCCACTTGCTTTACAGACGTTTCTTCTAGACTCAAAAGGAATTTCCTTCCGCACTAGCAAAGAACCTGTTCAGATTTTCAAAGAGCCCCATTAGAGATTTCATGAAGATATAATAAAGGGGTGAATACCTCGTGACTCTCTTAACGACTGAAATGACAAGAAAGAGTAGTCTATTGAGTACCTTATTGGGATCTTATTGACCACCCCTTTCGAACTTGCTTAATTGTCAATAAAAGAAAAATTTCACATTATTCCCATCCAAAGCCCAGCCCTTCATAGTGAATTTATACATGTCAATAAAAGAAGACCAAGGGAAGAAGAAAATTTTAAACTAAGCATGGATCTGGAAGACATCGAGAAGATTCTAGATCGGAATTCACTAGAGCCGCAGAAGCTGCTTGTTTGATACTCAAACTTCCACTTCCTTTGGCTTATTAGATCTAGCGAAAGAACTTTAAACATGAATAAAAATCATGACACTCTTTGACGTATAATACAGCACAAGCAAAATCATAATAATACAGTACTTAATAATAGCCTCGGAAACGCCGAGTATATTTCTCTAAGATCGAGGGCACTAGGTAATAGTTCAGACATGATCAATGTCTGCGGGTAGATCGGGATGAGAAGATACTATATGACTCGAGGTCTTGAAATGGGTTGGGCGGAATAACGAAATGTAACAGAGCTCGTAGGAACTTCTTGGAGTGTAAGAGATCAGACTAGGCTGTCAACCTTCCGTCTTTGCGCCAATAGCCAGGTATATACTAACTTATTTGGGGTCTTTCTTGCTGTAGTGGTCGTGAGTGTCAAAATATCAATATACAAGCGATCATATCCTAGGGATCATGTGTATTCATTAAGTCACCGGCTTTGAACATATCGAAACTATCGCCCAATAGTTATGTAGTGGAACTTTCACATTCTGCCAATGACTTCATGGCTGCGGAGCTATATTCCTCTTAGATTTAAATATAATCAAACTTTTTTCTAAGATACAAGTATTTTGTTACAATAGCTACTCCAAACATCCCAACGTTCATCTACCATTTTTCTTGTTCCTTCTTGTTCCTTTTCCATTGCCGTTAGTTGCAGTGGTCTTGACTTTCTCAAGAACTTCGAAATCATCAGCACCGGAGCTGCTGGAATCTTCTACCTCCTCATATTCTTCTTCGTCTGGAGTTTTATTCAAAAATCGACCGAAAGTTTTGTTGAAAGCGAAGATTGGCAGGCGGAAAAGTGCGGTGTCTCTCATAGCAGGAGCAGGAAACCCGTCGAGCTAAATGTTATCAGCAAGGCTTTTGCAAAATGTTCAAGGATCAACTTACATCGAGCAAGAATTCTTTCATTTTACCATCCTCATCAGCTTGCTCCAAGTATACGTTACTGGCAGAATCAACAATGAGCACTTTGCCATTTGCGGCAACGACTCTCTTCTTTGGTCCAATAACAGATTTTGGAGTTCCAGGTGCAGAAGCCTTGACCTTCTTGACCTTCTTTTCAGTTTTGTCTTTCTTGGTATCCTTCTCCTGCATGCGTCTCTGTTTTCGGTTCATTGGCTTGTCCGTAGGATCGGCATCTGCATCGGTGTCTGTTCCAGGTGTAGAGGTTCCATCAAGGCCAGGCACATTAAGGTTGGAATTTCCACCCCATGCAGAATTTCTTGCGAATGTAATATATCTTTCCACGAACTCGCGCTGTCTTCTCCAGCTCAAATAGAGGGCGAGATAATGCCCACCACCTCCAATGAAAACGAAGAGGCCCACGAGCACAGATCCAAAACCGGGACGGAATCGGGCATAGTAATATCCAGTGCCCTTCCACTTTGGGAATCCATTCTTCAAGAAATGATCGTAACGTGCGCGACCCTCCCCCAAGAGAATTTTGTTTATCAAACCCAGCCGTGTGAATCGATCGCTAGCAGCTTGATGATGTGCCTTGATAGCTGCCTGCGAAGGGCCCTTCGAAACATTGACATCCGGCTTCTTGTCCTTTCCTGACTTGGACTTTTCGTTGTTTCCTGTAGATTTATCGGCGATGAATTGAGCTTTGACTTTGTCCGGATGTAGGGTACGAGATTTCTTTTTGTAGGCAGCTCTTATTTCCTCTTGATTGGCAGATGATTTAATGTCGAAAAGATCGTAAAATGTAACTTCGGTGCCCTCATGGGTAGCGACTTCGTTCTGCAGACGAAAGATTTCCTGATCTGTAATTGACTATGAGCTAGGTACTTGGCACATTTCAAGATGAACAAGAGTGAAGTATAGAATATTAAAGAAGCTATATAAGCCAACTCACCTTCTTTGCTCCATGCTGCAACGAGGATCAAAAGGCAGGCCAATGTGGCGAGGGTATAGAAGAATCCCTTCATTGTGCCGGAATGAAGAAGAAGAAGTTAAAGGAGTATTAAATAGAAGGAGCACCCCGGTGATGTGTTACTTCTTTTTATGAACACTTTCTCTCTCTCTCTCTTACTTTTCTTGGATTTATAGGAACTTTCTGCTGGGATGGGATTGTAAGATGACAGCGAGGGTTTTATTGATATTCGGTAATAAGAATACCGGTAGGTTAATGAACCGCTTAAAATTCTTAGAATTGGAGTACCTAGTTACATAAGATGATTGGATTCTTTGATAGGTCCAACATTATAACATTCATATCCAAACAATTGATTCTATATATTATTTGGTTATTTGGTTATTTGGTCTAAGGGTTGCTTGTTCCTGGAGTGCCATTTCTATTGCTTAATCATCAAGTTTGTATATTTTGATAGGTCGGTTGGAGATGGATGATGTTCATATAATACCTAGGTATTTATTATGTATGCTTTGCTATGCTGTTTCCAATGATGAACAGGAACGGGTGAGTAGCTCAATGCATTATTATGCAAGTACACGCCCTATGGAACTCTAGGTATGGACTCTAATATGAACTCTATCCAGGACTCTCCTCTAGAGAAAGTCGGCTTCCAAGTCCTAGCACGGTGCCCCAATACAACCAGACCTGCCGATTTACCCAAACCTTCACCGCACCCATATAAATTTCTGTACTACTCACGCTTCATCCATCCCATTTCCTCTTCCCATTTTATTCTTCTTCCTCTTCTCCAAAGAAGAATCTTTATGAGAAGTTATAGGAACTTCGATATAACTTCTCGAAGCTGCATGTGTTTCAGAATCCATTATAACCCCTGGCTGAACGCCCGGACTTCCTTTTTATTGAATTATTCCCTCGACAGCTCTTGCTGGGGTTTCGGGTTATAAGGGGCCAATCGTTCGTTTGTTTGCTCAAGGGATAAATTTATCACAAGAGCTCCTATAACTTACTACAGTACTTACTGTACTCATACATGAGAAGATTCATCGATTGAATCAACATTCACTCATACGCAACTCAGTCGTAAGTTTTTCTAATATCTCCAATCAATATTCTCTCATCCTTTCTCACTTGGAATTATGGTATCCTGCCTATTGTGATGACGAATGCTGACCAGAACTTTTTTTTATATATTGACAGATCTCAAGACAAAGGTTAGACTAAGGGGGAAAGATACATTTTCCATATTCTCGAACTTCCTACCTCTACCTCTCCTTATTCCTCCAATACCAACGGAAATACAAGAATCTGAAATAATTCTTCAGCGACTTGCGAAGGACTCCTTGACTTTCATTAAGCTCATTTCATACATTTGTATCCTCCTCAGCAACAGACATAATGTCGCGAATCAATATCCCCTTCGATCTTATCACGTCTAGGTTCAATCTGTCTGACAGATTCTCCGGTGTGCGGGCACAATCTCTATCTACCAGATTCGCCAATCTTAAGCCTGTAAATGAATTCTTCGACTTCAAGCGCCTTTCCAAGCCGGCAAACTTTGGTGAAATTCAATCCAGAGTTAACTTTAATATTGGTCACTTCGCCAGCAATTACTTTGCATTATTCATCATGCTTAGTATCTACAGCTTGCTCACCAATCTTCTACTTCTATTCGACATCATCCTCGCCGTGGGAGGTATGTGGGCGATCGGAAAGCTCGAGGGTCAAGACTTAAGCATTGCTGGATTCCAAGCTACATCCTCGCAACTTTACACTGGTCTCTTAATCGTCGCAGTTCCTCTTGGAATCATTGCGTCACCATTCACAACACTCCTCTGGCTCATTGGAGCAAGCGGAGTTAGCATCTTAGGACATGCCTCATTCATGGACAAACCAATCGATGAGGCTTTTTCCGGGGAGGCGGTCTAGACGGTCGGCCGCGATCTCCCAAATCTATGCCCCAATGGGGAAGACCATCAGGTGCGAAGGGGAGCAGGAGGAGGAGACAGCAGGAGCAGGGTCAGGGACATTGGCAGCAGTCGCGTGTCGAGGAGCTTGATAGCGAGGGTGACACAGATACACAAGGCGTTGGGTTACATTTGGGCGAGAAACGATTTGCAAGCGACCCGCTTCATTTTACGGGTATAGATATTTCTTCAAACACGAGGCCTAGGAGGGGTTATTCTTATGACGAGGCTGAGAGATCTTCCGAATCTGATTCTGAATATTCGGATTACTATGAGGGCGATGACAAACAATTGGCTTTGCGAGGGGGCAACGAGGAAGCAATAGTACAAGGTGCTCTAGCTCAAATTCGACGTGCTCAAGATAAAGGAAGACAAGATGTGAAGCTCACCCAAGAAGAGCTTGACGCCCTGGAACGCCGACGGATACGTATGCAAGCTGCTGCCGCCGCGAAAGCTGCCAAGAAGGGAACCGGACCAACTGGAATTGGAGCGGAAAAGAAACGGCGAAGCGATCGAAAGACTGTTGATATTGCTTCTCTTATAGACCCTAAGCCATCTAGTGAACCAAAGAAAAGAAAGTCGAAAAGAAAGTCCGGTAGTTCTTCACACAGTACTACGGCCGGACCTGGAATCATTGTTGATGGACCAAATGGATCTTCATATACTCCAATTGGTGGTTATCATCCTTCGGATAGAGAAACATCTCGTTCTCATTCATCAGCACGTCACGATGGCCATACACCCCCAGGTACGAGTCGACATTTCTCTGACGGCATGCGGCCAACTTCTTCTCATAACAACAATCCTCGTCGTTCTTTGCCAGAAGAGGAAAGCTGGAATCCTACCAATAACAAGCGGACTTCTCTTTCTTCTCAATACCATGTCGCTGATCCCTTTGATTACCAGGTTTCCGCTGATCAGCTCGCACCCATTCCGCAGCAGTATATGCACCCATCTCCAGGTCGTCGTAATCATTCCGGTCCCGCCGAAATCTCTTATACCTCTGTGCGACGCAGTCCACCACAAGGCTATCCTGCCACAGATAGAGCCCCTTCCGATTCATCTCTCAGACATCGCAATTCTACTCGGGGCGAGATTGACGTCATAACAATTCCAGATAGCAGCGAGGAATCAGATTCGAGCGATGAGCTAGAAAATGGTGTGCAAGTTTTCCTAGAACAACGAGAGCCGGAACGAGAGCGGGTTGTTCCTAGGAGACCTGTTAGTGGTAGTGGGAGTGGTAGAAAAAAAGGCAAGGGAAAATAAACACAAATGGGATTTCGTTTTCGCTGTATTACAGATAGACTTTAACTCTGCTTTCAATGAATTGTCTTTTGCCAAAAGTAATTGATGCTGGTGTTTGTATCCGCAAGCGACTCAGCTGTCACCAAACTGGATTCTGTATGCAACATCTTATCCATATTTCCAGGTTGAATATAGGTTGTTGGCAAAACTTACTAAATTCGTATGGCCGCAGTTGCTTGTTACTGCTTACGAGACCAGTACAATTATTTCACTTTGATATTCCCTTACCAGTTCGAAAATGTATATCAATCATCCTGAGTATCTGGCCGTTTCATTTCATACAAATAATTTTCTACATCTACGAGTATAGGTACGTCTAATATTGACCTTAGGTGAATGGCTCACGCTTGAGAGGTTATACATGTAAGATTACTCGAGTATCAAGGTCATATTGAATAATACTCATACCGGTATTTCTACCTTTCACAATTACTTGAATCTATGATCGAGTGAACTTGCTTTGATTTTTTTGGGCTGGAGTTGGGATGCCAGTGGGATGGTTGGGTTTGGGTTTTGATATACCGGTAGATGGTGGAATACAGTACTTGATTAACCCTAGAGATGGGAATAAGGCAAAGTTCACTTCTTCTACAATTATACTCACTCGTATTGTTGGATAATTAACTACATAATCCGATAGGTCGCCAATAAATAACCTTATCAGTGAAAGTAGTAATATAAATAGTAATTATTTCGTGAGACAAGTTGGAAGTGGAGGGAGGATATTTCTTTGGGTTCGAGCCAGCACATGTGAGAGAAGGATACCGGGAAGAAGGGTTTCGGAATAATTCAATTTTCTCTTCAAAAATAAACAACCACACAATAAAACATCCTGTCTTGGCTTTTCAATCCATTCACAATTACAAGCCCTTCAGTAATACTAAAATCCAAAAATGGTCCAATCTAACGAGTCGCGCTACTCATCACCCCTCTGAAAATTTCATAACCATCTTCTAACTTGGAAATGCGATCTTCCAGAAACTCTCGCTGTGTCCTCGTCGAAGTAGGCTCTGAAGCGATAGCCTCCACTTCTCCATCGGAAAGGCTATTCACTACCACTGGGGAAAAGATATTCTCAAGATTCCGAATAATGTGTCGTTCTATAACCTGAGTTGTGATGATCGCAATGAAGGTCTTCTGAGATACCTGAATGCGAGAAACTGATTAGCAAGAAGAAGAAGAAGAAGAAGAAGGAGTAAGGTTGTGACTAACCTTGTAAATAGCGAAAAGACATTCAAGGGCTTCTTCGGAACTGAAGTTATCCATATCAGGATCGATGTGGGTGAAAAACTTTGTGGCTACTTTGTCAATATAGATTGATGCAGAAGTATCTGTATCACATTCGGCGGATTCCAACGAATCTGCGAGGAATGCCTTCTGGCGCTCCTGACGGCGTTTGTGGATTGTATCCGTGTAATAGTGGTTATAATTGATTGGGAAGCCTCTTGTATCCTCCATAATCAATTCCAGCTCTCGATAGGCTGCCTTGCGTCGAGCCTTCAGAGCATCCAAAACCCGAAATGACCAGATCCTAGCTTTGACATCCTTTGGACATTTCTCTGTCAACAGGTGATCCAGAAAACTCTCACAGACTCTTGCAACATCTTCGATGTGATCTTTTGCAAGGGGTTCCCAGTTCGAGGATTGTTCTCGGAAAAGCTCTCCGATGATTAGAGGGTTAAAATTACCCTGAAGTTCTTGTCCACGATTTTTGACCATGATTTGACGAATCCATTGTTTTGCCTTAGCCTTGCTCATTAAGATAGGTTCCTTCGTTGAGGTTGAGGTATTCTCTATTGGTTTGTCGGATGTTGTATCCTCGTCAGTATCACTAGTGTCAGACATACCAATCTGATACTTATGTCCATTCTTTCGGACGGTGCTGCAAAATTCGGTGTTCATGTACTGCACTACCGCCCGAAGTCGTGCGATTGTCGCTGGAGAATCAAGGGAGAATGGCTTGTCGGCATCTTTATGAAAATAGGCATCCTCATAATGCCCCTTGATAGCTGCCTTGCAAGTCTCGTGATAAACCATACTGAGTTGAGTAAGGTATACTTTGCATTCTGCAGCTGCAGATCGGCGGTTGCCAAGTAATTCAAGCTGACACCGGGTGTCAAGAAGTGCCCAGTCGAGATCTTGACGTAGCTGAGGCAACTCTTCTTTCACATGCTCGAAGAGCAGCAAGCTCAGACGATTTCTCAAAGTGTCGATTCCAAGATGGTCCTTGGGCAGCGATTTGAAATTTGATGTGCGGAAATATGTCGCCTCGGATGCATTTCGTTCCACCAGTGAGCTGGTACCTTCTTCGAAGCTGCGATTCTTCAATACATGCCAGCCAAGCTTAAAGAACACATCTTCGTTGCTAGCTAGTTCCAAAAATTTCCTCTCCGAACCTGATCCAGCTGGAAGTCGATCTGGCTTAGTGATGATACCGAGAGTTCGATCTCCCTTTGGATCTACCTCTCGGACTCTTCGAAGAATGGGTTGGTTGGCGGCATCGTTCGTCGCAGAGACTACTGCCAGACATATGGTTCGAGGCTGAGATATGTAACCAGTTGTGATTTCAGTTACAAGGTCAACATCACGGTCCGATACACCCTTTGTTGAAGTTTGGATGAGGCCAGGAATGTCAACCAATGTGAGTTGAGGCTGAGAAGGACCTTCAACTTCGATACTCAAAACATCTTTGGAAAAAGCTCTGGATTGAGAATCTGGTATGTCGTTACTGGATATGCCCATTGCTTTCATTGCCAAGTCCATGATCTCCGGTAACTCTCCAAAATCAGTGATGGATTCATGAAAGGCTTTGATAGCCGCTTGTTCTGCATGAGGTCGTGAGGAATCAGGGATTACTTTAATGGTGATAGAGTTGATCTGGCCATGTCGCAAAATAATCTCTGTAGCAAATCGTGTGCAAAGATTATCGTTCCTAGGGAAAGGAATCTCGGTGAGGGCTTCTAGAACAGAACTTTTGCCCGCGGACTGATCTCCACAAACGACAAGCTGTGGAAGCGATAAGATACTATCAAGTCCACATTTTCGAATTTTGGCGACAGTGTCAAGAACTCGTCGTTGCTCTTCAGTCTGCAGATTCTCTAGAGAGGAAGAAATATTGGGTTCAAGAGGTTTTTGTGATTCGACAAGTTCATCTTGGAAGACGTTTGGTTGCTGCATTTTTGGCTGTGATAAAGGCAAATTGGCAAGAAATTACAACGCTGGGAGATAAATCTTAGAATTGAAGAGTTGTTCGCAAGGAAGCAAGGAAGCAAGAGGATTATAAGGATCTAGAGATCTAAATACAGATGTGTACTGAGCCAAAGCAACATTGGAAGGCAATCGTTGTGTATATATATGCATTCCCTCCCTTATCTCCTGCAAGTGGTATACAAACGGAATACTTGGAACAGCGTTTTCTTCTGTTTGCATAGCCATAATAAGAATATCTGACAGTGTCGTTAACCGTGCTGATGTATTGCTTTTCTCCAGTGGTATAGCTGACAAGGTATTATCATTTTTGAGGAGCTAGTGTGTCTTACACCCTAGGGAAATACCTCTTTCTGAAAATTTTATTGATTAAATTTAAAGCTTTATATAAATTTTCCCTGTAAAGTAAAGAAAAGGAAAGAAAAGAAATAGGAAAAGCGTTTTATGTCAAGTTTTATTTTCAATAATTGTCTTCATACCCTTTCCACTCTCTGTGGCAGTATCTCGCTGGATAACCTACTAACGGAAACAGGCATATAGTGACTCACAACCTGTTTGTTGCAAGTATGTATATGTCTATAGCCGAAACCCTGATCGTGTACTCATCCTGTTTGTTAATTTGAAGGGTTTCTTCTCAAATACAGCACTTCAAGAATCATTTGCAAACTATCATTTTGCGCAAAGTAGTATAAGTTTGTATCCGAAACTTATCGTTTCCCAATATATATATATATACAATGATTCTAGTAATAATAATCAATATACTTTTTTTACTCTATTAAATTATAATATAATCATTCAACTATAGAGAAGCAAAAAGAATAATAATGAAATCTCTAAATTAGAATTAGAAATTAGAAAAAGAAAATATTATAAGATAAATTATACTTTATTAAAATCTAGCTATCCTTTGTTCAACTCTCTCTTATAGTAAGTATTTTTATTGATAACTCACAGCTGTTTATTATTAGAAGCTTATTTCAATGGCATTACTCGTTCTGCGAAACTTTTCGAGTATAGAGTAAACGTGTTTTTATTCTCCTTGTAAGAGACACCTAGACAATGCCTCCAACGAAAACATGGTCATTTGGTTGTGTACAAGGTGTACAAGTAGGAACTGAACGAAAACAACAGTCAACCAGGAGTCTCTAGTAAATTAAAATTTGTCTCGGCTCGGGCAGATGTACCGCGAATTGTGCCAAGGATGCACAACCCCGCAAACTCGCAGATCTACTAAATGCCATTATCCGCTTTATAATGAATGACCTCTGGCCTGCATGGTTTGGTCTGGGAATCTGGGATGCATGTTGATAAATCAACGAATTGCAACCTTGTATACTTTTCATCTTCCTCTTTTCAGCCATATATTTCGCTCGACACAAGCATGTTGACCTCACGCGCCAGTGAACGTTCAGTGAATATTCAGTGAGCGTGCATGCTTGTGCAGTGAATAAAGAGGGGATCGCGGGGTAAACAACTGTTACCGACTCGTACCTAATTAACCGACGATAGCCCAGACTTACATGTAAATACATCAAGATCTTTTTAAAAGGTTGATTCTACCAAGGTCCGCATGCACCAAATGTGGGTAAGAAGCACATCGATTCCCTATCAAAACCTCCCAAGCCTAGACCATCGGAATATTAGAGGTGCTAAAGTATCCCAAACTATCATGAAGGTCTCTAACAACTTCGCCGTTGCGGCTGCCTTCTTTCTGTCTGTTGTTCAGGCACAATGTCCAGATTACTCTCAGTATTCAACATCACAACATCCGCCTCTCAGCAGTGGAAGATATGCTCTTTCATGGATGCGTCCGGAGCCCGCATGTCGGACCTTCAACTCCTCGATTGTTGAGCAAACCATCAACGATATGAACCACATAATCGCAGACCCTGATCTCTACCGCATATTCTCAAATTCGTTCCCAAATTCTTTGGATACGGCTGTCAAGTGGAGAGGCTATGCTGCGGATAATTCGGAAGAGGAATTGACATTCTTGATTACGGGAGATATCGATGCCATGTGGCTACGAGACTCTGCAAACCAGATGCAAAGTTATCGGACATTGTTGACCAATGATTCATCTCACGATTCTCTTGCCAGTCTCTACCGAGGTGTCATCAACCTTCAAGCTCGATACATCATTGAAGCACCATACTGCAACTCTTTTCAAGCCCCAACCGAAAGTGGAATTACCCCTCAACAAAACCAGGCAAACCCAGATAACTTTTCCCCTCCAGAATCCACCAGCATTGTCTTCGAGTGCAAGTATGAACTGGACTCTTTGGCGGCATTTTTGGAGATCTCGACCGACTACTATGAAGCTACGGGGGATATTTCGGTCTTCCAGAAGTTCAACTGGGTCAAAGCTATTGAGACTATAATCTCTACAACCGAAGCTCTCTTGATCGGGACTTATGCTGCAAACGGCAGCGTTAATACGAGCCCATACACGTGGCAAAGACAAACCACCAGTTCAACGGAAACTCTAAGCAATTCTGGAGCTGGAAATCCTGTACAAGAGGGTACTGGCCTGGTGCGATCCGCATTCAGACCAAGTGATGATGCGTAAGTAAATGATCTCCAAAAATCGCATCAAAACTTACACTTACCATAATAGCACGATTTATCAACTTTTTATCCCGGCCAATATGATGTTCTCTCGATACTTGGAATCGTGTAGTAAGATCATGGCCGCGATTGACGGGCAGCAGAATCTTTCAAATCACATGCATAACTTTGCTAGTAGTATCCGAGCTGCCATCACCAAATATGGGATTGTTAATGATCCTACGTATGGAAAGGTTTATGCATACGAGGTTGACGGATTCGGCTCAGGTAATACTTTTTTCTCATATCATATCATATCATATCATAACTCAGCACCCTCATTCACTTGCGCAATCTCCTTATAGCACTTTCCGTTTAATAAACCCTTTCTAACATGGACTAGCAAACCGTATGGACGACGCCAATATCCCCTCCCTCCTATCAGCACCATTTCTAGGGTATCTCAGCGCAAACGACACGATATATCAAAACACACGAAAATTCATCCTCTCAAAAGACAACCCCTACTTCATGCGTGGCCCCGTCATCAACGCGTAAGTCTCCCCATCATATCCTCCCATTTTCCCATCCATTAACTCCCCCTCCCCCCTCCCCCCTCATTTCTCCCTCCAACCCCCACACTAACCCCCCCTTCCCCCCCAGCGTCGGCGGCCCCCACGTCGGACCCGGACGCGCCTGGCCCATGGCCAGCATAATCCGCATCCTCACCTCCTCCTCCGACAGCGAGATATACAGCACGTTGAAAGAAATCGTCAGTAGTACCGATGGCCTAGGGTTAATTCATGAATCGATCAATTCGTTTGATCAGCATCAATGGAGTCGACAGTGGTTTAGCTGGGCCAATGGATTGTTTGGGCAGATGCTGCTGGATTTGAAGGTCAGGAAGCCACAGATTTTGAGGAAGAGCTTTCAGTAGTGCGGTGTTTGGTGGTGGGTTATGGGATTGGGATTGGGATTGGGATTGGGATATGGAGATATTGGGATACTGGATGTTGCATGATTTGCAATGAATAGGATACGGCTATCGTAATACTTATTTTTTAAATGAAATCTCTTGTCAATATTGAAGATGGCTTGAGAATTCGCGATGCCATGTTAAATTTTCTGGAGATCCGATTAACCCTTGATTCGTTGGCCGAATTGTTTTTTTTAAAAAAAATAGTATATGTTTACAAGGTACTGAGTATATACAAGGAAAGTGGTCTATAAATTGGTATCATATCGTCACCATCCACCTAAACTCCCTTGCTATGAAATCAGTACTACCCCAATTCCTTCCTTCCTCATATGAACACGTTATCACAGCCTAATCCCAACCTGCCTATGCTTTTTTCGGAGCCCAATTACTTAACCACGTCCTAGCCTTATCTAGATTTGGACCCTCAGCTTCACAAGCCGCAATACACCACTCCAGTTCCCAACCTTCTGCCTCCATGGCCAACATTTCCGCCAAATTTCTCCTCTTCTGATTTCCCTCATCCACACAGAAATATACAGGTTCGGTTTTATCTTCCATCTGTGCCATCAGTGGTTGAACGAGTGGAAGTGCATCCTTTGTTGCCAATGCTACTTGAGCCCCCTTCGCTTCTTTCGCTTTTCCCGTCTTACAATATACATTTGTACACCATTTTTTACCACAGCCCGTAATCATCTGACCCAGGTATCTTCGTTCCACACGACGCTTCATGGCTTTCCCTAACGGATCATGCATACTGACGTATAGTGGACCGAAGCAAATACTGCAAAGACCCAAATCATTACCGGGCCCTTGACCCATTCTCGAGCCAGCTCCTACTTCCCCGTTCTTGCCAACTCCTTCGAGAGTTCTACCACAATTGATATTCCTACAAATCGCTGGCTTGAATCGGTTGTTCTTCTCAAGATCATGGTGCTTGAGATGGGTAGACATATCGCGAAGTCGAACAATCTTGCTGCAGAGATGACATTCCGTTGTTCGAGCTCCGTCCGCAAGCTCATGGGCTGTAAGTCCAGATATGAGACTTTCGGGAGATGGGTCAAAGGGATCGCCTTCTTGCGGGACTTCGAGGTGACAGAATTGACAGAGAATAATCTTACCGGGACATACCGACGTACGATGAGTAGCAAGATCTCTGAGATTTGTGGCTTCGTAGGGACAATTAGGACATGGGCGAGATTCGTGAAATACAGAGTCGTGTTTGGTTTTGCTTTCTGGTGAACTTCCGTGGGCAGAATCATAAGGACAATGCCAATGATCCTGCCATTCTTGGGATTTCTTCTGAAACACGTTGTTACAGTGAGGGCATAAGATATTATTACGAAGACAGAAGTTCTCATGAAGCATCATTGTCCGTTTTGGTACCCATTGATGACAATTTTTGCATTTTTCTTCGTCAGATCCATGCATTTCAGTGTCTTCTTCGAGCGAGATTGGATTACTTGAAGATCCATTGCTTGCCCCTTTCTCTAGCGATTTTACTCGGAGAGAATACTTACGAGGTCCGTGCGAAGGCTCAGCTCCAGATCCTCGACAGTATATAGAAACTAGCAGTGCATCAGCTCCATCTAATTCCACATTTGAAGGTTGTATGACCATTCTCTTGGTTGTATTGCTCGAGAAGTCTCCGAGGACATGCTCATCTTCTCGCGGCTTTGCTCTTTGATGGGCTGATTGAGGGCTAATGAAAAATTCTACATCGCCATCATTTTCGAGCGACAGCTCAATATCCAGGCCATGCGATCGATCCCATGAGGGCAAAGTATAGTCGACATAATCTCCCTCTGCAACCTGTCCCTGTGATGCTTTCCATATGTCTAGATCCCCACCAATCGAGCTTCCTTGGGTCGTTCCTGGAGCTTTTTGTGCTTTGGCCATGATTTGCTTCAAGGTTTCCCGAGCTTGTTCCTCATTCAAAGCTTCGATATCGACCTCTAAATCCGTATCCACAACACAAATCCCATCTCCTTCTGGCGCAAATTTGTCAATCAGAAATCGGAATTCCTCCAACTTTGATCCCCGAACCGTCAATATCTCTCCAGTCGTTAAAGTTGTAAAATTTTCCCGCAGATGTCTTTCTAGTAATGATTTCCAATCCTCGGGATTATATCCAGCTTCTAACGGCCTCAATCTCACATATGTACCTTTAGGTAGTTGTTTCGCATGTACGGTGATTTGAGCAAGTTCTTCAATTTCATCTGTAAGGTCTATCGTTTCGTCGTTCGTAAGGTCGATCGAGGGGCTGTCTGTAATATCTATTGGCGCATCCGGTGATTCTCTCCCACTCTCCGCCTTTGGACTTGGTGTTGGTCTTCGTACGGGCGCAGTAATTCCCAATGCCTCAAGCAAAAATGGACTTAGGACAACCTCTCCTTCATCTGCGGAGAACTCTCGGATTCCTGCATACACTACATTCCCATTCTTTGAATTCACGAGTCGAAATGTGAGAGGATGGGGCAGTTGCTGTTGGGTGTCTCTCCATTGTGACTGTTCTACGCGGGCTGCTGCTAATGAATATGGATTGAATGGATCGAATGCGACATTATTTGGGCGACTTTCTAAATTGACTGTAACAGTAGATGCTGCTAATAGCTGTTCCAGGGCAGACTGTGGTAACAGTATCTTATCTCCTGGTAGAGAGATGCTGTCTTTCGGGGCAACTTTATAGACTGATGACCATGTTAAAGAAATATCTGGAGTCGCTGCCATGTTGTCCGTGGTGGACAGGGCCAAAAACTGATATTGCAAATTTGTTGCAACTTCAAATTGGAGTAGCTTATTCTCGATATTGTGAAAGAAATATGTTGTTCTCTTTTATTGTGTTGTATTATAAAATAGTTTTTGGATTTGTGAATACCTAGAAGGTTAAGTTACTTTTTCGGATAACACAGTAGAATGATATGTCAGATAATGCTGGATCCTTCTATTGAGCCCTTCTTGCCGAAAAGGTAATTCTTATCGATAAGACATGTGGCTGTGCCTGTGACTGTGCTTTGGCTGTGGCTGTGGCTATCAATAGTGCACTAACATTCATCATCATCATCATTTGACTTAGTTCCAAGAACCCATTCATCCATCCAACTTTTTATTTTTACATTCATTAATAACATTCGCATTTGTCCCTTTCATCATCAATACTCTACCTAGTTATTTCCTTTCGAAGGTAACATTGTTTCTTCAAAATCCTACACAGAGAAACCTTACTCTCAAACAGAATTCGATAGGTGGTTCAATGGAGTGTCAATCCCAAGTGATTACAACCAAATTGCCATATTCTCTTTTACAATTATTATCAAATCCTTTGATTCTTTACCAGATTATCCCCTATCTCCCCGTTTCTTCTCTCTTGGCTCTGGGGGCTATTTCAAAATCTTTCAAAGAACTGGTTCATGAGACTCCACATGTTTTCCGTTACTTGAAGCTCTCCGATGTCAAATATGCAAAGTACAAGGTGGGATCAATTGACAACGGTGGAAAGGTCTGGAGAAATGTTCAGTTGGCTGAGAATGTGACAGAAGACGAGTCAGCTTCACCATTCCCAGTTATTTCAAAAGAGATTGTATGTTGACAACTTCACAGCTTTTATGGTGGCCCATTGAGAGGTATCTTCAAGTACCTTCGCAATCGAAATCTACTGCTTGATGTCCAAACTTTGATTCTGGATGGTCTTTCTGTCCCTTCCGACCTGGTGAGCGACATTATTCTGAACGACTCCTACAATGTTCGCCTCCTGTCAATTCGCGAAGTACAAAACCTGAACGAAGCAAAATTGAGGGGAGCTCTTAAATATTCGTGTCGCCCTTCAAGACCCCCGAATACGCCTCGACTTCAAGGGCTCTATTTTTTTAGTCACAAGGATATTCCATCAGTTGTGAAATCTCGAAGGCATGTGAATAAGTATCCTGCTGGCATCGCGCCTATAGATACAATTCCCAACTATGGAGTGACGTCCTCTCAAGGAGCGCAGCTTGGGGCGCAACGGAATCGAAGATCCGAAAATGCGTTAGAAGAGGGTATGCTGCATGAGGGTGAAGTTTGGCATCCAGGTAGTGGGAACATGTTCCTAAAGCCCATTCATGACGACTGGGCACATGTCATGATCTACTGTGAAGGAATCATCAGTTTTGATGCTCTTCCGTGCAAAGGACCTCGTCATGCAGCAAGCTTACCACGTGAGGGTCCAGGCCCGTGGTACAAACGCTTGCAAAATCGCCTAGACGCGCGTGTAGCGACTCGTTCTCTAAATGAGTGTAGTGGCTGTGGGACTTCTAAAGGTGCCTCAGTGTTCGGACAATCACCTATAGTCAGTTTACCACTTTTGACACCCCTTCCTATTCATGTCTCCACCATCAAGGCCGCAAAGACACTATTTGACGGGTCTACATCTCGAAGGAAACTGATCATTCGCTGCATGGATTGTCTGCGCAATAGGTACTGTGAGAATTGTCACAAATGGTGGTGCGAGGACTGTTATGAAGGGACTGGAAAAAGCAGTAGGACCAGTAACTCGCCAATGTCTTCTTCGAGGGAGCCTGGTACGGAAATCGTCAAGGTACATATAAGTCTTTGTTTTGAGAATTGCCTTGTAGCTGAGATGATGTCCGGTGCAACGGGATGTGGGGTTGAAGTAATTCCACCGTGGCGACGTATGCAGTTACGAATTAATTTTTTTGGTGATACATATTTTGAGCATCTCAACTGCTTTGAGTTGCTTCGGGTGTCTGTCTCGGAAGATTTAAATGTTCAAAGCAACCTTGACGTTCTCATATTTCTACGGAAACCAACTAACGAAAACTCATAGTTCGGCGTCTCAAAAAGCTGCCTTTTCTGCGGACTCAATGTGAGACATTCTGCCCATTGATTGACTGTAACCTTCTTCGCTAACGGGGTTATGTAGTGTCACGAGTGTATACAAAAAACTCAGTTGCGATGTAAAATATGCAATGGGGGATATTGCACGGTTCATAATGAGGGATCTACTCTTACCACAGCAGGTCGCCATGATACCAGTTGGTGTAGATATTAATACTGACACGTACCTAGTGCGATTGTATGAGAGAGAAGTTCAACTGATCTTAAAGCAAGTACTAGTGCTAATGATTGTGTTTAGGGTGTTCTCGCAGTGGTCGACGAACGAGAGAGTTATATTGACTCATTCTCGCCTATTACACTTTTCAGCACAAGAACGGATACGATCTTTCCTCGTGGCCATCAATCATCGACTATCGATACGACGACTAGCGTATTTGATATTTGGGATTGATCTTTCGGTGTAGGGATTAGGAATTGTTCAGAATGTGGAGTATGAGTAATCCCCACGATATCTCCAAGACAATTTATGGGCATTGCGGGCATACCCCATTTCGGAGTTGCTTCGGTTGATATTTGGAATGGAATTACCTACTTGTATCTACCTCCCCTATTCGAACATCTCAAATATGCATTTCCGAGTTCTACGTTTCGCTTTATCTATACCCCGTACCCGACTTCAAGAATTTTCCTTCTTGTGGGGTCTCGGGTTCAGGAGTCAGCATGCATGTTGTTGTGTGCCCTTATTCAGCTTCTTGATAGGATGACCCAAACCCGAACTCAGCGAGCTATCCGCCAGGAAAAGAAATTACATATGCCATTGTAAGTGAACATTTTTCACATTTCTCTTTAATGAATCATCTACAACCAAAGTTGTTTCAATTGGGACCAGAATTGAAACTCCAGTATTGGCCTACCGGTCGGTACCTGTTCGCTGATGTAGAGGCTGAACTTCTGTCAATACTCGGGATCTATCGTTGAGGATAGAAGCTCGAGGACTCAGAATTACCAATTTGAACATCAAATTTCAATTCATTCGTACGAATTCCTTGTTCGATCAGGTGGTCTAACAGGTATAATATTCTATTGCCGCACTACCAATCGTATTATTGAGCTTTTGACTCTGGTTGGTCAAGATCGGTTTTACTAGTCGCGACTCTCTTCAATATGTCTAAAGGGCAAAGGATAGACTCCGTACTCCTTATACTCTCAGGATAATCTGTCACAAAGTATTTTAAACCTCGGATTTGGAATGCGGAGTTATTTGGCCGTCTATCAATATTACTACTGTGAAATACTGCAAAGTAGTATCATCACCCATCCATCAATTATTTGTATACATAAAAAATTGTAAATCATCTTTATTGGAACTCTGTTCCCCGTTCCCCCATCTTTTGACCCTTTTCCCATATTTTCCACTTTTTTTGTCCCAGTAGTTTTGCATAATTGTTCCGTAGCCATGGGTTCAGTAGCCCTAAGCTCTTTCGATATACGGCAGATCAATCATCATATACGATCATAAATGGCGGGTTTTTCCTTATCCTCCGGCAAATTGATATCCGTCATTGTGGGGAAGTATCCTGTTTCTGGATTTGACAAACCCCCCCTCCCTGCATCAAGAGTGCGTGCGCGGAACCACAGGAACCATACATTCATAGGTTAGGAATAAATTCCACAGCTCATCATGTCTTTCCCTATAAATGCCAATGCCCTTTGACACCTTGGCAACTGCTTGGTATAATCTGAACTCGCATTCGCATATTTCCTCATTGGAAAGCCACAAAGAACCATGAGACAACCAGTAATTCGTGACATTTATGCTTCCTCTCCAAGCGTTACAGATGTCGAGAAAGTGGAGGAAAGACCTCATCACGATGAATCTCGACAAAACGACCGAAAGGATGCGGATTTAGTCGAATTCATCCCCAACGACCCGGAAAATCCTCTTAATTGGACGTCGTTGAAAAAATGGACAATTGTTCTATGTTTGACAATCGCCAATTTCAACTGTCTATGGTAATTCACCCTGACGCCATTGAAATCAACCAAGATACTGATGTTTACTTTACAGGATAGCTTCAGGTTATGTACCCGCGATTCCAGAATTCAAGGAAAGGTTTGGCACTTCTGCTGAAGTTTCTACGCTTCCTTTGGTTATCTATGTGCTTGGTTTGGGATTCGGGCCCATGCTGTTGGCCCCTCTCAGCGAGTATTATGGACGAACTCCAGTTTATCTGGCGAACTTCTTCATTACTGGCATACTCTTGATCGGCAATGCTTTAGTGGGCAATGTTCCTGGATTCATAATCCTAAGGTTCATCACGGGATTCTTTGCTTCTGCATCAATCAGTAAGCACTCCAACTTGTCGAGCACATCACGGTTTACTAACAACTCGCAGCAAACATTGGAGGGACAATCGCCGACTTGTTCCATCACGAGCACACGGGTATGCCCTTGGCAATCTATACTGTAACCTCAGCCGGAGGATCTGCAAGTGGAGTCTTTGTTTTCTCCTTTATAGCCCAGTTTCACGGACTTCAAGGGGTCCTCTGGGGTATGTGCGGGGCCAGTGGCGGATTTTTCCTCCTTCTATGTGTCTCCCTCAAAGAGACCCGGCACTCTGTGCTCCTACGTCGTCGCGCAGCTCGTCTTCGTAAAGAGACAGGAAATCAAAATCTTGACGTCCCGCTCGACATGCGCACACAACCTGTAACCCAGGTTTTCGCTACCGCTCTTACCCGTCCATTTCATCTACTCTTCACCGAGCCTGTCATCCTATTCACCGCCGCCTACAATGGATATCTCTTCGGCATCGCATTTTTATTCAATGGTGCATTCACCATCGTTTTCTCGGACGGTTATGGCTTCAATACTATACAAACCGGATGTGCAAATCTAGGTGTTATTCTCGGTGCATTTTTAGGCCCCATCACGCATATCTGGCAAGAGAGATACTATCTTCGTAAGGTCACGGCGGCTGATGGAACGATCAAGAATGTGCCAGAGGCAAGAGTCCAACTCAGTATAGTGGGCGCAGTCATATTTCCCATCTCTCTCTTCTGGTTTGCGTGGTCTGCACAGCCGGGAACAGTACATTGGATCGTACCAATTATCGCATCGGTATTCTATGGCTGGTCTTTCTATACGATTATTCAAATGACGTTTATGTATATAGAAGATACGTACAAAGTGTATGCCGCCAGTGCGCTAGCAGGAGTTTGCTTCGCGAGGAATATTATCGGGGGTACCTTTCCATTATTTGGCACGCAGATGTTTGAAGGTCTTGGAGTGCAGTGGGCGGGGAGCGTATTGGGATTCGCTGCGATTCTTCTAATGCCCATTCCGTATGTGTTGGCTAGATATGGCAGACGCTTGAGAAAGAGAAGTCCGTGGGCAAGGGTACATATGGATGATTTGGGGGAGGACGAGGATGTTAAGACGTAGAATATTGACTAGCATGTATGTGTTGATGAGTAAAAAGGGGAAGCGACATATTGGGGAGTTGAAACACCTACCGTGGGTTATGGGTTAAGGCGTTGGTGATGGGTTCACGTGGCATGATTGATAGCGATACTAGTAACTTATGATAATGAAAAAGATGAATGGAATATATGGAATGAATACAATCAAATAGAGTACGAAATAAAACACGAAAACAATCCAACTATCTTTCTTCCACTTCACTAGGTATCTATACCGCACAAACCTTCCATTTACTCCATCCATTGCAGCAATTTCACCTAAAAAAGTACAGATAACAATATAAAAGCTTCATTCTTTTCTTTTTACTTGTACTCGAGTATTACATACTTGCTACTCGACTCGAGTATACACTGTTTCTTTACATTCTGCATTATACATTTCATCTAACCATGAACATTATCATTGTCATACTCATACTTATACTTATACTTATAATTATACTCATACATACTTACCCGAGTATACTCTCCTCGTAATAATACTACTCGAATACAGCAGCCACATTTTCCTTTCACCAAATTCCAATTTCCAATTTCCAAATACCAAATTCCAATTTCCCATTTCCAAATTACCGTACAGAAATTTCCCCAATATTTCCCCCAGAATACATCTACACCACACCATACCATACCATACCATACCATACCTGTACCTAGCATAATCTCCACCCCTCACCCCCTGAGTTCGAGAACCAGAACCAGAACCAGAAAATAATTTCTCAGAGATTGGCACCAGCTAGCCAGCCATCACATCATATCACATCAAGACCGATCTACCCACCAACTACATTTGGCACTTCTCAATTCTTGGTTTGTTATATGAATCATGAAGGTAGTCTAATATTACGAATAGAATGAATTCTTCTATAGCAACTTGTGAGATTTGCTATGGTATTGATATATTCGAGTACTTTAAAGAAACTATCATAATGCATAATTGCCAATTTTTCTCATGTTTATAGGCTCATCCCTACCTACCCCATCTCTCATAAATTTATATGAAACCCAAACCCAAACCCAAACCCAAACCTACAACTGCAATCTAAACGTGGCAACTTCAAACGGCTTCAAAGTAATATCGAATTTTCCTCCCTCAATCTCAAGTTCCTCACCATCATCCTCCAAAACATTCGTCTTCCAGACCTTCTTCACATCCAGCGTAGTTTCAATCGTACCCGTACTAGTCCCACCCAAACTATCATAGATTCTCAAAATAACACTTTGTCCCTTTCTCTTGCTGAATTCGCCACGACTTACATCCTCGTCGTCTTCACCTCGCTTAATGGTATCTAGAATCAACGATGGATCTCCCGTAAGTTTGATTGGGCTCTCAAATGCGCTGGCCTGAATATCTTCGGAAGCATAGCAAACCTTCAAGGGGTTGTTGAAGTTAAAAGCCGTGCGAACAGTAGTTGAGCTGAGAGCTCTTTGATGAGGTAGAATAGCCCAGCGAATATGGTGACGACCCATGTCTGCATGTGCATCTGGAGCTTTCGGGGCACGAAGAAGTGACAAGCGCATCACGTTACCACAAGTTGCAAAACCATATTTGCTATCGTTCAGAATTGAAACACCATATCCATTCTCCGAGAGATCTGCGAATTTGTGACAACATACTTCGAATTTAGCCATATCCCAGCTAAATTAATTAGTTATATGTTATCTCAACAAGGACTTCATACTTACGTAGTGTTGTAATGGGTAGGTCTTTTCACGATACCGAATTGTGTCTCGTAAGATGCTTCGGTATTTCGAATATCGACGGGAAATTCGACTTTTAGGAATTTCATACTTTCTCTCCATTCAACCTCGCATTCCATCTCAACATACGACTGTTGACCTTTGAATGCAGCTGATAGACTAATATGAGTTTTTACCCAGCTATCTTTGCTGATCTTAGTCTCGGTGACGACACTGACTCTATGGGCATCGCTCTGCACAATCTTGGTATTTCCTGGATGCAACTCCTTGCGAGATTCCAAGTGGAAGACCTCCACGTCCCAAGCTTGCCAGTAAAGTGGTTTATCATCGAAGATAACGAGCTGATTGGCTTTACCTCCTTTGGCCACGACTTCTCTCCCCGCTTGTAGGTCATATAGAGATGTGATGACGCCACCTTCGACTTGAACTTTGAGTTGTTCATTTTGTAGCACGAAAACACCTCTCTTGACCTCTTTGACTGTAACTTCTGGTGTCTCGGTGATCTTGAAAGTCTTTATGTTCAATAGATTACCTTGACCACAAGCAACTCCGGCAGAATTATTACCGAGAGGAACGATTTCTCTCCTGTGCCATGGCATGGTGTTCAGGGCTACAAGGTTGCCTTCCTCAAAAGAGTTTCCGGCTTGCTTCACACCTAGAGTCTTGTAAAGCTCCTTCAAGATCTTCTCGCCAGTCTTGAATACCTTTGCATACAGCTATTGCGTGTCAGTATTATATGAAGCTGAAACTAAGCGCAGTTTACGTACCTCATCACTGTCATCGTAACACATTTCAATGGATGATCCGGGCAAGCAGTCGTGAAACTGACACAACAAAACGGCCTCCCACATGTCATCAATATCCTCTTTAGGATACTTAAAGTCCTTACTTTTAAGACTTGCAATTGTTGAAAGGAGTTCAATGTTGTGTAGCATAATCTCCGAATTTCTATTGTTGCGCTTATTATTCGCTTGTGTCCTGGTCGATTGTCAGAATAAGTTATGGCGTGTAGTAGGATAAAACTTACGTGTAGGTTCCACGGTGAAGCTCAAAGTACAATTCGCCATACCATGTCACCAGATCTAAACCCTCGGAAGCCTTCTTCTCCAGACGATCAAAGAAATCGTCGACAGAGTCACCCATATGAACTCTCGGCAGAAGCCCAACAGTATCACTCATTCCACGAAGACGTCTGAGCTTCTCAATCATCTGCCAAGTTGGACCTCCGCCACCATCACCTTTTCCAAAAACAAGAAGTGAAGTCTCGTCTTGATCCATAGACTTGTGCTGGGTTACTGATCTTCTAACGTCGCCAAAATCGGCATTCGCAGTGTATGTCTCAGAAGGCGCCATATGGCAAATGACTTGACTTCCATCAAGAGATACCCAGTTGAATGTGGTATGTGGAAAGTTGTTGATGTTATTCCAGCTAAGCTTCTGAGTGAAGAACCGTTTCATCCCCGCAAGACGACACAACTGAGGAAGTTGACTGGAGTAACCGAATGTATCCGGTAACCAAAATGTCTTGCATCTCTCCCCAAAATTGCTCTCGAAGAACCTTTGCCCATATAAGAATTGGCGTACAAGGGACTCCCCACTGGGTAAGTTGGTATCGTGCTCGACCCAGCTGCCTCCAACAGGCTGGAATTTTCCTTGTTTAACCTTTTCCTTGACCCGGTCGAATACATAGGGATAATGTTCTTTCAACCATTTATATTGTTGAGCTTGTGAAACAGCAAACCGATGCTCGGGGTAGCGATCCATAAGATCACATTGATTCGACCAAGACCTAGCAACCTTTCTTTTGGTCTCGGCCCATGGCCAAAGCCAACAGGTATCAATATGGCAGTGTCCGATACCATAAACAAGAGGCTTTGTACCAGTCTCATAGACCTTGGAAGTGTTGACGTTTTCTCCAAGATATTCTTGAGCAATCTTTCGACCTTTTAGAATCGAGTCTTGGTTTCCCAGTTCGAAAGCATCAATTATTTGATTTGCGACCCGCAATGCTTTATGTTGTTCCCATGAATCCGATGGGAATTCTTTAGCAGCATCCCCAATTTCCCAGATATCAATCCACAAAGCTCGAGCTTCCACGTTCACAGCAACAATCTCAGCTTTAGACAACTGGAAATATTTATTCGGGTTCGGAGGTTGAATGGAATCTCCACCGGGGGCATTACCAAACATCCCATTGCAGGCTACATATGACGTTAGCATTTATGGATATATTGATCAAAATCTCTATCTTACCCATCTCAATGTAGATGGTATGTTCCTTTCCATTCCGGAACTTGTCTGGCAAGATCCACTCGACTCTTTCACCACCTCCGGTCAATCCCTGAATAGGATTGCCGTCCTCGGTCCAAACCATACCCTCATTATTCGCATCCCAATGTAACTCCAATAGGTCCTTCTTCTGAAACTCCGAAGGTACAGTTATTCGTAGTTTGAACCAATGGGTTGACCATGAAGGACCAAAAGATTCACCAATATGTGTCGATCTAAAGTCGTGGCTTGTGGCATCTTTGAAAGTAGGTCGAGAAAGATCCGGAGCGTCCCAGACCGAAAGTTTGATATGTGGTTCTCCGGATACGATCCCTTCATCCATCATTCTATCAACAATGATCAATTAGCATATGCAATAGAAAAGGATATTCAGATGGCATACGCTCGTAAGTTCTTCCCTTCATATTGTCCACCGCCATAGAATTGGCCAATTCGATCTTTGTAAAGATTAGATATCAATTTACCCTTGGGTCCCTCAGACCTGACAGGATATGAGCTCTTCAGCTCAGTCTTTGGTACAGTTTCACCACCCATGATTGGCAATTGGATGAATTTATTGATGGACTCAAGATGATTTGAATACAATGAACTGAATGAAGTGAACCGTTGATAATTAGTTGAAGGTTATTGAATTCTGTACGTTGTACTCGAGTATGTTGTATCAAGCAGCTCCGGGGAGTGAGTGGTAACTTCACCTACTTACGCCGCTTGTAACGCTTGTTACGTAGTAAAAGTGGAGTTGAGACAGGGGTAAGCTTTAGAAAAGCGCGGGGGTGTGGAGTACTTGAAGCCTTTTGGGGCACGTGTAAAGGTTGGCAGATCAACAACTTACCTAGACATTATCATATGAGGAGAAAAGGATAACGTGAATAGAATCATCTTAGAAATGTAGTCATGAGAACAACTAAATACGAAGTTATATTTTATTCTAAGCCTTTGTGAGGGTGGCACAAAGATGCGGGGTTGGAGCTGCAGGAACAGAATTTACGTTATATGGCATATGATTCGCCGGCAACAGATTTATCAAGTGAACCTCTTCATGCATGTTTGGGATGGGATGGGTTTAGACTCTTGGATGTATCGATATATGGCATCTAGGACAATTATTCCGGTCGGCACAGATGACATCCAATCGAAAGTATTCCGGATGTCGAGATCACTCCCAAACACTTCTTCCACACATTTGATATACACAGAACAAAATCTCAAATATCCGTCTAAAAGGATGTACTTGAGGTGAGAGTAGATGTTTATTATTTGGATTAATATACAACATCGAATAGATGTGTAACAAAAACTCGGTCTTTGTCTGACCTTTACTCGTGCAGAAGCATGTATTAAGCAATACAATACTATGCTGCAGAGAGAGAGAAAATTTCAATAAACCTTCAGAACTACATCTTATTTGTAGTCCCAAAGAAGAAAACTCTTCCATCTAGAATCATATCATTACTTTTGCATTGATTCCTCCTATAATTCGTTCAATCTTTGTCTTCAAAATCAAAGCCATTCAGATGCCCTTCCATCTATTTAAAAGACCAATTAGTATTGTGTTCTTGAAAAATGCACAAAGAAAAGCACATATACTCAGTATAGGGAATTGGCAACTAACCTGGTGTCTGGTCCATGATCCCAACAACCACAATTTGTTTCTTCAATTCCTTTCTCCTCCTCTCCTTCTTACTCAGCCTCAATCTTGCCTTCTCCACCGCCCCTTGAATATGTTCATTACCCTTCTGTATCACATCCGGAGCCCCTTTAATTCCCATAAATCCCGATTTCTTCGGCATGGGTGTATCTGGACCTGTCGCGCTTCGCCGAGCATTTGGAATTACTTCATTCCTGTTACTAAGCACCGTTATTGTACCAGAGAATCGCTTCATAGCGCCTGAGAATTTTTTACTGAGTGATCCTGGTGATCCTGTCGCTTTTGGAGAGTCTGGCGTTTTGTGAGTTGAAAGAAACGGAAAGGGACTCTTCAGGGGATGTTTACCACTTGAAAAACCTCTTTTTCGGGACTTGTTCGGATCTGTTGTTATTATAGGCGGTGGTGCCATAGATGTATATGAGACTGTTGAGGGTTTACGCACACTCTGTTGTTGCTCACTAACCGATATTGGAGTAATAGAATGTTGCGATTCCCATCCTTCTGGGCTTTCGCTGAAATAGCTTTGTCGACTCTTTTTTGTTCGCACTACTAGTGGCGCTGGCATGAGTGCCATGTCATCGTTATGAGCCTCATGTCTTAGTGGATTTTCGCCTCTACTTCGATGTTCGTACCTTTCTTTTTCTTGATCTATCAAGTCCTCAAGGCTTGGAGTGTAGGCTGGACCTCGATTAGTATTCGGCTCTCCCAATTGGCCTTGCATAAATCTTGATACTCGTTCTTTATATTCTGGTGATGTCATCAATGATTTCGCCGTCGAGTCAGCCCGACTTGATACATTGCTACAGTTGTAATCGTAAGATTGCACATGCATCTCATCCTGCTCCATCGGAGAAACTGGGACAGAACCAATAGGTTGACTCTGTTGAATCATGAGTGAAGCTATGCAACCTTCTTGACTATAGCTGCTTCCAGAACTGTCAGAGTTGTCTGTAACTATATGTAATGATGACTGTCGACTTTTCCCCTCTTTTATTTCCATAGTAGGATCGTAACCTGTTCTCTGCATGACTTTTGTTGCTGATTTTGTCATGGGTGGCTCCGGAGGGGTAGGTAAAGTTCTAGTTTCAGGCGAAGAATAAATTCTTGAGATTCTATGCCTCGTTGCATCTCCCTTCACCACATTATCGTCGTAGCTCGTTGAGCCAGAAATATCCATACTAGGCCTTGGAACGGGATCCCCATACTCATTCAACCTTCCGTCGAGCCTTCTACTTCCCCAACCTGATCTCTTCGTTAACTCACTCGGAATCGCCGGTGGTGAATTTTTGTTAAAATGATACACCTCCCCCGTAGTCAGACTATGAGTCAATCTCGGCCGTTTTGAAGTATCCAAACCACTCAGAGAAGCTGATGTCTGCCCCCACTGTGCCCATGGTCCTAACCGTGCATGCACATTTGACTGTAGTTGAGATTGAGAGTGAGAGTGTGTTAGGGAATGTCTGTCTGATTGAGAAGCTGGTGGTAAAGTAGATCGGAAATGAGTTTTAGCTGGAGACTCATGCGCCATAACGACTTCGAAAGTCAACGAAAGCGAAGTGGCCTTGATTTGAGAAAGATTGGCATATACATTTTCCTCAACGCGCGGTCTGGACACCACTGACTAATATGAAATTATCGGGACAAAGACAAAGAACTCGCGCTTGATGAAGAGTAGAAGATGAAATATTCCAGAACGAAAGATAAACGTCTGAAAGCTCGTGGAGTGACTTTTCCATGAAAGGGAAGCAAGATTTTGGTTCATGATCTAGAGGCTGTGTTACAGATCTCTTTGAGGTAAGTATCAAGAAACAAAGAATCACATCGAGAACTAACACCACCACCTAGCTGCCGAGTAGCCGAGAGATGGATGATATCCAAATCATATTCAGGTATTTTCATGGAAGATGATAGTAATCGGCATTGTTAAAGAGACATTGGAGAATGTAAAATATACTTGAAGAAATCAATAAAGGGGGGAAGTAAACACAATGTTGGTACCGAGATGAAATCGACCATCTCATGAATCGGAAGGGATAAAGCAGGTCAAGTGAGAAAGTTAGTATCGGGGAAGTAAGTAGTATGCGCGATGGGACTCTCCGTTGTTTTGGGAGATGAAATATAGGGCCCGGGCTAGATCCACCTCTGCTCGATTTTATTTTTCTTATTGATCATTGGAATTTGAATGATTACTCAACATAGATGAGTGAATAAATTCATTTTTAACGAGAAGAGATAGCTTTTTCCCCTTACCTCCTTACATACCTGTCTGGAGTCACCATTTTTGGTTAAAGATTTTGTGTTGTAATATTTGATTTGATCCCGAAAATGAAAATTAATTCTTATTATTCTTTCTTTTCTAAAAAAGCCGAAACTTATACTCGAGTATATTTCAACTTTATACCAAGCATGTTAAGAGTTAAGTATAAATTTTATTGGTTCCTAAATAAAAACCCAAAGACCGTATATCTCACAGGAAGCCCCCCCTTCTAACGAGCAGAGGCATGCTAATTCCAACTGCAAAGCACCGGTTCAGTACTCGTAAGACGTATTCAAGACGCTGGGACTGGGGTAGGGGGGGGGGGGGTGGACAAGCTTTATATTAACATTTACGTTCTAGGAAACCATGAAGTTTTGATTAATCTGTGTCGCTGACGTGATTGTGTATACAGTAATTGCATATATTAAGTTGCGATTCTGCGTTTTTTGAAGCTCGCTCGCTTCCGAGTGAGTCCGACTGTCAAAAGATTTGTTTTGAACCCAAAAGAAGAAACTGAAATTCTTCTTGATAATCCGGAAAAAGCTTTCGTGATGCCCAAAATGAAATAACTGTATTCGGTGACCAAGCTGTCACGTTCCTATCTATAATCTACAAGTAGAATAAAGCTCTAGATTATATAATTAAGTAGAATAAGTATTCAAGTTCTAATACGAGTATTTAACTGTATTCCTTCTCATTCTTCTCATTCTGACCGTATATAATAAATGAATAAATTAGTAAATAAACGATTTAATTTAAGTTTGAACAAAACTAACCCAGTCTTCGAATCTTTGAATCTTGAATTTTGAAAGTGTTGATTGGATGGTACTTGCTTGAATTACTTCCTAAACACAATTCGTACATGTCCCGATCGAAGGGTGCCATGTCATCAAAATTAGACCCGTACTTGAGTGAAGTAATAATAGTGAACCAAGATCAGCGAAATCAACAAACTTCACCAAGAAGGAAGATTCGACCGTTTCGGCATCTCTAACTTTGCATCTTGGGAAGTAGCCCAATCTACTTGTACTAATATCTTATCTAATCCCTCGACATACGTACCGAGGCATGCAACTACCATTTCGCCAAAATTCCAAAAATAGGTTTTCTATCTAGACTGAAACTATATATAGATTTTAATCATATACTTATAGTAATCTACCGTCTAAACTCTCTAACTTTTTGCTTAGTCCTATTATAGAATAAGGTTTCGATTAGTAAATCTTAACTCTTAGGAAGTTGGATCCTGCTTCCGGGATGCAAACTGGAAGAGCGGAGCGGACTTTGATTGAGCAATACAGTACCTTCATATCATTTTCGTGATAGAATCCGTAAAGTACGCGTCTCTCTCGAGTCTTCTTATCTTTTGCTGGGGCTTTGACTCTTTAAGTCTTTGGCGGTGGAGTCTTGTGGATTTCTTGACCTTGTCGTCACTGGTTACTTATCGGGATATGCTGATGGGGGAAGGCGTATAACATAACCTTACCCATTTATCTCACTACCTTTTCTAGCTACTGAGCTGAGATATTCTTGGGAATGATTTTCCGATTTAGCTTGTATAAATATCGTTGTTCCGTTTCTCATTCCGATATTAAGAATCCTCATGTCTCCTCGCCCTTTCTTTGCCTCCCACACTTCAGGGACAGCAGATAGTAATAAAGTAGAATATCAAATAATATTCAAACATCCAGCTCCATCCGAACACCCAAATCCAGTTAGACATCCAATGAGATTCAAACACTTAGTACATTTCAAACATCAAATCCCGTCGAAAGATTGATCTCTGCCTAGACATCAGGCGAGATTCCGATATTGAGGAAAGTCAAAGAGTCAGCTTACACGCTTCTGATCAAAGATATAAAAGAGCCAGCAAAAGATAATGCAGCCACACGAGTATGTAATCCGACCTCACTGGAGTGTTCGTAAACATGTCATATCCACTCTGAAAGCATGGCATCTCACCTCATCTTACCTCACCTGACCTCACCCATGCTCAAACAATATTCCCCAACACAACACCAACTCAACATCAACACTACAGACATAGAACTCCCAGAAACTACGAGTACCGAATCTTCCAATCCAAGAATGTATAAATATATGGGTCTTCCCGCCCCGCGTTAGTAAGTAACTTCAAACAAGCAAACCGGTATATCAAAAAAGATTCTCTTTCTCTCCTCTCTTCTCCCACAAAATATCATCATCACCCCTCAATCTTCCCTATACGGCATCACCAACCCCAATATATCCAACATATCCAACATGACACCACCCACAATAATATTTATCCACGGAGCATGGCACGACACCTCGAACTTCTCCCCCGTGATCGGCATTTTAGAACCGCTAGGTTACCCATGCATCACCATTGCCATGCCATCCACAGGCGGTACTATCCCCACCACAGATCTCACGAACGATATTGCCGCCATCAGACATGTCGTGCTGAAAGAGGTTGATGCCGGGAAGGAAGTCATCGTGTGTAGTCATTCGTGGGGTGGGATACCTACTACGAATGCTTTGGATGGATTGAGCATTTCCGAGAGATCTGAAAGTGGAAAGGTGGGCGGGGTGGTCAAAATAGCTTTCTTGTGCGCCTTTGTGGTTCCGGTTGGTACTAGTCTTCAGGATGCTACTGGTGGGATGAGTTATGATGGTATTGCGGAAGTGAGTATTTCATTTTGAATCTTCATGTACGGCTGAGGTGTGAACACTAACTGTTGTTAATAGGATGGGTTTATTCCAGCGACACATTTTGGACAGAAATTCTACCATGATCTTGATGATGCAATGGCTAGCGATTTGGAGTCTAAGCTGAAATTGCAAAGTGTGGCCAGCTTCCAAACCAAAGCTACTTCGGCAGCCCATTTGGTAATCCCGTCGATCTACCTCATTTGTGAAGATGATCAGATCATTCCTATGTTTTTGCAGGAATTGATGATAGCTGATGCTCGAAAGGCGGGGGGGATTATGGAGGAAGAGCGAGTGTTCTGTGGACATAGCCCCTTTTTCAAGAACCCGGAGTTTACAGCTAGTTTCTTGAGACGAGCTGCGGGTGAAAACGTCTAATACTGTTGAAGCCTAGATTAGATTTACTTTCTGAGTCTGGACAGACTCACAAGCACCTAGTTCAAGAATCCAGAGTTTACAGCTAGTTTCTTGAGGCGAGCTGCGGGTAAAAAGGTCTAATACTGTCGAAGCTTAGATTAGATTTAGGTTTTGAGTCAGGACAGACTCACAATATATTAGCATAGCAGACGATGGGTTGACAATGAGAGCTTCATGCGATCAAATATCGTATATTTGAGCTCGGCTTTTCTATACAAAAAACAAATTGTTCTTGTACCTGTGGTCAAATGCCCCGCACAGTGTCAGTATAATCCATGTTATTGTATCTGTATAGTAAGAAACTCCGCCTTGAAGTCGGAATAGGTATGTAGTTTCCCCGTAACGTAGTCAGGCATGCTGACCACAGATTTACGTTCGTGTCAATGTACAGATTCGTGGTATGTTACTGCGCTAATGCTCGAAAATGAATCATCACGTGTAAAATACTCCCTGCCTCTCTTGAGACCTTCCTTGGCCTCCTCGCCTTCTGGAAGTTATATTCCCAGATCAACCTTTGTGCTCTCAGGCTCTGAGCAGGCTAACGCCTCCTAGAATAGCAGCATTCATGATTTGCTTGCTAACACTCTTTCTCTCTGCCCCTGCATAACCTTCTTGCGTTCCATGCAGACATAAACTAACAGCTGCTCAACAGAGGAATCAAAAAGGTCTTCTAGATGCTGCTTGCGTATATCCCATTTCTTGTAGTCCAATTCCTCACATTCAATTTCTTTGGTGCACAATCTCCTTGGGTTCTTGGATATGTGACGATGGCACAGTCTGGTATGATACATTTAAGATCCCTGGGGCTATCCTTTAGGCTCGTTTCCCATATGTTACAACGCCACTATATGGATATCGCACTGGCAAGTCTCGAAGTGGTTCAACCAATCCGTTCTCGCAGATCGCAAAGGCGAGTGAGTAATTATCAAGAGGTCTGCGAAATATCTAATCTGGTAAAGATCTCAACAGATAGTAGAACTCTTGGAATAAGAGGATAAAATTGGGATGAAGCGAGTAAATATGGATAACTGCCATTTTGAATCGTTTTTGGGGAAGTGAGATATGGTTTGCGGCGTGACAGAGCCTTGTCGCAAAAGAGAATCTCACTATTCCTGATGTAATCTAGCGTAGCCATCTCTACCGAATGGCCTTGGCGATGGGACGACTGCAAATTGAAACTTGATTTTTTCTGATTGAAATTTAAACATTCATTCGCAAAAACGAGATGAGATATAATTTATTGGCGGAGTACCTAGTACATACTGGCTGAATACACACCGAGCAATGAAAAAGGACGAGACGAAAATTATCATGATGCCTCGTATTCAATGAATCATTGCTCTTGCCTTTGACAAGATTGTCCAAGTCCAAAGATTGGAGAATGATATACGAAAAAAGGCCGGAAAATGCAATATTATCGAACCATATGAATTCTGGGGGAGAAATAACGACTAATAGCTCATGGTCGTCTCCGGCCAAGACAAAACAATATTCGAATTCAAGCATGATGTCCTGGATTTTGGTGCATCGGAACACTCAGTGGTGTGATTTTTTTCATCAGCCCATATTCAGCACAGCGAGAAAGTACCAAATGTAAGAAGAATATTGTATAAAAAGCCCAAAGAAACAGTATGTTGGTTATATTTTCATATTGTTGATCTTGTTATCTCATCTCATCTCATTCAGTTATTATCTTATTTATTGTACGCATCATTTCAAACCAATCCGTGATATCTATCCTTAACAATGCCATTTGATATCACCATCAAGAAGGTCGCTTTAGCTGGTGTTAGTTACCCCATACCCTATACCCCCTAACCCCTACCCCCTTCTGCCCCAACAACCACCATCCTCACATAACCAAACCTAGGCATCCGGTCCAGTAGGCCAAGCAATACTCACCGAGCTGCTGAAGTCCGAACTTTTCGACATCACAATTTTGACCCGAGACTCCAACACCTACCAATCACCATTTGCCCCCGCGCTCAAAGTACTCCAAGTCGATTACACCTCCCTCACATCTCTCACCCACGCCCTAACCAACCAAGATGCCGTCATATCCGCCATCTCCCCCAGCGCCATTCCCGTCCAAAAACTCCTAATAGACGCCTGCATCCATGCCCACGTGCAGCGCTTCCTCCCCTCCGAATACAGCTACGATTTCTATTCCCCCACCATTTCCACCCTCCCCATCCCACTCTTCACGCAAAAGATCGCCATTGAAAAGTACCTCCAAGAGCAATCCACGCAAACATCACTCAGCTACACGCTCCTATTCTGCAACCCGATCCTCGAGCTCTCCATTCGCAATAACCTCTTCTTTAACCTCCAAACCCGCACCGCGACCCTCCACCCCCAAACCAGCCGCCAGCCCATCTCCCTAACCACCCTCCCCAGCCTCTCCAAAGCCGTCCGCCGCATCCTCACCCACCCACGCGAAACAGCCAATCGACCCATCCGAATAAAAGACATCGATACATCACAACAACAACTGTTAACCATCGTCCAATCCCTCACTCCCGGACACGGGGAAGGGGGAGAGCAAAAATGGGACATCCAAATCACCAACACCAACGACACAGCATCTCCCCCAGAGTCAAACTTTGCTTTCGGAGGAAAGTTCGAGCGTGTGCACAATAGTGTTTTTGGGATCAAAGAGATGACGCCGACGGAGCTAGAAGAATTGGTTCGGGTCACATGCGATGCGATAGAGCGGGAGAAGTCGTGATGGGTACTTCTAGTAGCAATTGAGATGTAAGGATAAGGACTAGTAAAGGCGTTATGGAAGCTGCGTGGGTAAATGATATTTGAGATTTTGGATGGAGATCTTTTTGGGAAATTTCCATGTATCTACTTTGTGCTCTCTGAATTATCCAGGTGAGCCCGCACCTTAATATATATACCTTGGAATGAACTTCTCCTAAATATTCCCCGGTGAGCCTTTGCGGCAGTGACACGCGGTGATGTAGATTCTCCCATAATAGTACTGCAATATTTTGTTTTACCACTACAGATGTGTATCAATTGTTTTGTGATAAGAATCTCATCGACTCCCCGTCAAAAATCGCCATTGCAATGATTTTGATCCCAAGTGACTAATCGCAAATATTGCACATGCCAGAAGATATGAAACACTACAACTCAGAATTAAATGTTCCATTGGGATCATTAATTTGACAAAGTATAATACATGATCATTTCGTCAGTTCAAGTCATGCTCCCCCTCCCTCCCCCGTTCAATTCACGTTTCATCTCATCCAATTCTCAAAATAACATCGTCCCCCCTCCCCTCCTAATCTTATCGCATGAAAGGCATACATGAAATAGAGAACCGAAAGGGTATATTGCAGACGGATAACACTCCTTGCAATGCGGCTCTTCCCATATATAACAGCAAACAAAAGAAAAATTTGACATTGTCATTGTCGTTGCTTGGTTGATCCCGGAATATTCCTGGCTGTAGTTTCCTAAAATGCATCTTCAAACGGACAATCAATGCTGTCGTGTCCATCTCGTTCACATACACCGCACCATTTGTCCATGTTGATTACTCCGCTTTCCTTTCCTGCGACGGCACCTGGTTCCATGGGATTGGGCATGACTTTTATGGGTGAGACATCAGGCGACTTCTTTGCTGGTGCCAATGGTGCTGGTTTGTATTCCTCATGGGATGGTTTAGGTGAGAGTTTGAGTCCTTCCATGACAACATCTTTTCCTGTTCGTTGCTGGGGAGCAGATTCGTTTTTAGAATGGCTGCTGCCATTACCATTAGGGCCGAACATAGGACAATGTAGAACATCATGGCCTGAGGTCTCGCACAACTCGCAGAAATCTTCGGCTGCAGAAGAGTAACTGTCATTCTCTTGCATTGTCTCCAAGTTGTTGCGGTGGGCATCTGATGTTCCGTCGCGGTCCCGCCAACTTCCAATAGTGCCCTTAGAATCTCGGAGAGAATTTCTATCCTGGGTCACAGTTCCAGCGCTGATGCCACTTGTACGATGAGTGGGAGGACTGCTGATACTTCCTCTTCGTAGCCCCTCCAACTCGCGCTCTAATTGCTCCTCCTTGTTGCCTTTAGATTCTACCAGGGCGCGAAGTTCATTCACTTCCCGTTCTAAATTATCACGGGCACGACGCTCCTCGTCAGAGACCGAAGCACTGTCTGTTCGGCTTCGATCAAGACCTGGTCGTAGAATATTTGGTGTTGTATCATGATCCGAGGAATTTCCATCAGGTATGGCATCACGGCTGAGTGAGTGGATGATGGCTTTCAATCCGCGTATCTCGTCATCTCTTTGCGCGATCTCTTTGGAATGTGCTCCCGTATCTACACTCGTATGAGGCTTTGCGTTACTGAGAGCTTCGGCAGTTTTCTCCCGCTCACGACGGAGTTCAGATCGAGTTCTTTCAACCTCTCCGCGCAGAAACTCAACTTCACCACGAGCTTCGGCTTCACCACGTCGTGCATCTTCGAGACCTTCCTCGAGCTCCTGAACAAGCTCCTCAAGCTGTTTCAGTTGTACAGCAACATGCTTGACGTCATGACTATTCTCCTCCATTGCCCTGAGCTCCATCATAAGAGCACTCATGCGCTCTTCGTATACTCGCTCGGTTTCAGAACCGGCCATCTCGAGTGTGTCTATTGTACTTCTGAAATCAGCTCGATGCTGGTCAAACTCAGCAGTCAGCATGGCGATTTTGTCGTTCTTTTCACGAATTGCTGCTCTCAATTGCGATGCGTCTTTGTCTTCCGGGCTTCCCCGACCATGTCTATGACCACCCGTGTTCTCATCAGTGTTCCCCAGTATTGATTCTACTTCCTTGAAATTGTTTTCCATATCCGCTAGCATAGAAGCTTGTTCTATTAATTTCCTCTCGCTATGCTCAAGTTCACTCCTCAACCGCTCAACCTCGTCGTCAGTAGCTCGGGACGTTGCACGCGATGCGGACCGTGATGCAGGTCGCAACTTTGCGTTGAAAGAAGAGACTGAGCCTACACTTCCATTTGTCGCCGTACGTGCAACCCCCGCAAGAGGCATATCTTCATCACTGTAGTTCATTGCTCCAAGTCTATTTCCTGTTCCAAGTACCGAAACACTTCGTGGAGGGACTGGTGTCTTCATACCATTTCTTGGTGTGTAACCAACTTTCTTATTGGGATCTCTAGAATCTTGTGTTTCTCTAACGCTCTGTCCAAAGTTTGCAGGTGCAGGGCTTGTATATCGAGATGAAACTCTCTGTGCAGGTGTGCTTAGAGATGGTCTACCCGCAGCTGTTCTTCGTACTGGAGACTCTGGTCGGGGTGGGGCCATTGATGAACGGGTTTTCTGGACATATGGGCTTGTTGCTCTGCCTTGGCCGACAGATTGACCGAATTTCGGTAAGGAAGGCATTGTTGGAGTGTACAAGTCTGATCCCAGTCTACCAGCCCTATTGCCCATGGATGGAGATGACGGTGAAAGGGGGAAAGAATCATCATTCGAAGATGGGGAGTTGCGCCTTGTCGCTCTGCCGACTGGGAGAAAGATTCCAGCACCATCAACCCTTGTCGAAAAGTAGTGAACTCTGTGTCAATCATCAATCAGTTCATTGTTGTTTTTGTAGAGATAGTTGATTGTATGTCTCACCCATCAACATCGCCATTGTTCTTCCCTTTTGAAGCAAACATTTCACCCAATTCCACTCCAGCAAATACACCCTTTTTGCCTTGCACACTGCCCACAAATTTGACAGTACCGTACATGTTACCAGGTACATCAACTATGTCACCCACCTCCAATTCATCTGGTCCACCCCCAACTCGAGAAGGTGTATATGGTGGCATGCTGCCTATTGTTGGCAAATCCTCATCAAAATTTGTTGAAAGAGGGTATCTTTTACTCCCATCCGGGATTGTTGCAAGTGCGCCAGAAGTAAGGGATACAAGTGAGACTTGTCGGGACTTCAATCTAGGATTGTTTAGTCCGAAACCTTGACCGTTATTTGAAGGATGTGCGGGAACAGGTGTAGCTCCTGAAGCTTGTACTAATGCCAAATTATAGGAGGTGTTGAGGTTGGGTGTAGATTTAGTGTTTAGAATTCCAGCTTTGATAAAGGATGGTTGTTTTTTTGGTGACCTTTTCGGACTTGAGATTCGCGTTGTCGACATTTGTACCGCCCACCAAAAGTACTGCCTATACTATTGTTTTTTTGGTAGTATAACCACCACCTCACAATTCACCAGTATCAACCAATCAACACTCTCAATTATCTGGTGACACCTCCTATATAGTTCACTTCTAATTTTGTTTCTTGGAATAATGTCGAATGGATGTTCGATTTGATTCTAACAATAGGAGTTCTGAATTATGCTGATAAATAGATGGTTTATCGACCTTTTCATTGATTTATGCCCCGTTACTGGGATTTAAAAGGTAAGGTAAGGTAATGGATGGATGGAATGCTAATAAGAGAAGATGAATAAACTTATGGGGAAGGGAGAGGAGAGGAGGGGAGAGGGGAGATAATGTAAGTGAAAGTGGCAGGTACGAAGAGGACTTTCCCTAGTCATTCATCTGTGATAAGTAAGAGACTAGAAGGGATGTGAGCACTCGGGGAACAGGCAAATGGAAGGAAAGGAAGAGTAATAAATGCAGTCTGCAGGAGAGAAGCTGCAATGCCGGTACCTATGTTTATTGTTTATAGGCACATTGTTGATAGGCACATTCATCCGATCCCTGTAATGGAAGAAGGTATCATGTTGAACCTAAGAGTGGAAGAAGATCAAAGTCTAGGTACGTATCACTCAATACGAAAATCCTGGTACAGCCAATCGTAGAATATGATCAAATTGCCATTCCTTTCATTTCCTTGTTCTATCAGTCATTCCACTGTCTCTATGGAAGCAGAGCATAGACCCATCATAAAGCTTCTACAGGTGTATAACCCGACGATCTATTCTCCTACAAAGAGGCAGGAGGATAGCTATGCTCGTCATTTCTGTCAGCTTGCTTAAGTTCCGTAGGTTGACCCTATCCTTGTGGTTTTATTTTACCCCCTTCGAGTGATCCTCTACAATGTCTTCAAGTGATGGATGGTATCTGCTATGTCCTTCTTATCCTATGAATTTGATAAAATATAGCAGTAAGTTATTAAACACTTCGGATTGTGTAGGCATCTATTATCAAGTAGGTACCTTAGACATTGAATCTTCGAGAAACCAAATGAAACCTGTGTTAAAAAGGGGTACGTATTATATTGTCTAAAAGTACCAAACACAACTTCAAAGTATCATCTGTCAGTCTATCTATCACTACATGAATGGAGCTGTTTCATCAATAGATAGAGAAGAAAGAAAATCACAAATTTGGGGAATCTTCCATTCCGTTGCTTATCCAACATTGTTTTGATGTCAGGATCCCTGGTCCCTGCAATATCATGCAGGTACCGGTAACAGGTGAGCATCATGGTAGTCCATGGTAGTCTGCCTTATAGCCAGTAAACTGTAAAAGAACATGCATGACCTTTTGTGATAAAAGTCTTTGAGGTTGTGATTGTTTTATAATTCTATTTCTCTTGTTGCTTTCACAAACAGGTTCCTTATTTCGATAGCTTCTACCTAAAAGCTATAGTTTATGCCCTGGCAATGTTGAGGTCACCGATAGCACTACCCTTGCTAACCCTAAATCTAGACGATGATGACTCTGATAGCTTAGAAGTGAAGCCCGTAAATTGGTGTACCACGACTCTCCTGACGTTCCATGTTGAGACAGATTGTTTTCTAAAGCTATCTTCCAAATTAGTGTTTTAGCGATTTGAAACCCACGAAGACGGAGCGATATTGTATATCATTGATCCAGAATAAACTTGCGTACCTCATGGACTGACTATATAGGTTGCTCGACGACTCTAACTGAAGTCATTTCCTACCTTCTTTGTGCAAGAGGATATCCTTCATTCCATAGATCACCTGGGTCATTGTTGATGTTCGTAGATGTCCCCTCTCTCAAGTGGTCTTGTACCGTCGTTCAGAACCATAGCTTCCCGATGACGCCTCCTGAGATGCTCTTCTGCAGTGCTTTGACCTCCTGGCCTCCTCTCAGCTAACATGCCCTCGACATCTTCCATGTCTTGATCCTCACTCCCTTCCGACACGAGATGCCTTGACGCTGGTAGAAGTTTAGCCTCTTCTAACATTTTCCTGCCCCTTCCATCATTGAACAGTGGCAATATCATCATGTTCAAATGGTACTCCTTGTTCAGCGAGTCCATGAAATTGATCGAGCGTTCCTTTGCAGTTGTACCACCCCAAGGCTCTTTCACCAACCAACGTTCTATAAATCCTGCCTTTAGAAGCTCCTCAACATCGTGTTTTCGAATCAATTCATGGATTAATATAAGACAGCTCTTTTCTGCTATATCGCGAAGGTACCAGTTGTCCCAGTCTGGATCATACTCATGGTGTTCGTAGTCGTTTACAGAGTATTCAAGACTCTTGACTAGTGCTTCGTACGTTTCGGGCTTATGTATTGGAGCGACAGTTGCTGGAATGTTGGATGAGTTCAATGGACCTGATAGTAAGAGCAGAAATACTTACAGCTATTCACGATCAGAACCAATGCTCTGATTGCCTTCTCTCGTCGGTCATAATCTGGTTGACTAATATCATGAAGGAGGCTATTGATGGTGAAGTCATTGTGAAGAGCACGTTCACAAATGATGATTGCGGCAGTCTCTTGAATACCATAGTTTGGGTTGTCCAGTAGCTTACTCAGTGTATTGAGTCCTAAGGAATCTTCGGTCTGCTGGTCGATGAAATGGGACTTATTCTCGGTAGGTGGTATGGTAGCTGCTTCACGATAATGAATAAGGCGACGGCGCACAAAGGCAAAAACAGCACAGGTTGTGACCGCTAGGCCTAGAAATAGCAACCGCTCTTGTCCTATGGGCGATATAATCGCCATGGCTGGTGATACAACATCCAATAATCAAAGTGGTAATGTTGTGAATTATTATGATTATTTAGCTGAAGAATCATAGATCCATCATATCAGGCGGTGACAAAGGGCAATTTATATCACCTTGTGGGGTAACCGTTTAGCCCCTGGCTAGTTGTACTCGAGATACTAGTGTCGGGATTATCCTTTGCGGAAAGGTTATTAGTCCCAAGTGTACTCCAAACTTTATAAGTGAGAAAAAGATAACTCTTGTTACTAAATATTGTCATTAATATAGAATCTATGACTTCATTCATGACCCAGGTATCTCCATAAATGTACTGGAAATTCGTATATATTAGAGAGATAGGTATATCCAGATAATTGTATTATACAATCAAGCAATGGCCTACTCTAGTGTAGTCGAAAGGCGAAACATTCACATCAAAGTCAAGTTTTCCTTCCAACAGTCCAAACTACAATCCTGAGTTTCCAAAAGGTTTCAATATTCGAAAAGCTGTGATTCTTCTAGTATACTAGGTAGCTTGATAATCGAAATAGGTTCGAAATCAAAAGTCTTACATTGTCAGACTGTCGGGGCTATTGGAAGCCCTGCGGAAATGCTTAGTATGTGAGACGAGAGCAGCTTTGGGAGGTATAATCATCCTACCTATGTGGTTTTATGATAAAGCTCACGATCTCTCTGGCATCTCTACCAAACGAGGAAGATCCGTACTCATTTCGTAGCTTCTGTTGCCTTCCAACTCCACTCGTCTGCCCATATCTTCAACTCCATCTTCCTTCATCCCTCCTCCATAAGTATCCCTTTCGCAAAGCGCGCCTGTCTCTTGATCTTTCAGGCCTACATCATTTCTTAATATTTCTCCCCTCGATAATTTCCTCTTCTTCGCTCTCATTACCAAGAACACCGCTGCCGCAATCACAATCGACACCGCCGCCACGGACCCCAACACTATCCCTGCAATTACTCCTCCATTCGTTCTCTTACTACTAGTCGTGCCCGCAGATGAACCTGTACTTCCCGGGACTGACACTGTCGAAGTTGCGGTCGCCGTTGCACTAGTGATGCTCGCAGGATCTCCACCCAGTCCTAGGCTTTCTAGTACCTTCTGGTCACACGCTCCTCCGGATTTTGCCCCACAAGAAATCGATCTTTTTGGGGCAGTCGTCGAGTTCACATTATTATTTGCTTCAATCACATTGTCAGGCAAAGAGCCGTTCATATTGGTGAGAGTAAATCGGTCGGAGTAGGCTGTGACCCAAATAGATTCATTAGAAGTCAGGTAGGAGCGATAACCGAAGAAGCTGTTAGGCTTTGGTCAATACTGTCGAGGGAGGAGCAAGAATAGGTGTCTTACAATTTATCTTCTAAACTCATCGTGGCGTTCCTCCTAATATTTAGCGACGGGGATTGGGTTGTTGGATTCGTCATTTGGTATCCTGATAACTTGTATTCCCACAGGTCGAACTGTACGTGTATGCAAGATTTAGCATTGATTCACCGGTTCGCTTTTTTGCTCTCTTTTGATTCTCCTAGGACGTATAACCCCCTCGAACCCACTCAAGCGGAAACAAAACTTACAGGAGCAGTATCATTTCCAGTGAAAAGAACCACTTCCCAACTCGCATCATTAAATTGCCCGAGTGTGGGCACTATCCCACCATCACCCGCGTGTATTTTATACGGTCCCGAGTCAACTACTTCTCCCATCGAAGGAGACTTGAAAAAGATTTCCGCTCGACATACTGCTATTATTGTCAACTGGAGGAGAACTCGAAACGCTGTCATTTTCGTAGCCTTAGCTAATAAGTAATAGATGAGACGAGAAAGAAGCGCAGCACAGCGAATGAAAGAAATGAAAACGAAAATGAAACGATGGATAGCAAAGAGCGTGTTTAAGTATGATTTACTGATATAAGAATAAGCAACATATAAGCACATATACCATATACCATATACCATATACATTCGCAAAATTGGTTATGCAAGTGCAGGGATATTGGCCTTAGTGTAGGGAAAACTGGATCAAATATTGTATAATTTACAACTTAAAATAGTAAATCTGTAGATCAAGTGTGAATTTCCTTCCAATAAGGGTTTGCAAAATTTTAGTCTGATCGTCTATGATAGGAGAACCTTAAATCTTAATCTCTGCATTTGTATATACGGTAGCACTAAAGTGTAAGAAATCGTAATGTTAATGCTTGGGGTTTGAGATAGATGGAGATCCCATCCAAATCTAGCCCTATCATCAGTTTCTGTGGCCAAATTGCACAAGGAAAGTGATCCTCGACGTACTTGGCCCCCACCCCAGACGAGAGAAAGAAGTTCAGCTTTTACTGCTCAGCATCGAAAGAGGGTGGGTTGCACAAGCCGTTAAAACGAATGGCTGAAACTGGAATTGATGTTGCACACTTCAAGTATAAGAATTGAATATAGAATATAAACCGCTCGAGTAAAGTTATAGAATCTGGACAATGTTTGGAGATAGATTCCGAATGTTAGAATGTTTATCTTGTTTGCAAGACCCGGTCTTTACCGCTAGAAGTATTTTGGATGCTGCCAGTGAGAAGATAGGTTCATGTAATTCTTACACTGCGCCTCACAATGACAGTAACCGTGACAATCAATATGAGGAGAAGATGAATAAATTTGATAATGAGTACTGCTGCCACTTGTCACCGCCTCGAACGGTTTCCCCGATAGCTTAGCGTCGGGTAACCTCGTCGGGTAACCTTTGCGGGGTTCCTGCCGCATTGTACGAGTAAAGAAGCTCGCCATTGCAGTCAGAGAGTCGCCATATTTCAACTGATTAACCTTCAATTGCAATTAATATTTCAATTGTTCACTTGTTCAGTTGAGATATCGGTATATCGAGGCATCCGAATATCAAAGTTCCCTTCTAACCTGGACTAAAGTCAACTTACACAATCAGATCATGACTATCCGTGGTACTACCTCTACTTTTACCCCCGAGGTGCTGATTTCTGCACCTCGAAGATCAGCAGCAACGCCAAACGCAGACGGTAGATTGGCATTGTATACTGTGTCGACTTATTCTTTCCAATCCCATTCCAAGGGCGCTAAAATCAATGTCTTAGAGATAGACACTGGTAAAACTTCAACTCTGAGCGATGATTTGAGTGACAGTGAGCCAGTGTGGCTGGGATGGAAGAATGAGGTAGTATGGTTGAGATCTGGAGAGAAAGGAGCTACGCATTTGGTACTTGCCGATGCGGATGACCTGGAAAAGGAGTAATTCACATATGACTCTCTGTTTTGTCCATCAAGAAGCTTTTGTTGACAACTAGTAGGCCAAAGATAATCACGACATTCGATGGCGCTATCTCCAACATAAAGATTACAGCTCTTGCCTCGAACGTTGCGGGCATAGCTGTTACCGGTATGTATTGTTATGCATTTACTTGTTTTTCCTTTAACTCAGATCTCTTGATTCAATGAAAACATTTTGGTCCATTCGAATCTTCAATTCAGTATAAATGTTCTATATTTTGCTATACTCCTAGATATCAAAATACATTCTGCTCTTGTTTCTAGTATCACTAATTCTCCCCACTTACAGGTTTGGCAACTCCATCTGGAAAGCTATATAACGCTGCGATAGCCAAAAAGCCTTTGTCAACAGCTAAGACATACTCGAAGCTATTTGTGAGAGAGTGGGATGCATGGGTTACGGAGAATAAGAGTGCTATCTGGTACGGAACGATCACAAGAAGCAAGGATTTCGGAAATGTTGAATTTTCTGGACTGGCAAATGCTTTGACCGGCCATAAGATCTCTCTCGAATCTCCAGTGCCACCTTTTGGAGGAACAGGAGATTTTGATATCAGTAAAAATGGTATAGTTTTCGTTGCCAAAGATCCCAAGATTGATCCAGCCAACTTTACGAAAACCGATCTATACTACATTCCCCTGAAGACATTTACAGAGTCTCAGGCCCCGACGCCCCAGTTGATCGAGACTGGTAGCCTGAAGGGTTATAGTCAAGGGCCGGTGTTCTCACCAGATGCGAAGTCGGTGATCTTTACAAGAATGAAGAGTATGTAACACCTTTTTCTCAACTGTATTTTACAAGTTGATATTCTAACCAAAATCAGATATACAGTACGAAAGTGATAAAACAAGACTTTTATTGATACCTGATATTACTGACCTCACAAACGTGCAAGAATTTTTTGAGACAGAGGACGGGAAGGGTGGATGGGACCTGAAACCAGAGAATGTTACTTTCAGTAAGGACGGGAAGACGATATATGTAACAGCAGAGGAAGACGGGCGAGTAAAACTGTTTAAGCTACCAGCATCTCCACGCCATGCTACGGAGTTACCAGAAGCTCTAACCAGTAACGGAGCTGTTACGGATAAACAAGTTCTTCCAGATGGTAATTTGTTCCTCAGCGGGAGTTCATTAATTGACAACAGCATTTATTCAATCATCAACCCCTCCAAGCCGTTTGAGAATATCACTGTTTCATCGAGTTCGGATGAAGGAAAAGCTTTCGGACTTTCACAAAACCAGGTTGATGAGTTCTGGTATACAGGAGCCGAAGATTACAAAGTCCACGCTTGGGTATTCCGACCTTCAAACTTCGATAAAAACAAGAAGTATCCTCTCGCTTATCTCATTCATGGTGGAGTAAGTGATCTCTCATTTAACTAAGTATATTTACGATATACTAATTATAACCTTAGCCGCAAGGCGCCTGGAATGAAAGTTGGAGCACGCGCTGGAACCCCGCAGTATTTGCTGAGCAGGGCTACGTTGTGGTGACTCCAAACCCTACAGGAAGTACCGGGTATGGCATGGCCTTACAGGATGGTATCAAAGGCCAATGGGGAGGACGTCCATACATAGACCTTGTGAAGGGATTCGAGTACATCGAGAAGAACTTGTAAGTCCTCCAAGTATAAATCACGCTTCCGCAACTTTGTGCGATGTTAACATATGCTAGATTCTACGTCGACACCGACCGTGCTGTTGCCTGTGGAGCCAGCTACGGCGGCTTCATGGTCAATTGGATTCAAGGCCACGATCTGGGTCGCAAATTCAAAGCTCTCGTAACTCACGACGGTGTTTTCTCAACCCTGAACCAATATGCATCCGAAGAGTTGTTCTTCCCTCATCATGATTTCGAAGGAACACTCTGGGATAATCCTGAAGGGTATCAGAAATGGAACCCTGCCAATCACACTGCAAACTGGGAAACCCCTCATCTTATTATTCATAACGACTTGGACTATAGATTGCCCATTTCAGAGGGATTGGCCCCTTTCAACGTGTTGCAGACGCGTGGAGTGGACAGTAGATTTTTGACGTTTCCAGATGAGAATCATGTGAGCTATTTTTCTTCCCCTGAGCTGTTCGGTTATCGGTAAGAAATGATGCTAATATTGTACTATCATAGTGGGTGCTGAAACCTGAGAATTCCAGAGTCTGGCATAAGGAGGTTCTTGACTGGATTAATAAATATAGTGGTATTTCCAAGGAGAATGAGGAGTTGAGAAAGGGGATTGAGAAATTGAGTGTGATCTGAGTCCTCGAGTAGAACAACAGGGAAACTTGAATAAAAGTGAATTGCGAGGCATTGGGAGAATGTATGGCTCGCACGAACATAATGAGTAAGAAGGCATGGCATCATGAAAAGCGAGCAATATGGAGAACAGATCTTATTCTCACAACTTTCAAGTTGGTATCTATCGTTTATGCATGACTTTCTCTGGACACACAAATCCAAAATGCACACCAACCAGTCCACACATTAAATAGTTGCGGTGCTGCATACGGCATTTCCCATCACATCCCTTCAAACACAAATCTAGTTCTTCCCCTTCTTCCTATATTCCTTCTCCCTCTCATAAGCATTTGACTCCCTCCCCTCCTCGCCCTGGATCTCCGCAACAAGCCTCTTCATCTTCTTGTCATGCGCAGCATCCTTCTCCTTCTTCTGCCTCAAACTCTCTCTCGCAATGAAATTGCTATCCTTGCGCAATTCACGCATGGCACCCTTCCTCTCCTGTTTATGCTCAGCGCGTAACTTGGCCGTATCAGCACGTTCACGATCAGGATCGTAGTGCTTGTCTGGATTGTAAGAATCTTCGAATTTGGGTATGGAGGTTTTGATGGCGAGAGGCTTGTGGTGGTGCAGTTCGAGCGGGCGACGGGCGAGGTGGGCTAGACTTAACATGGTTTGGAGCTTGGAGGTGGATTTGCGGATGCTGGTCTAGGGGGATGGTTAGTGCTTACATCTAAAAATGTTTACTGGGTGACTTACTTGAGTGCTTTCTGGGAGCTTTGACCTGCAAGACTTGCCTCCCAGATGTTTTAGGATCGCCAAAGCAGGTTCGTACACTTCGGTAAAGGCAGATTTTCCCGTCCACAAATCGGCACTTGCTTCTAAGATTTTAATATTTGTCTCTAGCAAAGCAATTTTCAAGGGTTCTTCCTCGTCTGCTGATAGTTCCTGTGAAACACAGTCATAAAACTCTATCTGGCGGTCTGATGGTTTTGAATTCTCTATCCGCACAGAGCTTTTTGGCTCATGATATGGAAAGCAGCCAGGAATCTTTGGCAGTTTGGTAGGCGCAAGAGCACATAAGGTATTCTCGATAAAACCCCCAACTTCTGGGACATATCTCTTCGATAATCGTTGATATTGTAAGCATAGAGTGCAAAGATATGTGCCCATCGTGTAATCAGATAGTGTTTGAGGAATCTTTTGGCCAAGATATCGTCCCATAGTCAAGACTGCAGGGGTCACTACTTGGTGGAAATGATCTGAGGTTGGGAACATTGTTCCAATGGCTGTCAAAAGGGTGAGATCGCCAGCATTCAAAGACAAAGGTCGTGTTTGATTGATTTCTTCAAGATGTCGTCGAAAGGTATTAGCAATTTCAAGCGGAAACGTCTTGGCGAGCGAATGGATGTGGCGGATAACATTCTCTAGGACGGAGAAAGGAGGTTGCTGAGCTTGGTTTGCGAGGTAAGAGATATGAGAAACAAGGGAAACGGCGAAGTTTCCTAGCTTTGATTTGTTCTCTGAGTTGAGTTTAGGATGATACAAAGCTCTTATACGCTGTATAACCGTTGGCAGGTCTAGTAATGCAATACTTTTTGTAACCTCAAGAAGTTCTTCGTGCGATTGTGGGCAAGGAAAGGTATAAGCAAGATCCCCATTAACGCCATTCTTAGCAGGCAGTTCCGCTTCGGGTAGAGGAGCGTTTGCACCCGTCAAAAATTCCGGGTTCTTGGCCTCTTCTTCAGTAAGCAAACCTTTCAGAAATTCGTCGTCCTCGTTGTCAGATTCATCGTCCTGTCCACCGGATTCGCCCTCCGACTCATCGATATCTGAACCACTCGCTACTAAACCGTCATCTATCATGAAGTCGTCCTCGTCGTCCGCACCTAATTCCGCAGCACTAGGTCTGGTTTTGATACCAGCACCCAATCCATAATCTTCCTCTTCTTCCTCTTCGTCTTCCTCCTCATCGTCTGCTCCTCGTGTGCGATTATCTTCTTCCTCGTCACTATTTTCAACCACACCCTCCATACGACGCAATCTCTTCGCTTCCAATTCTCGCAACCTTCCTGATTCCTGCTCCATCTTTTCGTCTTCGGTTTTGGATCTTTCTGTAGGTTGGGATCGTTTGTCTTGCGCCATTTGTCTCATTCGCATATCGTATTCCTTTTCCAACTTCTCTCGGTCGCCCCCATTCATCAATGCTATCCGCTCTGGATTCATGCCAGGAATATCCGCGGGTGGCGCAATTGGCGCAGGTGGTGGTTTAGGTACCATACCGCGGAGAAGTTCATGGATACCTGACATTTCTTTGTCCAGTTCTTCTCGTAGATCCTCATCGTCGTCCTTGACTGCTTGACGTTCATATTTGTGCATTTTAGATTTAGCGATAAGTTCTTTCATAACCTCTTGCTTCGACTTCTTCCGTTCGGGCAGAGAAGTTCCCTCCTCATCTTCATCTGAGCCTTCGGAATTAGAGCCTCGGCGACGTTTTCGTGCTTGTCGCTCATCATCAGACTCGTGGTCCTCGGCATCCGACAGTTCCAAACCCTCATCATCGAAATCATCCCGGATCGTAGGTCCATCCAGGGAAAGAGATTGTCCCATGTGGGTAAGCTCGCCAGGCGTTTCGTCGTCTTCAAGATCAAATGCCGAGCTGTTTTTGTGGCCCCTCTGCTTCTCTTGCGTGAAACGTTCGAGCATCTTGTCTTCAGGAGCCATTGAAGGGTCATTTTCTCCGAAACGCTTATCTATTATACCTCCGACTCTGTTTCTGCTCTGCATCTCTACAAGAAGAGTTTTGCGGCGCTGATTCAGTATTAGCAGGCGTCAAACTTCCCTTTGGACAAACTCACATTTTCTTCAGCAAGACCCCTCGCAACGCCCGGTTTCTTAATACCCTTAGAGATCCTTCCACCAATTGTTTTATTGCTTGTAACCTCAAATTTGGGAGCTTTGGCTTGCTTGATTTCGAACGGATTGAACTGATCTCGAATTCCACTGAGCGCGACACTCCTCTTAATCTTCTTCTCCTTGTTTGCGCCATTCTGTGCATTCTGTTTCTTTTGTTTTTTTGATTGCTGAGGGCCGACAATTCCTTGCTCTCGAAGAGAGGTTTTTAACCTCTTAAGCTGGGAGGGCGGCATTTTGTTGATATTGTAGTGACAATCAAATCCTCACTTGTAACTTATTACTTCACCTCCGGAACTTTTTTCGACATAACTTTTTTATCGCTAATCGCCAACGTCTTGTGGCTAGTGATCATAAGACGATGTGGCTTCGGCTAAACCAAGGTTAAAATCCACCAGCCACCATTATCTGGTTAAAATACTTGATCTGGAACTCTCAACCGAAAGGTTCATTAAATTAAAAGAATAATAACCACCAAAGAAGATCAATTCTTGTCACCTCAATATCACTTGCCTACCAGATTTCTCCAATACCGACTGGTCAATAACGAATGTATCCCAGCGAAGCAAGTGCTCTATGGGATTCAACCTATCAAGCTATACCAGGAACTTCATATAGAGGCATTAAACACCAGAAATGAACGTATAAAAATGTACGAGTATGTTGAAGACCGAAAGTTACCTCAAAAACCAAAACAATCTTTCCGTTGGAACCGAGGAGTCTCGAACGATTGGGAAATATCCATTTTGAGACAAATTTAGCACGATTTCGGCGTAAGCTTGGTATATGATTGAGCACATCAGCGTCAGTCGATTCTGGCACATATTCTGGCCCAAGTCATGCATTCACCATAACCTAGAAGTTCAAGAGAAAAAAGGGTGGTCCCAAAATTCATTAGTTCCCAAAGCACATATTACAATGCCTAGAGATGTTTATACTTTTTCTCCTGGTAGTGCTTGCTTGCTATCAGTGAGTACGTCGATCTAGAGTATTCAAATTCTAAGCAAATTCCCAGCATCAACCAAACACTTCAATTCCAGAAACGCTATACCTTGGATCTATCTCCCCTCCCGAACGATCATGGTTTCATTGCAATTGGCTTCGGCGGTTATTGGTATCGCCAATTTATCTTTCCCTGGTGTGGTGTAGACATTGAGTTTCGCTTGGTCCATGTATGCATATCCTGTTCACTCCCTATATTACAGGTAAGTAGTACAAGACAGAACTTCCACGGATCAACATTCCAAAACCGTTGAGTGTGAAGATGCAGTGTGATGTGATGCGATGCGACTCAACACTGGCCCGACCCAACTATATTCATGTACCAATACTCGAGTAGATCAATATGCAAGCTTCCTCCAATATTGCATTTCACAAATGAATCTTGATTCCATCAATGAATTATAACTGACTGTTTGAATAATCTAAAATACAAGAAATTGGTGGTAACATCATAACATATAACATAATCCATGCTCTAAAAGGTATGTATATACAATGTTGTGAATCTAAACATCGAGTATATAGAAGGAAGGCAGAGGCTCTGTCCTCTTGTCTGTCGTTGGTTGAAAGAATGAATCGAATCGAAGTTTTTAAAAAATTTGAAGGGAAAGTTCCAGGCACTGCCATGAAACCAAATCGTGCAGTTCTATCCGATCTATCCCAATCTGATGAAAAATCGTTATAATGGATAGACCGAACGATATACTGATAGCCATCTGATATATAAAGAAGGGAATCGAGATCGAAATCTAAGTCAAAAACATCATCACTCATCAACACCATCCTCTCTCGTCCCATCGTCTCGTCCCATCCCAACTTATTCCCGTTAAAACCCTCCAACCCAAGAATTATAATTCGTGAACCCGCCCAACACTGAACTCTTCGCCGTAATCGCAGTCCCAATCTCACTCTTCACCGTATTTCCGCTCCTCACTATACTGAATGTTACATTCCCCGTTTGGCCATTGAACGGTTGACTCCAATGGTTTAATCCTGCTGCGCCAGTATAACTTGTCACTGGCGAACTGCCAATTTGCACTTGTACATCGGCGGCTGATCGCAACAGTGCGGTGAAGAATACCTTATCTTGACAGAGAGTGTTGGGACTATATTCCTTTTGGCCGTGGGTGGGATTATTGCCGAGGACGCCACCGATCGTTCCAGCTGAGGCGGGGGAGGTGCGGTACCAGTATTGCATGGAGTCGGTGGTGGTGTTGGATTTAGTGCCTTTGTACTGGGAAATATAGTAGGGGAGGAGGGTGAGGAGGTTAGAGTGAGGCATGTTTTGGACGTATTTGAGGGAATTGGCGGGAACTTCGTCGTGAGAAAGCAAGGGACCGATGTAGGAAGATTCACCCCAGTCGTTCCAGGTGACGATTCTTTGGGGGTGGGGGTCAGTTTAGTCTATCTTTTGGCGGGGCAATGAAGGATTATAACAGAAATACGTACTCAACGAATTGAGGTTGAACATGGAGAACTTGTTGCCAGCGCTCAGCCCATAGATCATCACCCCTCCACATCCATGCAATGGGATTTGCATCGCTGTGGAAGAACCAAGGAGAGACACCCATCATATAAGCTTTGCTGCCCAAAGTCTTTTGCCAGGCGAGGTCGTTTGTAGTCGTCATATTCACGGGTCCGGCTGGCCACATATCCCAGCTGAAAGCACCTTGAACATTGTTGAGCTGTGCAGTGAATCCGGCAGGGCCCAGGCTCGTATAATCAGGTACAAAATAGATAGAGCCAGCAGTACCTTGAACAGCGCTTCGAATAGCTCCACCAGGTATCCAATCGCCAGCATTATTCACACCTTCGAAGGTTGATACGAAAATCTGACCATTGTACTTAAAGTAGGCAGGGCTTACTCCATATTGATTAAGATATGATACGACTGAAGACGCACCCGTAGCAGGCCAGGCTCCACTTCCACCAAGATAATCGAAAGAGAAGAACAATTTGAAGCTATTGCCGAGTGTTGTGGCAGCTTTGAAAGCATTGGCGACTTGTGTTGGGATATTGGTATCACCAGTAGCAATGTTGAGTGCAAAAGCGTCGATACCTGCAGCCTGAGCAGTTTTTATATCGGTTGCCCAGTTGTCGGCAGTATGATGAGCAGTATTGCCCATCACAACATGTGCAAATACATACTTCTGAGCTGAAACGACAGAAGCAGTCAGCGTTGATGCCAAAAGGAGGAGTGAAAATCGCATGGTGATAAAATCAAATCGACAAGGAAACCAGTTCAGTCAAAAAAGATATGAAAGTAAAGGAGTGTAGTGGTTCTGAATAGAGACAAAAAAAATTACGATGAAGGAGTGACAAGTAAAGGTCTACATATAGCAGAGCACCAGGCTACGACGATGTGTTGAAAATTTCACGGAAGCAAAAGTAAAGGTAGGAGTTGGAGAAACTCTCCTTCTCGGCGCAGCTGGCAGCCATTCCATCCTATTTCACTTAATCTTGTGCAGGTACTACTCTGTGCTCCTTAGTAGTACCGTAGGACTTATCTCATGGGTACTCTGTAATTGTTTGGCAATTAGGAAAAGTTGAAACATGGCGGCGACCTATGAAATCCTTCGAAGCCAATTGATCATCCGCGGTTGTTTGTTCATTCAGGGGTATCTGTATGAACTCGGTCTCTGATTGGTCTTCAGATATCTGTATCCGTTCTGTGCGTCCAACCAAATTAAGGTTTTTGCTATCAGATCGCGGCTAGAGGCGTCTGATCTTTGGTATTATGGGGATGTATGTGATTGATTCAACCCGCGATTGGAGAATGTCCGGATGAACGACCATTCGACCTGTGGTTGAAAAACACTGTCCGGATAAACGATACGAGTGTGTATTGTACCACTGTTATTATGCGATATATCACTTACCAGAGTGTAACTTCTTTTCATTAAGCCTAACTTCGTGATCATCTCCACCAACAACACTCTGACTTGACCTGAAGAAATGGTGGAAACAATTTCTTGATGGTGGCGTCATGTTGTGTGTTTTGATGATTGGGGTTTGTTTGATTGTAAGGATAAGCAGCTTGAAACGAAAAGATAAAAATACTTGGTAAGGATACTTACTGTACAGTACCAACTAACGAGAGGTTGAAGCGAACCAATGGTCGGACTCCCATACTCGAGTAGTCATCCTACCTACTTATAACGAAACACAGCAATTCAGCCTTAAGCCTTCCTTCAACATCATTCAACAAACGTCTTCTAATTCGATCTCAGATCTCCGGTTCTTACTGTACTTGAGTAAAGCAACGCCTAACTTATAATACCGGTGCTTGTAGGACAGGAACCTTTTCAAGATTCAGCTCCGGGACCCGGACATCTCTAACTCGCAGGTATTGGGGCGTCTATATCGATACCACAATGGCAAGTTGCGATTTCTTTTAAATGACCCTATCCTGTTCTTGAATTCAAAATTTATTGCATTGTCTTATGAATTAGTACTAGTCTGCTAGTATATTACGTTTTTAGTATTGCCCTACCGGTAAATGAGCTAAAACTCTCGATTCCGAGAAAGCTTTACCGACATTTTCCATAACGTTTTGATGCATTTATGGTAAGATGTCATACGCAAGCTTGTGTTCATCTTATTAAAGTTTAGGTAAGTGTTAATTCAAGTAGACAACAATGACTAGAAAAATGCTTGGGGTAATAAGATTTAGGCTTTTTCAAGCATGGCAATTCGTCGAGCTATTGCTGCGATGGCCTGCTTTGAGAGCCTTTGACGACGACGATATGACGACTCACTACCCTTTTACCCTAAAATTGTGGGCGTAATTACTCTCCCTGTTATTGTTATCTCGATTCTTCCTGTCGTCACAACTATAAGTCAGCTTGTGGTGCAATATCTTCTCATTCCTTTCAAAGTTGAAATCCATCTACACAATCTTTCCAGTATTCTTCAGTTCGATATTATGCGCTTCACCAGCTATAGCTCGATAGTAGCTTCTACGTTTATAGTCACCTCTTGACCCTCAACACCACTGTACAAAAATGTGGTGAAAATACCAAATTACGGAAAGGCTCAAGGAATAGCTGCTCTCAACAGTTCGGTCTCTCAATATTACTCCAACTGGAATCAGATCTCTTTCTTCGGTGGAACTCCCTTCGCTGCAGATGCCTCTGGTAATAGTCGATGGCGCGAGCCTCAACCTGCTGCCCCATGGAACGGGACATTTCAAGCCACATATTTCGGTCCTATCTGCCCATCAGGCATAGCAATTGATGACTTGGCTGATAGTGAGGACTGCTTGACCATCACCATTTGACTCCCGCCACATCGGCCAATGAGCGTCTTCCAGTTGCCATCTGGAGCTATGGAGCCGGTGTCGCATCCAAAGACATCATATTTGTTTCTTACAATTACCGTGCTGGCGCTCTTAGATTTTTCTCCAACCCCGATCTCACGTACGAGAATAGTAATAGCTCTGTAAATTGGGGTGTGTTAGACCAGTTTGTGGCCGTGAAATGGTAAATCGTTCTATGCAGTGTATGATGGTTGCTGGAATCCCTACATCATCTGAATTGTTCCAAATATCTGACCAAAACCTCCAGAGTGCATGAGAATATTGCCGCTTTCGGAGGTGACCCAGACCACATCTCGGCTATTGGACAATCCTTTGGAGCCGCTGTCACGTATCACATCGTGAACAGCAATCTGACAGCGGATCTGGGAATTGTGAACGCCATCTCAGAATCCGGTGTACGCTCGCCAAATGATCCCTAGGTTCCGCAGTACGAGTGCGGTTATCTCAGCGAAACAGATGCTCAAACCCAGGCGTCGTTTATTCTCGCTGGTATGAATGCAACTTCTAACAGTGCAGCCCGTGCTCTCAATTACAACACAATCTTGACTTACATATTAGACGCTGGGATCAGTTTCGGGATTAAACCTATTATGGACTACTATCAAATGCTAATAAGCAGAGCCAGTTCTTTACACACCAATGATTGTCTATTAACTTTCAAGAGAGCCATACCAAAGTGCATCCATCCATGAGCAAATACTTGTTATGTATCATATCACATCGATATATCAATCATATCATATATTCTCCGAGGACAGGCCACTGAACACAAACTTGAGTATGAATATTACTACGAGTAGTATAGAACTTCACTTATTACTCCTATCAATCCTCCAATTTTCAAATCATCACCCTAATACTTCGAATCTCGAACAAATATAACTAATACTATACGAGAGTACTGAAGATTTGATTCGAGAATCTTGTACCGTATATAAGATTACTCGAGTACTATTGTCAGTCCAGGCAGGCCTAGGTTGTACACCAAGCATAAGTACCTTCTCCTCTCCTCGAACAGCTAATTGGAGTGGAGTATTGAACGAATAATATGACCAGTGGCTAATCAATATATCACAAACTTGATGCATCTCCTGTGCAGTGAACTGTACTTGGTAGCTTTGTGGGTGCATATATCAGTAATATTCGACCCACTACGATTAAAGATGGCAGAGTGACTGTAAAATTTGGAATGCGAGTGAGTATTTGGTAAATGAATCATCACATTAATCATCACACTTGAGATATCGATTCGAATGATTCCAACCTGTAAAACGGTAGATGAATCCATATTGAAGTATACCTAGTTCTACTCGAGACTTTTGAACTACTCGGGAAAATATTCGACCAATGCGGAAGATTGAATCTACCTGTCTGGACTCTGTACCAAAGATACTCAATTAAACTTAGAAAACTTGCTAACTTACGACATTATAGAGTTTTTCCTTGACAGCCGCCCCTTCCCTCCTTTAACTTGCTCTGCTCTGCTCTGCTCCAGCTCTTCTTCCCAAGCATGAGCTCCGAGCTCTACGATTATAGAAACCACACCACTCTCTTAAATTCTTAATTCTACGGTCTACCCAACCCAACATATCGACGCTGCAGAAGAGAAGAGAGAAACTAGAAGTTTAATTTCAACCTCCATATATCGAAAGAAATTCCGCGGCATCACCATCACCATCCTCCTGTCTCCTCTCATCTCTCCTCTCATAGCGCACTCCATAGCCATTATCTATCGACAAAAATCCATCTCTCTTTCCCTTTCCGCCTTTCTGCCTTCCAGTCAAAAGAAACTCCTCGAG